ACTCGTGCGAGGAAGGGGACACAAAGAAGGTTGGGTTCGACAGCAACGGCTGGGTATCAAAGGCTCGTAAGCGATTTGATCGTGCGAAAATGATTGACTGTTCGGCGACAATGAAGCGGAGGTAAAAAGTAAAAATAGTTTCTTTTTCTTTTTGTATTTTCCTTTGATGGACAAAGAAGTTTTATCACCTACTTATATCCGTTAACCTTCTCCCTGCAGAGATAATTACTGCATAGAATGTTCCCCTTCACATTACAAAGAAGAAATGAAAAGCAAGGAAAAAAATTTACTGCATAGTAAATTAACTACGTAATCATACATGTTTTATCAACAAAAAAAAAAAAAAAAGTGAAAAAGTTTGCCATAAGACCTCGTATCATGCATGCATGCATACGTTTTCTGAACTCTGACATGAAATTTCATTTGGGTTCCTAATATAGCACCTGATGAGGCATAAATATGTACATATGCCTTTAAAGATGAAAAGCCAACGGTTCTTTGGTCTGTTAGTAGTGCCTAAATTTTCAATTATAAAAATATTATCAATCAGGATTCAATTTTTAATAACTTTAATTATAAAATAAAATAATATAAAATACTAAAATTTTTTATTTTTTAGATAAATTTCAATCCTTTTAACTTTAATTTATATTAAATAAACTCTTTTTTCAAATGTCTAAGTTAATTTTGTTACAGTCAACTTAAGTTTTGACATGGCTTAATAACATGATTAAAATTTAAAAAAAATGGATATCCTTTTGTAAAATAAAAAAAAAATAATTTAGGTACAAATTAAAATTTTAAAGATTTATTTGCATATAAATCAAAATTAAAAACTTATTTAAGTATAAATTAAAATTTTATTTGGATACAATATGAAAGTATAAAATTTTATTTAAAATTTGATAAAATTAAAAAAAAATTTAAAACAAAATTCAAAAAAATTTAATTATTTTAGCTTATAAAATATGAAAACGAAGAAATTAATTAAGATTATTAGGCAAAAGAAATGCAATGGGGACCAATTAAGGTTGGGAGGTGGAGGGGAGGGGGAGTCCTTAGGCAAATTACCAGATTGGGTAACCCTTTTTGCCAAACCCAGTTGCCCCACCCTCGACAAGAGGATTGAAATTGTGTCGTTTTCTTTTTTCAAAGAGAAGGGGAGGGGGGCCTTCTATCTTGGATCACTGACCAGAAAATAAAAAAATTGGAAAAAAAGAAAGGGACGCAAATTTGAGGGATCAAATAAGACCTTTTTAAAAGGTTGGATTATTCGTTAAGATCCAAAAGTTTATCTAAATTTGAAAAAAGTTTGAACAAAAAATTAAATTAACGTTAAACTTGTTCGGATATAGTTTTTAATCCTATTTGAATTTTAGTTTAAACCTTAAACAAAAAAATTTAAAATCTGAACTTGGGTTAATCCGAATAAAATATATATAATAGTACTTTTTTATATTTTATTTTTTCAAATTTTTTTATTTTTTATTATATAAATTAAGTTTAATAGATGGATTTAAAATTTTTTTTTATTTTAAACTAAACTTAAAAAAATTATGGGATTGAAAATATTAAACCAAATCAAATTTAAATAAATATATAAATTAATAATATCAAATATTAACTCAACTCGAATTTAATTTCATACAAACGATAAACTCTTGTAGACTAACCCCCAAAAAAATTCCATTATAATTTTATTTTCTATTTAAGAGCAATCATATCACAGCACAGACAACTAGGGAACAAAGAAATCTGTGCTAATTTGTGTCATGGGTAAGAATTTTAAGGAATTTTATGCCTTCAAGGAATTTAGTGACTATATAAAAATCATTTGCTTATTAATTACTTTTTGACAGTGAAAAGCAAAAGAGAAAAAAAAAATCACTTCACATTTTTTTACTAGTGTGTATCGGAAGAGGGATGGAGGGCTTAGGACTGGAACTCTGTTGAAATTTCATTATCCATCTTGAATGGATGAGCTGCCTCAATTAAGTTTTGGATTCCATTTTACATGCTACTAAAACAGCAAGATTTGTTTCTTGTAAAAAAAATTATTAATTTCATATATAAACAAAGTTTAAATGTGATTGTAATTAGCTTGAAGAATCTAGAAAAGGCGGTTAGAAAAAAAAAAGGTTCATTAAGCAAAAGCCACCCCCTAATTTTTTTTCCCAAATTTGTAGCTTAAAAAGAATGATCCCTTTAAAGCTCGGAAAGGCATGGACTATTGCTATATATATATATATATGAATGGAATATGTTCTTAATGGCCAAAATGGCATCTCACAATGAAAATGAAAAGATGTGTATTCATGATCAGTTTGATCTGATTTGGAAACAATATTAGAAATTAAGCATGGAAGTTTTATAATTAAAGAATTTCTCTAAAATTTTCTGCCTGTGAAACAGCCAGCAAGAAAACTATGATGAAATAAGAAGGATTATCCCAATTGGTGACAGAAAACCAATTGCCAATAATGATGCAATATTGGTTAAGGAAATCAACCATTTGAGTGCTCAACATTAGCCTTCAATCAATGATGGACTGATCCTTTATTTTCCCTTCCCTATTACCAAAAATACAAAATTTCCCCTTGCCCCATGTGACCTAAAGGTTCCCATGCACTAAGCTGCAACTAGGATTAGATAGCCAACCTCTTTGTAAGTTTCATAGCAGCTTTCCTTTTATATACTAAAGGTTATAGGATCAGCATCTTTCCTAAGTGGGTTGATTGGGCAAATCTGATTTCTATTGTCCAACTTACTAAATTTGGATGTATTTTGGAAAATTTTCTCCTTTCTTGTCATTAATTTAGGTTCCAATATTGGCCTTGTCTGGATTCTCCTCTGGAAGCTATTCCTTGCTTTTGCCATTTCCTGCAATTATGTCACAAACAAATATGGTTAGGAGCTTTGAAAGCAACTCCTATAGTATGTCATGATCATAATCCAGCTAAGATCGGTAGCTAGACTTCTTTCCACCTTTCCTTAATCAGTAAATTTTTACCGGCATATTATAGAAACTTTTTTGTTCATCATTTAAGAATTTATCGTAATGTTGTCAGAATTTACCTTAAATCTTATAATTTCACATCGAAAATTAAGTAAAGTTATAAGGATTTGAGTTTATTTTATATCCCATATCGAGAGTTTAATAAAAGTATAAAGAGTTTTACTGTTATAAATAAAATGTTTTGATTTTAATTTAAAATTTTCAAATAGTTAGACATTAAAAAAATAGTTAAGTGAGTGAGCTATTAAAAAATTGTAATTGAGTTTTGAGTTAGATTTTGAGAAATGAATTTTTAGTAATTTTTCTCATTATAAAAGTTTCATAATTGTAAATATTTATTTGTTAATGGATTGGATGTAGAGTAAGTTATTTTAAGTTGAACCGAAATAAATATATTTATATATTTTTATTTTTTATGTAAATTTACTGTTTTATGTGTGAATGCTGCATGTGTATTGATTTCTCAACAAATATTTAATTAAAGGCAATATTGGTTGGCTAAGATTACTCATGGGATCAATAATTGTCCAACTTAAGACTTTTTTTTAGCTTTTTTTTTTTTTTTTGAGATTCGACAATCTGCTCAAAAGAGTAAAGAATTATGCATTAATTACTGAACCAAACGTTGATCAGATGCATAATTGTGCTCTTTCAGTCTTACCATACGCAGTCAGCTATTAATTAACCTTTATCATATATCTGGCATATAATTTCCTCCATTTTGTCCCAACTATTTCTACCAACTATTGCTATTTACACAATCTTGAATGAAATTCTATAATCAAATTGTTCATTGAGAAACTTTCCATTGAAAGCTGTGGCTGATTGATATTCAACTACTAAGAAAAAAGAGGTTTAAAATTTCGACATTGGTCATACCTCAAAGCAAATTGCTAGGTGAACTGGTTGCAGATGAGCTCCTAGTGGCCATTAACAGCCTGCTTTTGTTGAATTTGATTAAAAAAAAAGTATAAATGATTGATAATTTGATTGTTCTAATCAAATGGCATCTTAGGCAGAGATCTAATTTTTCTTTTGAGTGGAAACACTTCCCTTAAATCACGCACCTTGTCGCTATGTAAACGTTTTCCTCACTCAATACATGCTTGGATTGAATCCTTATTATTATGATGATGATCAAGAATGAACATAATTAAGCAAATCTTTAATCAACAGTTATGCAATCCCCCAACAGCATTATGATCGAACGAACTGCAAACCTGATATATATAGCCTAAGCTAAGATCACACCAGCTGGTTGGCTCGATTGAAATGAAAAGAAGAAGAAGCCTGATCAGGGTGTTATTGGTTTTCCACAACATGTTAGGACTTGATTGCAAACAATATCAATGATTTGAGAATTCAAGAAAATCCTAAGCCTTTGATAATTTGCTTTCTTCCTCTACAACAACTTCCTTCTTCCCCATTTTCGATATCTTATTGACTTGAACATCGAAACACGTTAAAAAATCCTAATTTTAGCCATTGATTGTTCTTTACTCTTTGACAAGTCCGAAGCACCATCATTCTTCAACCTTACCAAGCCCATCTTCATTAAACCCATAAAGACCTCAACAATTTCTAACGAAGACGTCCTGAATTCAACATTATCATTCTTCTTCTTCTTTAAGAACTCATTTTTTCCATTCTCTCATTGATGGGAACGAAGAAAACTAGGATCCATGAATTATTATCACCTATGGGATTCATTTACAATTATAAGCAGCTCTTTATTATATATTGATAAAGGCCATGAAATGTTTCATTTATTCAACACATAAAGATTACATTTGAATGATTTCTATGCAAGCAATATGTAAAGTCAATATATAAAATTATAGCTGTTCGTATTGGTTTTAATAAACGGGCTTGAAAACTTCAATGGCCAGGACCCACGTTGCAAGGGGCCTGCAAATGACACTGAAAGTAAACTTTGGCCCAAAAGTGGAGCCCGTCTTCCAATGTGCTTGGGTCGTAACGTTTGATGTTTGTTCCATTCCCGTGTAGAACCTTGAAAACGACGTCGCAGAAGTCGCATCGTCTCACGATCTCGCTGACTTTTTGGGGTTCCAAGGTCCGCCCCCGCCATCCCGTGGCACTCAGCAGGCAAAGCAACGAGCCAAGGCTTTCTTCGAAGCTTATTCTCCAGCTCCGTGCCAAAGTTCTTCCTCCGATTTTAGCTCTTAATCGAGAAACAAAAGCATTATGGCGGCGGCATCTTCGTCTTCAACGTCTCCCAAAACGACGACGGAGAGGAGAGGAATTCCGGGAGCTCAATTCGTTGAAGATGTCGAGACTTATCTCTCTCAAACAGGCCTTGACGTCAACTCTGCCCTGGCTTTTCTCCAAGAAAGGTCCCTTCTTTTTCCCCTCTGTTTCTCCCATTTTGAACATATTTGTTTTTCCATTCAATCGCCAGCTATGGCTCTTGTTTACTCTCAGCTTACCCACAGCTTGATTTTATAAAAAATGTACATTTTTTACTATATATTTTAATGTTGAAAGCCAATTTTAGTAAAAAGAGTACATTTTTAAGTTTGGGTTGGTTTTAGTTTTGATATTTAGTTGGAATTGAACAGTTTTTCACTGATTTGGTTTAAGTGATTGAGTTTGCAGGCTTCAGCAGTATAAGTTGGTTGAGATGAAACTTCTTGCTCAACAACGAGATCTTCAGGTATTGCTTTGGGATCTTTTTCTTTTTCTCACTATCTTTTTTAGTTTATTATTCATTATTTAGACCCATTATACTCATCAAAAAAGTGGATTTCAATTCCATTTCTACGTATTTGGTTGTGCTCATTGCTTGGGCAAAAGTGACGTGTGACACTAGAGCTTTTGCTGTTTTTCATGGTTTGTATATGCTAATGTTTTTATGAAAAAAATTGAGGAGAATTTTTCATGGTCAGTGGTTAAAAATGTTTTGTAAGCCAATCATGGGAAAACACTGTTGATTTTATCTATGGGGTCCATTATAATGTGCTATGAATTTGATTCTTGGGAAAATGCTTGGTAGTTCATACCAAGAGAAAAGAAGCCAGACAGAATCAAATTGTGCCCTTGTGTTGATACATGTAATTTCTTTTTGAATGGCCTTTTGTAAAAGCTGAATGTAATTGCAAAGAACTTGGCATGTTAACATGTTAGAATATGCCTTGCTAGTTCAAGCTTTTTAGGCTTAGGCTGGAGAAAGTATATGCAGCTTTTGTCTCTAGAGACTGAATGTAATTAAGCTTAAATGCCTACCACAGTATTTCACGATGTTATTTGATTACATGCTAATTTCTATGTTCGTTCCCTGCCAAAGATTCAACCAGGCTAGATATTAATGCTTAATTTATATTGCTAGTAGAGATTGCTTCTCTTTTGACATATGGTAAGGGTTTTGAATAATGTGCTTTGCTATTGTGGTCATCAGGCAAAAATCCCTGATATTGAGAAATGCTTGGATGTGGTTGCCACTTTACAAGCTAAGAAGGGTACTGGTGAGGTTCGTCTTTCTATGATATCTTGACCTTTTGTATCATGATTCTTCTCTTTAAAGAAGTTTTTGATTCTTCATTGTTTTTGTATTGGAACTTGAGGTAGTAGGGATCACTAATAACATGATGAAACTCATTTGTTTTGTTTATTGCTATCTTTTTTGAAAATACTGAGTTGTAGTTTTGTTGTTGCTAGCTAACTCTTGGTGGTTCATCAGATGTTCCTTTGGTTCTTATCAAGTATTTGTATTTAAGGAAATTATAACTTTTTGGGTCTTTCTAGGAACCTTTGTAACCCTGAGTCTTTTAGAGCTTTATATTGACAATCAGAAAGTAGACAGCGGTTGCTTGACCTTGGCCCTTTTGCTTGGGGAATGTTGAAGGAAAGTAGCTTCTGCGTTACCCTTCGATTTTATTGAAAAAGCAATTGAGAATCATTTTGCAATGTGATGGACTATTCTCTCTTCCTGAACTTCTGGCATTGATATAGTATGAAAATCTCAGGTGTCTAAACCTGGTGAACTTGTATGGAACAGTGTTGCATGAAATGCTCAAGGTTCAGGCATAATTCTTTACTTTGGAATTGGGAATCTAATTGTTTAAGACATTCATATAGTGCTTTATTACGTGTGTATTGCTCAAATCCTATAGTTGTATGCTTGGTTGTATAGACAAGCTTGAAGCCAATTAATTTAGGCTTCTTTATTTCTTAATGCTTATTATTTGAGCTAATGATTTATAATATTGCTTTTCACTTATATAGGCTCTTATTGCGGATTTTGAAGTCTCTGAAGGCATATATTCACGGGCTCGTATTGAAGACAGTGATTCAGTTTGTTTATGGCTTGGAGCAAATGTCATGTTGGAATATTCATGCGAAGAGGTACAATAGTTGCAATTTGGATGCTAACTCTTTGAGTGTATTAACAAAACAAGGCTAAGTTATTCTATAACTTTGTATGTGCAGGCGACTTCTCTACTGAAAAAGAATTTGGAAAATGCTAAAGCAAGTTTAGAAGTTCTTATAGCTGATTTGCAGTTCTTGAGGGATCAAGTGACAATAACTCAGGTCGTATTGTTGTTATGTAATATTACATACTTTCTTTTCCTAGTGAGTCCTAATGGTGATAAAAGGAGCCCAGACATGTCTAAAAGAATATTTGCTCCTTCTGCATCCTGCATTAATTGGCATAATTAGAACGTTCATTGGATTTGCACAACATGGTTCAACCCAAGAGGTTCCAAACTATAATTTCTGTTAATTGAAATGGATGGAAGAAAATATAATTGGCTTGCCTGCCTCAATAATGCTTAATGCATGCTTTGGTATAAGTATTACATATTTTCAACATATGTTGGTTTTAGTTCTTGATTGTTCAAGTACCATTGCCCAGGTAACTATCGCTCGTGTGTATAATTGGGATGTTCATCAACGAAGAATTCGTCAAGCTGCTGCTACTCCAACAGCTTAAGATTCATGATCTGAGAATACCACTGCTTGATACAGAGGAGGAGAGTATGCTCCTATCCTCCCTTTTCATTAGTTTTGTTGAATGGGTTCTCTGTTCATTTCTAGTGATTTAAAATTTCACTTCATGGTCTCACCATATCCGCACTTTCCAGTCCTACATTCTGGTTCAATGAAGTGAATCTTGTGTGCTTATGTTGCTAGGAGCAGTGATGATTTATACTACTACTAAAACTTTTGGCTATAAAATGTAACAGCTGTCTTCACTGTTATTGTTAGTTTGCCAGGGGTGTTTTATTTCCTGTATCTCTAACATTCATCATAACTTTGTTCAGTTTAGTCGATGCACTAGTATTTGAAATTTGTTTTTGTTTTCTGAATCCACATATTGCAACATGCTTTTGGTTCAAATTTGAAACTTGTTAAGAGAATGATGAGGTCACAATCTGGTTTAATGTGAAAGAAATTGTCGGCAAAACTGGACCAGGTGAGATGACAAGTTGTCCAGATTACGGGGTCTGTAAGCTCCATCTTAAATGATGTCAGAAGCACCTTATCCTGGATGAAAAAGGTTTTAGATTTCTGGATGCTTTCAATTATTTTATCATTGCTACTTTGTCGGAAATTAACATGGTGTAAGGCCTAATATATCTGATCAAGTCACCCAATGAAATGATTTTTTTTTTTTTTTGGAAGCCGAATATTGCGGTCCCTCCAGAAACAGAAACTTATAGCTACGAATTCTGGATTGAATTATATCGTCAAAAGCCACTTTTCATCGTCCTTTTTGTGTCAGGCTGGTTTGCTTTTCACATCCGGACCCATAATTCAAGCATGTCGGTGGCATTTATAATCAAGCATTTGTTAAATGGAAGATTTTAAAAGTTAATCTAAGGGCATGTTCAGTTCCATAAGTTGGAGGCTCTAACGGTTCATTGGTTTTTTTTTTTTTTAATATTTAATTATGCACCTGCATAAGAACAAAGATTTGAATTTCAAATCCCTTCCAAGTATCAGTTTTAGAAAATGGGATTTGTCCTTTTTTACCATTAGATCAAGGGTTCATAAGCTTTAATAATTCATCTGCAAATATAATGAAACTCATGTTTGCTTTCAAGGATGCAAAAAAGGTCCGTAAATTTTGCATGTTGGCCAGAGATTCAGAGTCTTGGGCAGTAGTCCATGCCCACAAGTTGCCCATCTGCCCACAAATTGTACATCTGCCCTCAATTCCTTGTCTTAAATCTTGGCTTTGTTTTGCAAAATAACACAATCTTCAAACAGGGAACTCTATCATCCAAATCTTTCTATATTGCCACGTTTCAGAAGAAAAAAAAATAAAAAAAGAAAGCCCAAAAGAAGGGAAACTCTGTCCAATCTTCCGGACATATATACAATCTATGTAACAGGATGATGAAACTATGGTTTCCACTTTCTATGGGCATCGGGTGGCCCCCTGGGCCAGGCAGCTGTTCTTATCAACAACTAGTAGTTCTTAATAAGTTCTTCCAAGGTTGGACCAGGGAAAAACCCTGAACTTGAGAATGGCGGTCAAGATGAAATGTCCACTGCACAAGCAACAAAGGGTCTCGGCTCATGCTTTGTTGACCCTTGAAACCGGGCCCATAAATATTGAAAATTGGTCCCAAATTGCCATATCCCTAATACCATATATGTGGCTTGACATCTTCATCTAGTCAGCTGAATCAACCATTTTCATCTCCCCTTTGCTTTCTCCCGGTGATGGCATTCTACTTTATGAGTAGTTTACACTTGCTAAAAATGAATATAATTAGATTATGAAATTTGGGTGGATCTTCTTCCTGTAAGACTTGTGATCTTTAATAAATATCCTCTTTTGACTTGCTGTATGGCCCCTTCACAGGGTTAGATTTTTCTTTTCTACGTGTGGAAAGAGTAAAACATTTGATTGATGACATATCAGATAAAAACTATAGTTGTTTAGCTCACAAAAAACCAGGAGCAGATAGGCTGCTCCAACACCCAGGCTAAGACAAATATTTGCTGTTTCCCACTGTCTTAATAGCACCAAGAAGAGACCATTGGTGTTCGAACTTTGAACTCTAAAACTTCATACCATGAACGAAGTAATTGACAACCGATTAAACCAACGTTTCCTTTGAAAAGAAAAAAAACTATAGTAGTTATATTATTGTATATTTGAACCCTGTTTTAGACAAAATAATTAATCACCGGTGGAATAAATAGGTTCAATTAGCTGTATTAGATAGGGGTGATAATGATTAGAATTTGATCAGATTTGATTTTTTGGATAATATATAGCATTATGAAATTTTCAAATTTGATTAAAATTTGAATCGATTTTTTCTTAAAACCAATTCATTCTAAATTGAATTTTATTAATTTAATTTGATTCATTAATTTTTAAAATTTAAATTTTTTATATATTATTTTGATAAAAATTTTAATATATTTAAATAGATTTATATAAAAAATAATTATTTTATATTATAAAAATTTAAAAATATATAAAATCTAATAAAAATATATAATTAGATTCGGTTCGATTTTATTTTTAATTTTTCACATTTTAATCCGAAACTTAATTCAAATTAATATATATTTAATATTTAAATTTGATCTAATTAAATAAAAAAATTAATTTAAATCAAATTAAATATTATAATTTCAAATCAATTTTTCATTTTTTTAAACTTTTTTTCCAACCGCTAGCATTGGACATGGAATTCTTGTAGCGGGAAAGATGCTTGAAACACCTGTTTCATGTTTTTTATTTGTGTTATCAGATTATACTCAAGGGGAAAACAAGACTTGTGTAGTAGGAAAACAGACACCTCAAACATATATGGAAACAACTCAAAAATTTTGAGAGGAAAGGGGATAACATTCAGAAAATAAAAAATAAAAAATAAAAAACCGAAGAGACGTGCACGCAAAGAGAGGGCGATTTATCCTGAGTGGCCATTGGTGTAATTAAGGTGATTTTGTCTGGTTGTGTTAGAGACAGACAGACGCGTTTTGACGTTGCTAATTTTATTAGTCGGGAAAACTGTTGACTTTGACTTCTCTTATGTTCTCTTTCAATCCCAAAAACCCTGTCTGCCTTCCATTGCTAACTTCCCATTGCCGCAATCTCCGCTAGGGTTTCCCATGCTTATTCCAATTCCCCCCCTTCCTCTACTTCTAGAAATTGTTTGTTCACCTTCATTGCTTCTCTTTATCATTAATACACGCCACCTCTACCCTTATTTTTTCTTTTAATCTCTATTTTCATCAAAACCCCTTTTTTTAATTATTATTTTCTTTACATGTATTAATATATTAGATTTTAATTTTAATAATTAGAATTGAATATTTTTTATATTTTTTATGATGAAATTATAAGTATAGATTATAATAATAATTAAATATTATATTTATATATAAAAAATTATTGAATAATCAAATAAACAAATTAAAATATTACTAAACAAAATTAAACCAAACCCATACAACAAAACTTGAATCTATTATCGAAATTATATATATATATATATATATCATATTATCTAAAAATAGAAAATTGTCGTGACCATACACTTATCATGACTTTGATTTTTTTTTTTATTGGTTTGAAGAAATCAAAGATTTAATTCAAGTTTCCGAAAATAAAAGTCCAGCATCCTATAAATAACAATTCACACGATTGTTGTCAAATTTTGAATTCTACCATTACTATGGAAACCCGTTTTATGTTATTTTACATTTATTGATATACCATGATTATTTAATAGTATATTTTAGTCTTATAATAATATAAAATTGTTCTTTGATCTTATGAATAATCAAGTGTTGAGAACAAAAATTTCAAACTAAATCAAGTATGTCCTACAATTTCACTACATTTGCTTGGTTGGGTTTTTTTTTTTTTTTTTAAATCCATTGCTTTTGGTAATTTCAAACTATATCAGCAGTTAGTGAGATAGTTTTCAGTATTAATGAAGCACATTCATATTAGGTTGCTTAATTTGAAGAATTAGATGTTAAGGAACCAAAGTCAAGTCCACTTACTCTTTTTAAGTTTGAGAAAAACAACCATTTCTTGCTACAAATTTTAAAAGAAGGGAAAAACAAAATATTCCAAAACTACCAATTATTGACTTGGTCTAAGAAGAAAAGTGCGGTGGATGTTTAATTCAGGTTGTTAGGTTGACTATCAAGTCTAGTCTTTAAGAGGAAGATACTAATTATGTAATAATACTTTGCACTAGAAGATAAGTTTAAAATTATTCAATTATAACAAGAAGATGTTAGCTCAATGGTACTAAAACCCGCTTCAGGATTGAAGATTTTGAGTTCAAATTCTGTTATAATATAAGAAAATAAAAAATTTATTAATATATAATAATTTCATCCGAAAAAATTTTTTTGTTATATGTATAAATTTGATACTTAATCATGTAAATTAAAGAAAAATTTGCTTAGGGAAATATATAAAATGAAGGAAGGAATGAGTGGTTGTTCTCTAGAATCAAACTTTGTTTCATAATACGTAATCAAGAGGAAGAAGTTTTCCCTTACAACCGCCATTAGTGGATATGATGTCAACACTAATCTAGAATCGGAATCATAACCTATAACATGCCATGAAGAAAATATTGTAAACCCAAGAATAATTTTTTTCAGGCAAGTATTACTATTTATCTAATTAAAACAATTAAAAACATAATTAACACACAATTAATCAAGACTTGGGTTTGATAATATTCACGAGATTCTCGTATATGTTGAATAATTTGTTGAAAATAATTTTAAAAAAAAGAAGAAAAAAAAGACAGAATTACTTCTTATTATATAACATGATCGTTAAAAATAAAATTAAAAACCCAATCAACATTACTTTTGACATTGTAAACATAAACTTATAAGTCTATATGTCAATTATTCTACTCTACTAATTGCACGCCATAAATTTATAAGATTTTTTAAATGAACCTATCTCTAATAGCATATAATCATGATATCTATCTATCGATCTATATATAAATAAATATATATATATATATCGACAAGAATCTTAGAACTGTGAAATGAAATGGGGTTTGATAAAATAATCAAATCGAACTTTGGTCTATCCTATAATTTATTCTAGAATGAACAGTTTAACTTGCTTTCACATTGAAAAGCATGATAAAACAACGGGAAAACCGTTTCACAAATAGTACTTTTTTTTGTTGATCTTACCAGAATCATTTAGTTTTCAGTCCATTGTTGTTGTCATCTTCAACAACATTTTCTTATTATCAGATCATCATATCAAAGCTTCAAATATAAAGGTCGGTTATAGATTATCCATAAAAGAGTTTTAAAACAATATTCTTGCAGATATACCTTCCGAAAATTCCCTTACACAAAATATAAGCACATATATGGAGACACAAACAGTTTAGTTAGCTGCAAAAGCATGAATGGGGGCAGTTGAGCTTCAAACTTATATTTTGATTCTAATGGTTATTTGCAAGAAGAAAAGTACCCTTATATTTATATATATAATGGTTCTTTTCAGTTTTGCCCTAGTCAAAATTTTAGTTTAATTACGGGATAAAATAACCAAAGGAATCTTAACACTAATTCAAAGGCCAACCACTTCTGCACTTTCCAAAAGTAAACTTGGCGGTCAACTTGCGTCTTGTTGCAATTACATATTAAAGTAGAAAGAGTTTTGATTTCACAAATAAATTTACCGATAGGTATATTTGTGTCATATAAAATATTATAATTCATGTATTTATATTATATTTTATACTAAAATAATATATCATAATTTATGTCAATATAAAAATATAAAATAATTTTTTTTATTTTGTTAAACTAATATATAATTATTATTAAAATTTTAAATCGTATTATTTTAATATCATATTTTTTATATCGTATTCGTATCGTGTTATCATATTTTATTTTAAATTGTCAAATCTATTCACAAACTTAATTTTATAAGAATTTTCATCAATTACAACCATAAAAAAATTTCAAATGATAGCAGATTTATTGATAACAAAAAAAACCTTATCCAATTAAAATAAAAAAAGAACCTATGTATTTATTATAATTAAGTTTAAGATTTTGTTTTCATGGTAAAATTCATGTTAAATCTGAAATAATTGAAACCGTGATGAGACAAACTGGAAGCAGAAATGACTTTGTTATGAGGCAAGCAAAAAGTCCTTCAACCCAATCTTTACGGTAACTAAGCATTAAAGGACGTACGTAGTTCATTTACCTTTTATCTTTCTCCTTTAAAGTTACTTTAACTTGTACGTCGAGAAGTGGAATTGATTCCCTCTTTGAAAAATGGTGATAATGATGTCAAAATCTAGTGCAAGTATATCATGTACGTGGGATATGACAGACTTAAAATCTAATCCTCTCTTGGGCCATGGCCACACCAATCATCAAGCTATGATATTTTCTTGATTGATTGATTATAGTTTGATTAAAAAAAAAAAAAAAGTCCTGAAACCCCTTTTATTCATTTTGGCATAATAATGGAGAAACCCAAATCGAGTTGTTTCAATCTTTAGAGTTTGTAGGAGACTATAAAAGGCTACAATCATGGGTTATGGACACTCCTTTTTTCCCCCATCAATTATGGTCCAACCTCTAAAATCTTTAAAAACGATGGAATAGCCCATAGAGATAAGTATAAGTGATTAAAATTTAAGGTTTAAATACAAAGCATTCAAGTTTGAATCTCATAATTTTTTATTGATAGATGATATGTAAATTTAAAAAATTTATAAATTTTATGTGTGAATTAACAACTTATCCTAACTTTAAAAATAAAATAACTTTTCATTCTCTTAAACTTATTTTAAACAAATATATAATGGAAATAAAAAATAATATATATGTTTGGATAAGATCAATGGTACTGCTATTTCAGAGACACTCCAGCATATTTGAACAATGAAAATATTATACATGGGAAAAAAAATAACATATGAATCAATGAAAGTGAAATATTAAGGCAGTGATAATGTTAAATGTCTAAGTTATTTTTAAAGTTTATTCAAAAGCTTTGACCTTTGACCAGGTCTTGCGCCTCAGAGTTAAGATCAGAAATGAGTAAACAGGGACATTTAGACTTTGGGAACCATGGTCAACAACTCGACATTATTTACTACATTCTTTTTACTAGTCGGTGAACGATGTCTCCAATGGGGAGTTGGATTGGGTGATTCCAAGGCCAAGCGCCATATCTTTTACGTCTTTTCCACGCTCCTACCCCGTTGAAGCCATTGAAGCTTCCTTCCTTCCTTCCTTCCTTCCTTCACATGCACGTGAAATGGAACCAATTCTATATATACCGTGTGATTTTTGTCTGTCTCGTAGTTTGCATCCTTAATCACGAAGCAATCCAGAGTCAACTGTCTTTTTAAAAAATTACCGTCTCGTGCATTCTTTCCAAAATTATTATACATTTCCTAATGTTCAATTTTTTTTTTTATAGTTAAGATTGTCGGAATTAAATTTTAATTATTAAAATTAACATTTTTTATTATCAAAAGAAGTTTTTAAAGGTATATATTTATTTTTTTTCTTTTAAGATTAAAGGATTTATCTTAACATACTGCTGCTAAAAAAAATCCTGCGTATAAATTGTGAAATTTTATAATTGTTTTTTGCATTTAGAACTTAATTTTAAATTTTTTTTTTGAATTCACAAGTTATATTGAGTGAAAAAAAATTTCAATTCGAAATTAAATTTTTTATGTTTCTATTAAATATTTAAATCATTAGATTAAAAGCTTAAAAATTGTTTAATATTTATTTAATAGTATGATATGATTCTTATCTTAAGTTTTAATTATATAATATATATTATTAGTTGGATTTTATACGACTAGTTGATTTGGGTTTTGAGAAATTGTTGTACGTAATTTACTCGTCGGTTAAATGTGCTCAACAGCTGTGATATATATATCATCGAATGCCATTTATTTAATAAAAATGCCTTTCACATGTTTCATGAATTAAGATTCATAACAATTACTAAGTTAGAATTTTTGTACACATAAAATATGTTAACAAAGAAGGTTCTTTTTTTTTTCTCCATTTTTAAACTCATCGATTTTCTTAGTTACTGACTAATTTTAGAATTGTTATTAAATTATTTTTATTAAATAAATAAAATAATTAACCGACAAAAATAAGAGAAAATAAAAATAATTACTAAAAAGAAAAAATGGAGAGGGCGTGTAATAGAAGCCACCCCATTAGGGAAACGAATATACTAAAACCGCGTAAAAATGCTTTAGAAGACTGATCAAAAAATGGTAGCCGTTGGATTTGACACGTAGGATTGCCAAAAGAGACAAAAAAGACACCTATCCGGACATCGTGTTTCAAGCGCGATTTCAGGGACGAAAAGGCATAGCCTCGTGGCAAATGTGGTTTCACTAATATTACAAATTATTTAATTAATTTAGGTCGTGTTTAGTGTACACATTTATATAATTTAAAATATTAATATAATTTTTAAATAAGGTAAAATTTACATAAAATTTTATAACTTAAATTTATGAAATTTATTTATTAAAAGTGAATAAATAAAAATTTTAATAAAAAATTTAAATTGATATATTAATAAATTTTAATATAAAATTTAATAAAATATAAAAATATTATTTAAAATATTATTTATAATTTAAATTTGATTTATATTTATTTAAAGATAAAAATTTTATCAATATTTTTATTAAAAATATTTATTTAATAATAGATTAAAATTTTTTTAATTTTTTAAAAGTTTTATACCATTGATTTATATGATTAAATTTTTTAATTTATCAATTTTAATTTTAATTTATTAAATTTTAATAAAAAATTCATAAATTATACTTATAAAATTTCATATAAATCTTTTTATTTTTTAAGCATATATATCTAAGTAGTAAAGAAATTTTTTATTTTTTATACTATAAATTTCATAAAATTTTCCTTCTTTAACTTCTCATGGCTTTATTTTAATTTTCTTAAGCAATAGTTTATATTATAAATAAAAAATGAAAAAAAATACAATTATTTAAAAAAAAAAACCTGAAACTACCTTATGTTGTGATTAAAACGACTTACCCCTAAAAAGGGCCAAAAGGGAAAAGAAATTTTGGAAACTTAAGCAAAAGAAGCTTGCCGACGGTGTTGGCTTGTCGGGGGAAGAAGTGGGCGAGTGATGAGTTGGAGACTCTGCTGACGCGTTTATCGTGTCAGCATTCAAGACGCGGCTATTTTCAAAATGCGTTTCCTTTTTTTAAGCATTTGTTTTTCTTATCTCTGCATGAGCCATATGACGAAACTACCCTTAAGCTCTTGTTTCTAGATTGATTTAATTATAAATATGTCTTAAGGTACTTTCCTTGTCAAAATTGCTAATGGGAAAAGTGATACTTGAGCTATTTCTTTAACATGGGTGGAATTTTTTGGTTGATTTGTTTTTTCCTTTAAAAATTGTTGTTCTAAATTACTAGTATTATATTTTGGCAAAAAAAAAAAAAAAACTAGTGGCATATATAATATCTTGCACATGGGGAGCCTAAGAGTGGAAAATTTTTCTAGTTTTATCTTTTCCTCTTGTCTTTCTAGGAAATGATCATCAATTGAGTGAACAAAATCTTGCATAAAGATTCTAAGAAAAAAAATCAAATCTATAAGCTCATATTCTAAATTTATATTTAATTTAATAATTTTAAATATAATACAACGTTGAATATAAAATAAAAATAAATGTTAAAGTAATATGATTTAAAATTTTTAAAAATTTTAATAATATTGAGGTTGTAGACTAAAAAGCTATGAACGAGAGCCTCTAACAAATAAAGAAAAAGAAATTGTAACTAGTTGATTAGATTTTTATATATAAATCAAGTATAACCTTATTTATTTGTATAAATGTGATACATGATAGCAAATGGTGGAACATGTGTGAACTTACAAATTCACATGTAAAATATCTTCCAAATAATTCAAATTCAGCACATATATATAATTGACATGTGATTGGCTCTCTTTGAAGAATTTTATAAAATACAAGATTAAAGAAGGGCATAAAAGTCATTTCAAAAAAATCTTTTTTTATTATAAATTAATTTAAATTAAACAATTTATTTAAAAGTTAAAAGGGCGAACCGCGAAAAGAACCAAAAGGACGGCCTCTTCCACACACAACCGGTTAAACAGGTCAACAATACGCGTACGCAATAGTGGACCCAACGGAGAGGGGCGGTCCGTAGGCAATAAATGACTCCAACACCGGCCTTGAGCGTCCCATAAATTGCCACGTACCGTACTCAGAATTAACCGGCACATGGCGGTCATCTTCTTCTCAAATTTCCAAGATGTTCTCCAAATCCAACGCCCAAACACTCCCCGTTCTCTCTCACTCAGTTATTTATTTATTTATTTTTTGGTGTAATATTAGGATAAAAACTTTGGGTTTGTTTTGTTTTTTAAAAGATGGAAGTGAATGTGTGAAGTCTATGGAGAAGAAGAAAGAGAATTCCATGGCAAATATGAGATTTTCCGATGAGAATCCGTCAGCAACAACTGGCTTTGGTGGAAGCATCTTTGACATGGTGGCAGTAGGAACACATGAAGTTAGTGGTGCAGATAAGTGGGGTGCTTTAGGCTTCATGGACTTGCTTGGTATCCATCAAGATTTTGTTTCTCCTTCTTTATTCGATTCCTTTCAGACTCCGATTCTTTCACCACCACCACCACCTCCTCCATCATCGTCTGAAGTACTACTTCACCAAGATATATTACATGAACAAAAACAGGATACTAAGCAGCAGCTTCTTCAAGGCCTTCCATCGCAGGCTTCCACTATACCGGAATCTTCAGAGGTTTTAAACAACCCGGCAACACCAAACTCTTCTTCGATCTCTTCCTCGTCGAATGAAGCTGCAAATGATGAGCAAAACAAAGCTGGGGATGATGAAGAACAGGATCAGGACCAAGACAAGACAAAGAAACTGTAAGCTTTTCTTTAGTATTCATCTTTTTTTAAGCTATGGGTTTTATTCAGTACACGGTTTTATAGACGTTTGGAGTACTTGTCTTTGCTGATTTTTCAAGTAAAGTTCTGTACTTGCTTTATGGGTTTAGGTTGAAACCCAAAAAGAAGAACCAAAAAAGGCAAAGAGAACCGAGATTTGCGTTCATGACTAAGAGTGAAGTTGATCACTTAGATGATGGCTATAGATGGAGAAAGTATGGGCAAAAAGCTGTGAAAAACAGCCCTTATCCCAGGTATCAAAATCTAATCTAAATCTGATCCACTTATTTTTTTTAATTTTAATTAGCATAAGAATTCAACTCATAAAAAGAGTACTTTAAGATAACTTTGTTTATTAATTGTGGGTTTTTAATATGATTGAAACAGGAGCTATTATCGATGCACTACGGCAGGATGTGGGGTGAAGAAGAGAGTTGAGAGATCATCTGAGGATCCGACGATCGTCGTTACGACATACGAAGGGCAACATACGCATCCGTGTCCGATAACACCTCGAGGAAGCGTTGGAATTGCCCCGGATTGCTCTGGCTTTGCTGCTGTTTCAGCTCCATCTTTTGTTGTTCCTCAACGCCAGTATTTACATCATAATCATCAGCAACATGTTCAACCCTATATATATACCACATCGCCTTCTATGAATATCACTACTACCGCTAGCTCTAGCTTGAATTCCTCGTTTCCTGCTTTACTTGAAGCGAAACGACTTTTTAGTCCTAATTCTTCAACTTCATCATCACTTAGAGACCATGGACTTCTTCAGGATATTGTTCCAACCCAGATGAGGAAAGAGGCGAAGGAAGAAGAGTAGATATGGGTTTTAATTATATGGTGCTGGTATGTAGTTTCCTAACTAACTGATCCTGAGGGTATTTATCTTTAGATAAAAGAGCGCACTTCACCATTTTATATACATACCTTTTTATGATCAGGTTATTTCTTATCTGTATAAAATCACTAGTCTTTTTGGTCTTCTGGATTTCTACTACTCTCGTTTTGTACTTGCTTTTTCTTGTGATCATTCTTTGTATTTAGAGAGTACTCAATCATGGAGATATTGGTTTTTTTTTTTATTCTTCCATTTCGCTTCCCCTCTAGCCATTTTCTTCTTGTTTCATTGTGTGTGCACCCATGCATATGAGCAAGGGATAGACTAAGGTAGAAAGAGCCTTTAGGGTTAGGGTTTTTCTTGATGAGAAAAGTGGTTATGAAGGCTAGTTATTACTAGTAACTTTTTGGTATGAGACAAAATCCTTTAACTTTATGGGAAAAGAAGCATTCCAAATAATGAATTTGGGAAATCTACCCTAAGGGAGAGGAAAAAAAAGGCGTTTGAAAGTTATTGGGAATGCGATAGCTTGAAGTACATGCATGCGATAGCTTTTTAAGCATTCCCATTAGGCTTTTTCATCCTTTTTAAGCTAATTAGAAACAGATATGGAGGCCGGGGGTCATAAACGAAGGAAACTGAACATCTTAGCAAGGTGGAAATGGAGTGCTGTGATCTCTAGAAATTAGAAGGATGCATGGTGAGAGATTTTGGCAGAGGATCTGGTTCCCCATATTGCACTGTCTCAGCTAGCTAGAAATACTGAGCTTACTTATATACATGGCCATACTATGATGGACATGTATATGCATATATTCTTGTTGGAAGTTTCAATAAGTGCACTATAAAGTATATAGTTTCATATACAGATCGACAACTTTAAAAAAGAAACGAAAAAAAAAAAAATCTTTTGAATCGCGGAATTCCAATATATAGTAGCACAATATAATTATTCAAAAATGTTGTTATTAGTCTTTATATATATATATATATATATTGACTAACATGTAAGAATAAAGAGATAACGTGCGTGAAAGAATGATTAACTTTTCCCAAATTGTCTTATCAGTATCTTTTATCTAGGTCCTTCCAGGTGGATCCCGTCCCTTGCAAGATTTTTGCATACAACAGCTGGCTTGAAAATTTGGACAGCATTTTCATTTCCATAAAGTATTTTTTACTTTTCAAGCATTTGGAAACTTTGCATTGATAATACAGGGTGATTCACTTCGATTTTTGTGAAAAATACTTTGAAAATAAAATCATGAAATGTGAAGTATAGTGCACTCTATAAAATAACTCTAATTGTATATATTAAAAAAATATAGAATCGTGTGCATGAAAAGAAATACATCTCTCATAAAAAAATGACATGCATGAATGTATGTATGTATATATATATATATATATGTACGTATGTATCGATTTTATGATTGCTTTGGAATCAAGAAATGTGGTGTAAACATGGGTTGGTCACTAGTTTACTCAACGTCACAAGGAAAGGAAGAAGGAAGAGGATAAAGATTCTTGTATTTTATTTTATTTCTCTCGTGCTTACGAACATTCCTTAATTGGTGGGGTGAAGAAGGCTTTCTCAAACTTTGCTGGAAAATTAAAAAGATAGAAAGCATAGTCTTGTTTTTTTCCTAAGAAAAAGAAGTTGCTGTTGATATCACAAACTCTCCAATTTAACCACTAACCAATCAAACTAATTAAGAAGAGCTCTCATAGTTATCCTCAAAAGCAATCAGACTCAAATGCCTCTATGCACATCATGAACATATCGATCATCATCTCCCTTATTAAAGCTATGCCGAAAAGTTAAGTCCGGTCACTTTCCTACAATTATATATATATATATATATATATATATATAGGATTCTTTGTTCTAACATCTAAGCAAGAAAAAACCATAATAATATTATTTTCATATGATTTTAGAGCTCATATATATATTTATATATATATGAGGCTGACACTTCAACTAAATGATAATACATTAAACGTACTCGAGATATGTGGATTCAAATTAATTCGGAAAATGAAAGGGAAAGCTTACAATTAAGGTTAATTAAGACTATTTCCAGCCAGAAACAAGTCAGAACTGAACTTAAGTTACAATCAAAAGTGTTATATTTATGGTGAATCATCCTTAACCCTCCTTTTATTAATTTTTTGGCTTCATAGCTGTTTATCTTTCCTTAAGTGGACTAATTCAATAGGGATTTGATCAGCTTTTCACTAACCATGCACTGTATTTTTTTCAAGTAAATTACCTTTGAAGAGCCTAATTAGAGATATATTTGTTACTATCATATAATTTTAAATTTTGATTGATTAATTTACTATAATTATTGTAAATGATATATTCCTCACAAAGCAAGTCTCAATTTTTTTTTTTATAATTAAAATTCTTAGGAATTGAATTTTAGTCATTAGAATTAAGAGTTTTTTTTCTCTATCATTATATCACATATTGTTGATAGAAAATCTTGGATTTAACTTAAAAGAAACAGTTGATTTTGTTGATTTAAAGAGGAAAACCTTTATTTCCTATACTCTTTTATAAATGATGAAAATTAACATGTTTCTCCTAGTTAATTGCCAAGAGGATGGGTAATAGTAGTAAAGGCAACAGGGGTGGGTAATGTAGATGAGTTTAAAAATTAAACATTGTTCTGCAATCTTCAAAGAAAAACTAACAATTGAGAAGAATAAAGCTGTCTTTTTGAATTTTGAGCACTTCGATTCTGTCTAGAGTTGTCTGAGGATCAATTAAAAAGGTAAAAACATTTCGTAGCCATGGCCTGTTTTAAGTTCTCCTTTGGACCTGGGCCACTGCTTCTGGACATGATACTCTGTTGACTTTTCCTGGTTTTGTTCCAAGCTCCAGCATATATGTAAATTGGGCCATAGCTTTATTTTTAGTGTCCACCACTAATTGTGTTTTGGATCAGTCCTTTTAATGCAACCGCCATAGCCAGTGACCCAAATCTAATCAGAGATTACAGATTCTAAGGTTTCCCAAGCTGTGACAAAAACCATAGTTACCACTTCTCACGGTCCCAGTGTCAGCTCCAAACCAACTTGTCTCTCTTCTGGTATCGTTCATAAGCTTCAAGCTGCAGCACACGGCGCTAGGTATATATGCGTTTCTCATGACGAAATATAAAACTTGACCTCTCCCATGGCTTGACTGCTTCTTCCTTTAACTTTTATCTCAAATGACAAATTTCTTTTATAAATAAATAAATATATATATATATAAAAGACAATATTCACTTGCAGTTCTAACACTAAAGAGTGGAAGATGGCCAAATAGTCGGCTTTCTGTTCGGTAATGCTGAAGCTTTCCATCTCATTTGCCAATGTGCCAAAACCAAACACCTTAAACGAAACATGTCTTGATGACATTAGTATTGTGCTGGAGATTAACTTGAATAAAGATAGCTGCCCAGAGGCATAACCTATCATCGTCACTTGGGTTGAGAATGCAGTATCCCAGAACTCTAGAATGCCAGCTTCGCTGCGTCTCCATTTCCATGATTGCTTTGTTAATGCATGTCACTCTTTTATAATACCAGTATTTTTTTTTTCCTCTTTTAGATCTTCTTGTAACATAATGTAGGATGTGACTTGTGGGGGTTTCGAAGTGATCGATGCGATGAAATCTGAGCTTGAATTTGTTTGCCCTGAAACTGTTTCTTCTGCAGATATTCTTGCAACAGTTGCCAGAGACTCTGTCGTTCTAGCAAGTAGTAAGTTTTATGAAGCATAAAATTATGCATACACTACGGACTTTTAACAGATCTGTTGGAATATAAAATTTGGATTTGCAGTCAGGGGGTCCTACTTGGGAAGTCCAGATGGGCAGAAAAGACAGCTTCAGTGCTAGCAAAGCAGCAGAAACAAACAACATATCAGGCCCAAATTCTACTGTTCCAACACTGGTTGCCAAGTTCCAGAATGCTGGGCTCTCATTCACTGACATGGCTGCCCTGTCTGATGATGATTTCTTTGACTTCACCTTGTATTTTAGAACTTTTTTAACGTGAACGTTTTGAGGAAAAGCTATTGAGAAACATAAACATGAAACTAGCTATGGCATTGGCAGGTGCACACACATGATGGGAATGGCTCGATGCTCAACATTGACCTCATAACTTGCTAGGGTCAAACGGTCTAGATATCAATCTTGATTTCATTCAAAATCTGCGGCAGTTGCTCTAGGAATCAGAGGTTATTTCAAGGCTTGCGCAACGCGATCTAGTGAGTCCTGCAAATTTTGACAACCAGTACTACATTAACCTTCTTTCTGGAGAGGGATTGCTACCATCCGACCGGGCCCTTGTCACTGAGGATAATCAAACTCGCCAACTTGTACTCTTCTATGCGGAGGACGCTTTGTCTTTCTTCGAGGACTTCGAGAATTCTATGTTGAAAATGGGGAGACAAGGGGCATACAGTTAGTGGGACTAATGGCGAGATTCGTAGGACTTGCCAGATTGTTTATTCATGAACATCATCGTCGTCATTGCGTTGGCTTGGCTGTTCAGAATCCAATTCATCACAACCGTCATCAAGGAACGTCAATTTGGAGCAAAAAGAAAGCTCTATTTCTAAGTATCAGATTATTATAGCAACTAATATTTTATGTATTTAATATTTATGTTACACAATACATATGGCATTCATCGCCCCTAATATTAATGGCACAGAAGCTCAAAATGCCAGTAACAGCAGGAAGCAAAGGTTCCCACTAAATTCTGAGAAGAAAACTATTCAATATTGTAAGCTATTATTACACATCTTATCAGGTATTTAAGCCTAAAGCAACCGCCGCGGCATGAATGCCTTTGCCCTGACTACTATGCTATTTCTGTTGCCGAGCATTCACCAAGAAGAAAGTTGTTCCCCATTAGCAGACTCACCTCAGCTTCCAACTTTTAGGTTCCTGGAGATGAAAAGTTCTCCCATTAAGGCAAACATGAATAAATGATCAATGATACATGACACATAACAAGAAAGGAGCTTCAACTTGTGACTGGTCTTGCCTAAATATCTGGACGGTAACAGGTTAGGACAAAGACAATTACAAGCCAGTGATTTCAGCTGATGTCTACCAAATTACATTTTCATTTCTCTAATTTTACTTTCTATACTAGAGAAACAAGCAGAAGCAAAAGCATGGACACCCCAAACATCAAGGCTAAAAAGGTTAATGTAAAATCAAGCAAAATTAAAACCTGATGGCTTATTTTTCCAAGCTAAATCCTGCACTGTCTGAAGCCCCTGCAGCAAACAGACTGATTAAATGAATATCGTTGTCGAGAGAATCCAGAAAAAAAAAAAGAAAATTAAAACACCTGATACCTGTTGGAAGGGAGTTGGATCATTGCCTGATGCCACCACTGGTAATTGTCCATAACCAAGTTCCTGTTAAATCCAAAGATGCAAAAGAATATGAGATTGTATGAGACAATAAACTCTGAAAAGAAAGTAAAAACAAAAACGCCCTACAAAACTAATAACTATAAAAGAAGGGTTGAAAAAAAAAAGAAATGAATTGCAATTTAGATGCGAAACAATTTTATAAACTAATTAAGACAATGTTGGTTGAAACGCCTATAAATCATAAAGAGTAGAATGAGTGTTTGTGGTCTTCTTTTTATTTGCATGGGCTTTTAAGATAAAATTTACCTGTGTATTTTGTTGATTTCCAACTCCAGAAGCTGGATACTGGATACCCACAAAATAGGGTTAGCAAAGGTACAACTAAATATTTAAACACAATAAAACCCAAGTTAATAAAGTCAAAAACTAACCAATGTAGGAAAAAACGGCTGCTGTAACTGTGGAGGGTGGCGGATCTTTGTTTGAAGCTGGGTCTGGGGCTGCACCTGCTGTGATGCTTGTTGAGCAGGGATTGACTGAGTTTGAGACTGTTGGACAGGTGGCTTTTGTTGTTTTTGTTGTTGCTGTTGTTCAAATAAAATTAATTCTTCAGGCTTCTCCCACTGCATATAGATACAGAAATAAATCAATAACAATACGTGAAAAATTAATTAATTAAGGAAAACTCCCCAACAGTCAACCAAATCTCAAATAAATGTCTCACCTTGCTTTCACGAGTTAGACTGTTATGATAGTACTTGAATCCATCAGGTGAAGTATGCTCTGTCCAATGACATTCTACTGGAGCAACTGTTGGTGTCATAACAGGTGCAGCTGTAGCAGATGCAGATGAAGGAACATCTGTACCGGGTGTATTAGCAGGAGTGCTGCCAACAGTCTGTTGTGTCATCCCAGCCCACTGAGATTGGACCAAGCAAACTCTTCAGCATACAACAATTACAGCACAACTTTCAAAAGCAATCACATTACAAAAATAAATTTTTTTGGCAACAAGCACAATTTAACATGGAAAGATGGCAGTTCAGGTACTACCAACGCGAAAGGCATGTTGACATCAAGATGTTAGATACACATGGAGGAGAATTAGGATCCAGTGATCAGCAGAGCATTTAAAATCCTTAATTTTTATTGCAGAAAGATTCCTTTTAGAAAGCTAATAAATTTTTCTGACAGATTTGAACTGAAAATCATAAAATGGATCCTCTGTTTATTTCCCTAGAAATGACTTGGAAAGCCCCAATTTACCTCTGCAAAAAACTACTGTTCGAAACCCAACCATCATGGCCCCACATACCTGTTGTTTAGAAGCCTGTGAATTCTGCTGCAATATCATATTCTGATTTGAAGGTTGCATCAGCTGTAATTGTTGCTGCAGCTGAGAAAATGCGTGCTGAGACGATTGAAAGCTAGCTTGCAAAGTTTGTGTTTGCTGAGACAGCATCTGAGCAAGCTGAGAAGGTGATTGCTGAAGTGGATGAAGCAATTGCTGCTGGATGGGAACAGGCAAGTTTTGTGGATTTGCTGTAGTAGTCACCGAATTGGCCTGTAAATTGGGTGGTAAGTTGACACTCAAAGGGCTTTGTAGTGCTGCAGCAGATGAAGCATTCTGCTGAACCTGAGGCCTAGAAGCAGGTAACTGGCCACTCAAACCAACTAGATGTTGTGTGGGAAGAGGCTGACTGAACGGTGTCTGGCTACCAGGAAGAGGAACTTGTAGTTGACCAACATTCGCAGTCTGCATCTGTGAGTATGACACAGATCCTAGAGGGTGTAGTTGAAAGGATGGAGGTAGATGCTGAGGAGACTGAAGAGGCTTCTGTAAAGGTGAAATTTGCTGACCAACTGTAGGAACTTGTGATGAAGGTTGATTAAATCCCTGAAACAAAACAAACCTGATTCAATCTGGAAAATGAAGATCAAGAAAGCATAAAAAACACAAACAATTTTCTCAAACCTGTTGTGAGGTAGACAAAGATGAAACTGCAAAGCCAGGAAGAGAACCATCTGAAGGGCCACCAAAAGGACCACCCTAGTGTTTTCATGGTAAGCAAGAGTTTGCATGTAAAATAAAATATAGAAATAAGAAAGTTTCCACACAACATGAATTTCACAGATGAAAACTTTAAAAAAGGTGTAGCATAAAAGACCGAATAGGATAGAAATGAAAAAAGCATGACCACTAATTCAAAGCTTTCAGGCTCCAAGTGACAGAGTACCCAAATGACAGTACTTTTTATGAAAGAATCTTTGCTTTGATTGAAAGGCAACACAAATTTGTCAGCTTAACCATAAAATAAGAATGTAGAAATCAACCCTAAAAATAGTTTTTTTACAGAATTACAGTTAATGGGTATACTGTTCAAGCTACAACAATGACTTCAACATTCCATCCACAAAATATGTGACCACATGCCATCAAAGAGGAATATTGCTGATAAACACTGTTTATTGCAAAAACTAACAATGTGCATTTAACAATTATTCTTACCGGGTTTAAAGGTTTCACTAGGTCACCAGACCTAGGGAGCAAATGACTCCCCATACTCCGAATACCAGGATTAGAAGTTGTTCCCATATTCTGTGGACTCATGGGGTTCCAAGCAGTAGGTGGAACATGGTCCCCTATTGCATCACCAAAGTTTGGTGCTGGTCTGCAATGGTTAACATGGAAATGGAAGTTCAGAAAAATAAGCCAACAGGAGATGGCTTAAGCCTTAAAGCATTAGACTTTGTCAGAACATGTTAACTGGGTTGAGGGTACCTAGGCCCTGGTGCTTGGAAACGAGGACCAAAACCTGGACCTCCGAATGCAGGAGCACCACCAGCCCTGGAAAGGAAAGCAAGTTAAAAACAGCCTAAAGCTAATTCGATCAAGAGGCCAACAGATGAATCAACAAACCGATACACAATCAATTTTCATCCACAATGAAAGGTAAAAAAAATGTCCAACAAAAGAGACACCTATAGCTAACTACCAAAGGCATGACCCTTTCCTGTTCACATCCCAGTAATCAATGTACAAGCTTGCACATAAAGAAATGCATAACATGTCTTAGGAAAAACCTTGAGTCTCCAGCTCCATGCCTTGGCCTCTTAGGATCAGCAAAACGGACAGTTAATGGTTGATCACAACCCTAAGAGGTAGAAAACAGATAATCAATATGTACCCTTCGATAATACAATCAATAAACAAAACATTAAGAAAGAAATAATGATGCTTACTCGCATTGTATAAATTCCATTAAGAGCATCTATAGCTGCTAGTGCCATTTCTCTATCAGAGTATTTAACAAATCCACATCCTTCAAAAGGAATAAAATAAATAATTTAAAAATGAAGAGAGAAAGTAATGAAAGTAGTTTTAATATGAATGTCTTAGAACTAAACAGAAATTTTCTAAAAGACATGATTTTTGATAAATAATGTAACAAAAGAAACAAAAACAGAAAGCATTCATCAAATCCAAGATGGTCATATAAATAGAACTCAAGGACACACCGCGACTCTGCTTCAATTCATCACGCATGAGGTAAACATCTTCAACTCGACCAAATCGAGAAAAAACCTGCCACAGAGACAACAATTACTGTTTGGTAGAATGTACAATCTACAGGAAAAATTAAACAAAAATAAACAAGTAAATAATCTAAAGTGTACGTAAGTTCTGCATAAAAAGAAGAAAAAAGAGGCATGTGATGATTGGAGTGAAATTACAAACAGTCATTAGAACAAGGAATCTTCTTTCACACCAGAAGAACAAACGCCTCACAAAAAGACAGCATGATTAAATATAATAAAATGTTTATATGACATACTTCCTGAACATCCATTTCAGTAGCTTGTTTATTCAATGACCCAACAAACAATTTGTACTCAACTGCACCTGTCATTAAGGAAACATAATCTGTTATGGAAAAATTAGATGATATATGGATCAGAAGCATAAGCATGCAACATTATTATAATGAAGCACAATCCCTCACACCCCTGCGTCTGCCACAACATAGGAAAGTAGAAGGTACAGATAAATCTAGAGATTTCCCTCAATTAAGTACGTTGTTCTTCAAATCTGGGCCTACTTAACTAAGCATTTAAATCATTCTCCTACTAATACGCCACAGGAAACATACTGTTTCTAATAAATCTAACAGATCATGTGTCTAGTTGCATTCTTTCCTATCTAATTTTCATTTTCTTGAATCTTTCAGAGTTTCAATTATGAGACATAAATTCAACAAAAGGCACAAATATGCCTGGACTCCGCAATACATGAGATAAATGTGCATAAACACATGTCTAGGCTTTTAAAAGACTGCTATTTGACACCTATGCCTGTACCAACAAAAGGAGACACGCTCCCTCCATTCTAAAATTAAAGGGCATCAGAAAAATCACAGTAAATAAGGGCATGCAGCACCTGACTTCAAAAACCACAAGTGTCAGTAAATATGACCTCCTTGGACATCACATAATTAAGGTTGTACGTTAAAGAGAACATACTGCATCTAACAACCAAAAAGATATTCTATTGATACATATTCACACATGTAAATTACAGATCAATCATCAAAATCTTATAAATATGTAAAATAATTACCAAGGCGTTCTCGTTCCCCATCAGCGTATCTGACTTGGATAGGACCCAGTCCCTGTGAATGAATGAAAACGTAAAACTATTTCAGTTATAAGAGAATATAAAACCATTTCAGTTATGTATATAAACAAAAAATAGAAGGGGCAAAAGACCTCACCCCTGGCAGAGTATGTTGATTGTGTAAGGCTCTAATAGCCCTATCAGCTTCTTCTAAGGTTGCATATTTTATAAAACAACATCCTGCACAACCATAAATTTTTAATTTTGATTTTGTTAGATCACTTGCACCCCAAGAAAAGGTGCAGATAGGCAGTCGCATAAAAAATCATGAGATGGTAAAATACATGTCATGGAGATATGCTGTTATAGATGCATATGAATGTAATTAGAAAAGGAACATCTACATTATTACCATAAAAAATCCATGACTGGAAGACAAGAATCTTAATATGAACATATCTATTTTCATTTAGCACAAATAACACAGAACAAAACGAATCCCAACACTATATGAGAAAGTTCAAAAGAGAAATATCTTCAACTAAATCATTTGTATCTCAGACAAAGCAGAGTACATACGACAAATATCTCAATTTAAACAATACATCCCTGCCAAACAAATCTTAAACAGAACATAGTAGAAGATAGTAATATAAAAGCTGAAGGATTATCTGCCTGACAGTTCTTTAGAACAAGTATGTTAGTAAATTATAATGCACCTTCAACAAAATATAATTCATTCAACACAAGAAAACACAGATAAAGAACACCATGACCACAAAAAAGTTGTTCTTTTTATATGTGGAGAATATTATAGATATAGACACCAATATGAAAACAGGGCATAATTCCTTCCTGCAGTAAATAGCACCATCTCAACAGCCTATTGTTGTTATAAGAAATGCTACAGATCTACATAGAAAAAAAGCTTTCAACCATGCATTAATCCAACAAACGGTTTGCTACCCTCAGTACGAAGACCGTAGAGCACAATCTTGTCAGCCATCACATTTTAAATCCATGCATTTAATCCAGATAAAACCAAAAATCATACAGAAATACCCAGGCAGAAAGAGGGAGGCAAAAAGAGAGAGAAGCGAAAACAAAAAGAAAAAGTTTCTAATAAGCTGGAGTTGAACAGCATGAAAATAAGCAACGCAATGCTTACAGACGGAACTCTAGGGGCAGTTGGAGAAAGGAGTTTATCACACAATAGAGAAAATTGCAAGGCAAGGCACCAGATATCATCTTATATTTCTTCTCTTTTCCCTTTCCATAAGAGGGAGCCAAACCGACATACACACAAGCTGAGTCATACACTCCAAAAAGAACTGCTAGTCATTAACATTACAACTTATAAGAATATTCCAATCTTAAATCTCCAATCAGCCCCAAATAAATAGCATAAGGGCATCAGCATCAATAGGAGTGTAAATGATACATTAATACTCACAAGCTATTCAGGTTCTACTCGAATAAAACTCGAATTCGACTGAATTATTATTAAGTCGAGCTTGAACTCGAGTAGCTTAACTTATCAATTGAGCCGAATTCGAGCATTCTTATACCTGACTCGAGTAGCTCGTAAGCCTAATCGAACTTTTATATTTTAATATATTTTAATTAATAAAATATCTTGAACTTGAGCACTAATTTGAGCACAAATAATCGAATTTTTGTCGAATATAAGAATCGAGCTTATTTTTACATGTTAATCGAGTCAAATCGAGTGAACTCGAGCAGCTCAATTTCTATCTCAAGTCAAGCTTAAGCTAAAAAATAAAACTCAATCAAGTTCAAGCCGAGTTTTGAGCCTTGAATTTCGAATCGAGATCGATCTCAAGCTTAATACTATATCGGCTCGAACTTGATCGATTATACTCCTAAGCATCAGGCACAAGCACACAGAGAAAGAGTTAAAACTCTGCATTAAGAACATGTAAAAATATGCCAAGCTACATTCTTTCTCTCCTGACGAACTCCAAAGAATATAAACAATGTGCCGAGCACAAGCACCAAGCACAACAGGCATCTAAGCATCCAGGACCATAGAATCAATGAACAAGCATTTTAGGCCTCCACCACATCAGTTTCTTCCTGCTTCATCTATTCAAAAAAATCTCTCACCATATCTTTTCTAGCAATCAATTTAAGCAAATAACATTGGATGGCTAAGCACAAGACTAGATAAGAGATAATGAACAGCACTAAGCTTGCTGCGCAAATTAGACATCTATCTCATTAACACTATTAACTCATTTGAGTATGGAAGTAACCAATTAATCAAGAGACTATTAAATTCTCACATGACAAGCACTAGAAATGAATTGCCAATCAAAGAACTCACATCAATAAGCATCTATGAATATATACAGTCAGAGAAACATCAGCTTCTCACAAATATCTCATAAAACAAAATGAAACTCTGACCAAATCTACAAATAATTCCCATGAAAATGGATCATGGTTCTCTCGCAAGAAGGTACGACCACATCTGTCATAGCTATACACAAGAATGAATAGTAATCCAAAGACGAGCTACAAGAATGATAAACGGACAGAGAATGACTAAGAAACATGGCTGAATACTAAATACAATAAAATAAAAGTAGACAATCGAATGAGACATTTCCTGAAAAGCTATCCTCAATGCTATATTTCAGAGGCTAGCCACAAACAGAAACAACGGTGTTTCACGAAGCCATATGAAAGCAAGGAACCAAAATTTCAGCAAACTACGCTACACAATTCTAGAATCTGAAACCTTCATGTTTGATGGTAATACAACCACTCTAGTTGATTGGTCTGGTAATATGTACAAGCATAGCTTGGTCATGTAAACAACGATTCTCACAAAAGATCCACCAATATATAAGGGATAAGACTAGTGCCATGAAAGTAAAAGTTAACAGCTCAAGTCACCCCTTTGCCACAATAAATCCATAAAGTACACCATTAACAAAGGTAAAAAGAAGCAACACATCACACAAGCCATCGAAGACTCAATTCACGAGAAAAAATATAAAATCATCCTGTAACATCCATTGCTCAACTGAAGCAACAATTTCTGGGAAACAGTTAAAAGCCCCCAAAATTAAACTCAAATACATCCATCGCTCCATGCACATTACAGCTTCCGCATTTCAAAACAGCATCCAAACCATGATACAAAAAGATGAGCTTCCTTGTAAAGAGGAATCCATCAGCATTCACACTCACTACAACGAGATGCAAGCACTACAAATGCTGGCATCACTGAGAAATATAAACAATAAACACCAAGAAACATGCAAAATCTAAACAGTGATAGCCTTTAAATTTTCAACAGGTCATGATAGATAGAATAAAATAAACATCAAATGGGATAAAACTATGCAACCAATTATTAATATCGCATACATTTAATGAAATGAAAAAAAAAGAAAAAAAAAGAAAAGTGACTATAAGGCCAGCCTAGAGCCATAAATACAAATTTGCTGAAATCTAAAACCATCAATTAAACAACCAATGCTACGAACAGCTGCACCAGGTTGTAGTCACAAAATACAGCAGCATCACCAAATAATTTTTTATGGTAAACGAAGAAAATCCCAAAGAACATTTCACAATATTATAAGCATATAAGTTGATACAAACATGAGCCAGCCACCAAAATATATAGGCCATCCAACCTATTATAAAAAGTCATTCTACAAACTTGCCCAATTACACAAGGAGACACCAACCATCCAATTGCCATGCACATATATCAATCCCACAAAATATGATGTCAGTAACACCCCACGAAACTGGAATGGGGCATAACAAAGGCAATTTCAACACATAGAACAGAAATACCATCCACATATCATAAAACATCCAACTTCCATCCATCTCGTCAACATAAAACTTGGCCCACACACATTACCACCCCATCCAAAAATAAGAATTACCAGATTCTCCAAGATAACAACCAACTACAGAAATCCTCCAAATAACATTTTGATATACACCATTCAACAGCAACAATCATAGGATTTTTTGTTTTTATATGATACAATAGTGGCACATCCTGATATATATAACCTAGAGTATTGGCAACGGACAGTTCCATGAAGATTTATTGTCGGCTAAAGCCCCCACGACAGGATCCATTATTTCAAGAATAGGATCTATTCAAGGTACAAGTTCCCTACTTTTTCTATACATAAACCAGTTTTTAGTGAGTTTACATTTCTCTCCTTGTTTAACAGGAGCAACATTAAAAAAAGGAGGTGGAAACCAAAACGAACAAGCGCGAAACTTGTATCAAAAACAAACTGAGACGAAGATGAGCTTAAGTTTGCTCCTATCAGCCTCTCAGCAGACCTGAAATAAGATAAGTATAATAACAAATATCTACCAATGAAACAACATTCATACATACCTTGTGGCTGTCCGGTTCTTTTATCTTTGATCATAGCAACCTCTATCACATTTCCATGTTCTTCAAATAAGGGTCGAATCTAACAAAAGAGGAATAATGATCATTGTTTAAGAAATAATACCAAAATACAAAAGAACAAATAAACATCAGATTACATGATATTTGTAAAATTGTATTCATTCATTATATTGAACCGATGTCCATCAGATAAAAATAAGTGAATTAAATCTTCTGTGGATGGTTTCAAAAGTATGAGGCAATCATGAACTGACTTACATCCTCTTCCGAGGCTGTCCTTGGTACAGATCCCACAAAAAGTTTGGCAAAATTACCACCGGCACCACCAACAAATCGATCTGAACAAAGCAAAAATAATAATAATAATAAATGTTAATCAGTCTATAAGATATGTATGTATTTGTATGAAGAAGCAATTATTAAGGTCAAAATTTAGTAAAAGGAAGTAAAATTCGAATATTAAAAGCAAAGCTATGGCCAATTCAAGACAAAATCATTTGGAAATGAAAACATCCATGAAGCCACGGAACAAGAAATTGCAGTAAATAATTAACAAATGATAATTTTACTTTTAAACGATCACCAAATAGAAGCAATGCGAAGGAAATCCCCTAAAATACTTGAAATTAACCATTTACTTTAAGCAAATGCAGTAGATAAGTGAAAATTTATAATTGAAAATTATATAGTAATTAAGTAATAACGAACCTCGATTGGGAGAACCTCCTCCACGGCCAAACGCGCGTTTCTGTCCTGTATGAGTTTGCGGGGGAGGATGCGGTGCAGGGGGAGGATAATTACCCTCAAAACCACCACCCATAGGCCGAAAACCTCCCCCTGCGCCGCCACTACCACTGCCAATTGGCCGGAACCCTCCTCCTCCGCCACCGCCGCTGTGATGCTGACGAGGAGGACTATCGAACGGACGATGCCCTCCTCCTCTTCCACTGACACGGAAGTTGCTAGGGCTACGACGACGGTGGTGGTAGGAATCTTGGTTATCGAAGTTGTCGTTGAAATTACTATTGTTGCTGTCGTCGTTGTTGTTATAGCGGTTCATTGGAGGCGGCGCGTCAGAGAAACGCGAGGGGCCTCGCGAGTGACGATTGTGATTGTTGTTATTGTAGTAAGAGTCTTGGTCGTTGTTGTTGTTGATATAGTTGTTGCTGTTGCCATAGCGGTCACCTCTGTGCCTATCCAGCTTTGCGGAGTGTTAAAAGTTGAAACCCTAAATTTGAATTTTATAATTTAAAAAGAAAAAATGGAGAAAGGGAAAATACGGGAGGGAACGGCGAAGGTAATTGCAGCTGTCGGGAGAGAAAAAGAAACTAAACAAGTAGAAAGAAGGTAAAAAAGTGCAGGAACTTTTGGTTTGAGTCTTGAACGGGGCAGGTATCTGTGATTGGGCTCATCGGGTTTGGTTTTACTTTATTCGGTACTAATAAGCCCGATTCAATCTTGGACTATTTTCTGGGCTCCCTAATACGGGCCCTGTCGGTTAGAAACTAACTCAAATTATGGCGTTTATTAGGACGATAACGGTTCTCACTATTCTCTTTGATTTTTTCATATATCGATATTATAAATTTTTAAAATTCAATTTGAATTCGAATCAAGCTCTCGTGTACAATTCGAATTAAAACGAAATTTTATCAATTTTATTTAATTTATCGATTTTTTAAATTTAATTTTTTTATATATTATTTTAATATATAATATTTGATATATTTAAATAAATTTTAATGTAAAATTATTATTTTTATTTTATAAAAAATTAATATATATAAACTAATAAAAATATATATTTGGTTAAATTTTTTTATTTTATTTTCTGATCTAATCTTCGATTCGAACTTAATATATATTTAATATCCGAAGTTAATCCAAATCAAATAAAAAGAATTATCCAAATAGAGTCAAATACTATGATTTCAAATCGATGGTTTATTTTTTACAATTTTGTTCTCATCCCTAGTGTTTATAAGTCTAATTATCATCGTCTCTGTTTGGATTGAAGTTAATAAAGGAAAAGAAAAGAAAAGAAACCAGAACTTCATCAAGGCTTTGAAGCTTAACAATTAATATTTTCTTTCTAAACCAATGCTGGCAATAATCAGTAGTATTTACTAAATTCTAATTGTTCAAGTCTACCTATAAAACCCTGTATCAACTTCCGAAGTTGCACAAGTTAGTTCTTTTTCTTCAACTAGAGCAAAAATTTCTACTGATAACCATAAAGGATCTATATGAATAAAAACTTCTTCAGCTTTATGTTCTTTAGACAATTTAGACAAAATATATATTCTTCTACATGATGAAGTCCAAGAAAGAAATTGATTGAAAAACAGAAATTTCATTGGTGTACATGAAGCAGAGATTTTATAAAATATTAAAATTATAAATAATGCATGAATCAAATACTTGCAAAACTTCAAAGATCATGCAATCAAATGAAGAGCAGACCCAAGACAAGACAAAACAATCATATATAAGCCTTTTTCCAGGAACATAACGCAAAAACATTCAACTTAATGTGACTTAAAGCAGGGGTCTGAATAAGCATCCTGCCTGTGTATATGGATAGCAATCAGTCAATTTTACAGAGATAATTGTATTAGTTGATGAACTTAGGCTATCACGGAAAAAGTGAAATTACCAAACACAGGATCATCAAAAGTAGTACAAGAAGTTGATTAGAAATTGTTAAAACAAGCTGTAGAAATCTACAGCTACCCTTTTAACCTCCAACATACAAGCCTTCGCAAAAGAAAGTTATGGATAAACAATAAGGTCCATGTCAAGCGAGGAACTATTGTCAAGAAAAAGGATCCCTTGCAATAGGATGCTCGATATCACATTTCAAAGTCATGTATGGCGCATCTAAGTTCAATTTACAAGTTAATGCTAGCATGAAAGATTTAAGTCAAGCTACAATTCAAGCTCATACCTCAGCTTTCTCAATAAATCCTAGATAGAAAAGCAGTTCAAGGAGGACATCTACTTAATATAACTCCTTTTTCTTTCTAAACAAGAAATGAAATTGGGGTTGGTTGAAACTTGAACACCAGGACAACATATATATCAATATGTCAGAAAGAAACATTAGTCTCCATGGTTATAGTTTACTTGCATCACATAAAGGTGAATTTCTCTAGGATGAATGGAACAGAGACCATGGTAAAATGATCAATCACACAACAAAACTTAATGGCATTTGCAAAGCAGCAAAATTTTATCAATGGGGGAAAAAGAAGAGACTAACAACATATAAAATCCATATCCATGGAGCAAAAAAAAGCGTGTTAAAGTATATAATCCTGAAAAAACATAAACCCCTCACTATCCATTGAAGCAAAGACACCTAAGCCCAGCTCCAAACTTTCAATGCCTTTGCCAATTCAAAGCTAACAAAAGCGTCAACACAAGCATACTGAACCTGTTCTAAAGAAAGCCAATAAGCATCCCAAGCACTGACACCAACCCTTTTAGGCTTCTTAACATCATCAGCGCCCAAAAATATCTCAGCCAACTTCTCCATAGACAACTGCCTACTCAACCCATTTCTCTCAGCAGCAACATCACGAGCATCAACCACCCTGGAAACAGAAATCCTATGCTTCGACCTCAACAACATGGCTTCATCACTATGGTTCCAAACACCAACAAAAGTGTTACGAGGATCAGCCAAGAAGCGACGGAGAGAGAGTGGCACGTGATTTGCATGGAGCAGTTGGAAGATGAGGCATTGACGTCCGATACAAAGCTGGAGAGTAGCTGCTGGCGGGTGGTCAACGGAAGAGTATGGGTTCCATTGCACGCCGAGGCCGACAACGAGCCTGTGGCGGCGGATACGGTGGAGACGAAGGACGTTGAAGAGCCAGTTACGGACAACAGAGGGAGTTGAAGTGACTGTGGTGGTGATAGCGTCTGTGAAGAAAGTTACAGTGAATGTTCTAAACTTGTTTGGGTTTGGGTTGAAATGGGAGACGATGGTGATGTTGTCGTCGTTCATGGTGGATTTTGGGAGTGCTTTAAGGTTCTTTCAAATGGGTTTCGGTTAGGGTTTTAGGCTGTGGAAGAGATCAAGAGAACCGGTTTTTTTTTTCTTACTAGTGTTAGATTTTGTTTGTTAATGGCGTGGAAATCGGGTAAAAAGAGGAGGAAAACACGGCGGAGATTTAAGAGAGGAAGAATTTGAGAGAAAGTTGCGGTACGGAAGGTGAAAAAATGAAAATGATGGACTGGATTTGGATACGGTGATATTTGACTTCCTCTCCACGCAATCGTTGGCTCGAAAATTAGGGTAAGAAAAAAATCGAAAAAAATAAAAATTTCTTCGAAATAGGAATATTTGATTTAATTTAAATTAATATTTTTATTTAAAATAAATTTAAATATTAAATGTATATATTAAATTTTAAGTAGACGTTGGATTAAGATATAAAAAAATTAAAAAATTAAATTGAATTATATATTTTTATTAATTTTTATATTTTTAAAATTTTTAAAATAAAAATAATTATTATATATATAATTGCTTATATATATTAAAAGTTTTAATAAAAATATTTAAAATTTTAAAATTTAAAAATTAATGAACTAAATCGAATCAAATTAAATCGATAAAATTTAATTTGGATTGAATCGATTTAAAAAAAAAATTGATTCAGATTTTAAAATTTTATAATATTATATATTATCCAAAAAAATCAAATTAAATTCGATCTGAATCGTTATCACCTTTAAGATTGAATAAAATTTGATTAAAATCCAACAAAAAAAATATTTAAGGAAATCAGGTCGAGTGATTGTGATTATATAATATTTTCAATTATTATTTTGATTTAAATAATTAAAACGATCGATTTTTAATTTTAAAATATTTAAATCAAATAAATCAAAATATTTAATTTAATACAAAATAAATAATTAAAAAATATATATGATATAAATATACTCAATAATATAATAAAATATACTTTATATAAGAAACAAAAATTAAAACCAATTAATTTTAAAAACTCGACCAAGATCAATCATTTTAACTATTTTTTAAAATTTTTTTATTTTTTTATATATATCGATCGATTTGATTTATATAATAAATCAAATTGATTAAATTAATTATTTAAATTTTATTAATTAAATTAACTGAATCGACCATTTATTAAGCTCTAATCATCCTTACGTGTAAGTATGTAAATTACAAAAATGAACACAAAATGCGGAAAAGAAAGAAGGAAAATTACCAATACAGGCCGGAGTCTTGAAGGGGGCAGGTATTTGTGATTGGGCTCAACGGCACTTTTTTCGGTATTAATTAAGGCCGATCTCCTAGACTATTTTTGGGCTCCCCAATACAGGCCCTGTCGATGTGAAACAAACTCAAATTAAGTTGTTTATAAGTCTAGTTATCATGGTCGCCTACGTTTGGATTGAAGTCAGCGAGGAAAAGGAAAAGAACCGGAACTTCATCAAGCCTTTGAAGCTTAGCAACAAATATTTTCTTTTTAAACCAATGCTCCTTTGGACCTTAGGCAATAATCAATACTAAATTATATCTTCCATTTCTTTCTTATTGCATTGTTTCAGCCTAAATTTGATAGATACAATGTAATATACAATATGAATATTATATAAAAATAAAATACAAAAATTATATAATTTAAAATAATAATAATTATTATATATATTTAATAAAATTTAAAATTTATATTTTATATTTTTATATTAATATAAATAATAACATGTAATTTTTATATAAAATAAATATAAATATATAAATTTTAATATTTTAAGGAATATTATTAAAAAATAGTAAAGTCTACTTCAGCCTTCACCTTCTCACCTTACGTGGATTATCACCTTCACTAAAAAAAAAAAAAAATCAAAATCAATAAAATCAAAAGAAAAAGAAGTAACAACAAAACTGCGCAACGGTGTCGTTGCTCTTGTTAACAGCATCATGATGACCAATAGCAGGCGAAGGTATCAAAAAAACGTTGATCCACCTCAGTGGAGTCAAACCCAAACCCCAACTCAATCAAGCCTTGTGTTCATGAGTTCATCAAGGTCTTCGTCTGTTACGCTCTTCCTTCTGCTCCTCATCACAGAAAATGTCCGGTGACCACGATCGTTGCTTATAAAGCGGAAGCAGAGGTAGCATAATCATCAACGGCGGCGGTTAGGGTGATTATAGTACTTTCAGTATCTTTTCTAGCGGCGATGCCAAGGGAGGAGGTGGCGTCGCGGCTGCGGCACGTGATCAGGATAGAACGGGAATTCAGTTGTACAACTTTGGATGATATGGCAGCTCATGTGGCAGCCATGGTAGTTTTAGTTATTAGTTTGGATGAAATCTGTTAAGATGACTTAGATTTGTTACACTTAACAAAATTTGATGACTTTGTGATTAAGTGACCTGTTTGGAAGTAGAATAGATTAGTGACTATAATGAAATATACTCTTACAATTTGTTCTGTTTTGGTATATTTGAGGTGGAAGAGCATAAAAACTCGGAGTAAAACATAGCAATGGAGAAGCACGAAGAGCTTCCAATTCCGATTTACTCTTCACTTGAATCTGTATATGGGGAAGGAACTCAGTTGGAAGAAGCCCAGCTTCGATTTGATAAATTCAAGTCCAAGTTTCTCGAAATCTTCGGTCACCTTCCCGATGCCTTTGCTCAATCTCTTGGTATGAGCTCAGCTGTTTGATTCGGTTAACAATATGTGAGAAAAGTTTTTCTTTTTTGAATTAAAGTTAGCTTTTAAAAAAAAAAAAAATTTTTTTGCATGTCAGGAAATGTTAAATTCGAACTAGACTTTAGAGAACTTTCTGACTGGTTGCTGAGAACATTGTGAGAAAAATATACACTGTTGACTACTAAAAGCAATTAATTAAAATGGAAAAATAGACATTGTTCACCTTCTCTTGCTGGAGGTCTTTGTGGTTTGCCTGTTTTAATTGTGAACATCGGTGATTTTTTAATTCGTTGATCAATAAGTAATGGCTATTTATGTGTAGGAAGAGTGAACTTGATTGGAGAACACATTGACTATGAAGGATACTCGGTGTTGCCAATGGCAATCCGACAAGACACAATTATGGCAATACGAAAGTACGATGAAGGGGAGGCTGAAAAGCTTATAAAAATTGCTAATGTTAATGATGAGTACGCTATCTGTATTTATCCTGCTAATGTTAACCAGGTTTATGACTTTTCTTTATCAATGTCTTAACCTTATGGTTTTCTTCCATTTATGGTTATTGAGTTGCTTATATAACTTGCCAAATGTTTCTTTGGGAGTTCATGTGTTTAACTTCGATTTGCTGATTGCATTTGCACCTGCGCCATGCAAAAATGCCACTTTTCTTCTTTCTGTGAGTCTGTTGTCTTAAGGACTGCTCTGAATTTGAATCAAAATACATGACATTTTTTATTGTGCAGGAAATTGACTTGAAGAATCATAGATGTGGCTACTATTTCATTTGTGGGTGAGATATTGAATTCTTTTGCTCCCTGTATATGCTTTCTAATTTGATGGTGGCAGTTATTACAAAATATAGGTATTTTTATCCTTTTCCACTAATATGCAAGAACTCTTTTATGAGGCATCGATGTTGATTATTGTTGTGTTGCCGTGAATCCCCTCAAAATGTTGATGCAAGTATTGTCCATGTTCTGCAGTTATAAAGGTTGTTATGAATATGCCAAGTCAAAAGGAGTGGACGTTGGTGTGCCAGTTGGTCTTGACGTTCTTATTGATGGAACAGTACCTACAGGTATTTTACATCATTACATGTAGGCTAAGACTTCGTTGCTAATTGAAGAAAATTGACTCTTATCTTACATTTTTATTCTAGGTTCTGGTCTATCTAGCTCTTCCGCCTTTGTTTGCTCATCTACAATCGCTATTATGGCTGCTTTTGGTGTCAACTTCCCAAAGGTATGCTATCTTCATTTTGGTAATCACAAGTCAAATTCTGAAATTCTAACATCTGTTTGTTTAACAGAAAGAAATTGCCCAAGTTACATGTGATTGTGAACGGCACATTGGAACACAGTCTGGTGGGATGGACCAGTTTACACTTTTTGCTACCTATATGATTTCTTTTGATTTTCTTGAGTTGTGTTGATGTTTAACGTGCTAGCAATTATATTTGTAGTTATTTAAAATTACTTTGTGATTATTGAAAATTGTTTACCCTCTTTTATGACAGGCAATCTCCGTGAAGGCCAAAAATGGGTTTGCTGAACTAATAGATTTCAATCCTATTTGTGCAACTGATGTGCAACTCCTAATTGAGGGTACATTTGTGATAACCCATTCACTGGCAGAATCTCAAAAAGCTGTAACAGCTGCTACAAATTATAATAACAGAGTTGTTGAATGTCGACTGGCTGCTGTAAGTTATATTTCCTTACCTGTAGGTGCAAGGGTATATGTGTTGGCAGAGAGATAGAGGAGGAGGGAAAAGTAAGGGACGAAAGGGGAAGGTCTCTTGCTACATGGATGTTTCTACTGTCTTTGTTTTGAGGGATACTCACAATTTGCACTTTTTTTTGTCTTTTTGAAATCTCAGATCGTGCTTCGTATAAAGCTAGGAATGAAGGCACAAGAGGCAGTATCAAAAGTGAAAACTCTTTCTGATGTTGAAGGGTTATGTGGTCATTTGCCAGTGATTGTGGTTCTAATGATCCTGTCCTTGCTGCACAGGTTTCTGTCATTAAAGTTTCTGCTTCCACGATGTTATGGTGTTTATTTTATAAATTTCAGTTGCCAACATTTAAATTTTCATGAAATTGCCTTATCATCTGTAAGGTCAAACTATAATTTTATCCTGTCCTTGCTGTACAGGTTTCTATCATTCAAGTTTCTGCCTCCATGATATTATGGTGTTTATTTTATAAATTTCCATTGCCAACATTTAAATTTTGATGAAATTGCTTTATCTTCTGTAAGGTCAAACTATAATTTTACTCTTTGCTGCAGGAATTTTTGAAGGAGGAGCCATACACAGCTGAAGAAATTGAGAAAATTACTGAGGAGAATCTTCCATCAATCGTGGGCGATAACCCAACTTATTTGGATGTGCTAAAAGTAGCTAAGCTCTTCAAGTTGCATCAGGTGCTTTGCTTTCGGTTGAAGTTGAATAGATTTTTTTTTTTAAATTAATATCATGATTAATTATGATTTAGGGTTTTTTGGTATCCCACATTATCTATTTTTCATTTTTTAGATCATTTATTTTAATTACTAGTAGAATTTTTTGAGCTGCTTCAAGAAATGTGCAAAGAAAATTGCCCTTTTTATTCTTGGAGCCTATGTCTCCACATTTTCCTTAGACTTTTGTGTATCATGGTGGGCCTTTACTTAGATCACACTCCCTTTATTATTGGTTCCCTTACTAGAACTAGTACCAGTGATCCTGATATGGTAAATTATTGGATTCCACCAGGTCTTTAAATCATTTTTGTACATCTTTAACTGTCATCATTAGCAAGAAATATTTTGGTTTATTTGCTTATGTTATAGTGTGTTCATTTATCTCTTGATCCTAATTTCCAGAGAGCTGCTTATGCATACTCTGAAGCGAAGTGGGTTCATGCTTTCAAGGATACTGTGGCGTCAAGCTTAAGGTGACTTTTAATTTTTGATAATTAGCTTTTTCCTTTCACAAGTTCTCATAAAATTTTCAAGAGATGCTACTCCTTAATATTTCCATATGGTGGTTTTTTAGTGTTGCAATGGAGCTATATTAATGTGCCTGGAGATTGAACATCAGCTGATTTTGTTGGGACCTGCAGTATAGTTATTTGTTGGAGTTCTTGCGCAACAGTTGATAACAAGGGCAGAAAATTTATCAATCCTTCTCGTGCAAATTAATTTCTCAATTCTTCTGTCTGAAGACTAAACTCTTTTTGATACCTGATGGTTAATACTTATTAATTCATGATGTAGTGAAGAGGAAAAGCTCAAGAAGGGTGGTGATGTTATGAATGAAAGCCACTACAGTTGTAGTGTTCTCTATGAATGCAGATATAATTATCAGAACGTGCGTAGAGTCTGTGAAACTGGTTCTTAAGATCATAACTTAAATCTAATTAAAAAACACGATTTGCTACTTCTTTTTTTTTGTTATCCATTAAAGCTGCGTGGAACCTTTTCTTGGTTCATGTTATCTCCTTTGTGTTTGTACTGATGCAGACATTGATGTGACTCTTGGCCTTGCAAAGCTATAATTACAAGTGAACTTTATCTACTAGTAGTGTTACATCATTTCTACATGATTATAGCAAAATCTGTGGGCTTGTTTGCATGAAAAATGCACCCTTATTTACAGTGTATTGTGCATTTCTTTTGATTTTGAGTTTTGTTATTATTTTTTAATTTATATTTTTACAGTACAAAGGAGATTTTCTATGTACTGTGATTGTATTTTCTTTTAATGGCAAGTCCACATGTTGTGCTTGTTACCGTCACTTATCATTCCTTGTTTGTATAACTAGCTGCCCAGAGTTGAATGAACTGGTAAAAGTCTGCCGTGATAATGGTGCTCTAGGAGCAAGGCTTACTGGAGCTGGATGGGGTGGTTGTGCAGTGGCCTTGGTAAAAGACAATATTGTACCCCAGTTCATCCTTGATTTGAAGGTATAACCTCCTTGTCGGCCATAATTTTTCCTTTGATTTTGAAGGCATAGAAGAAGCACCCGATCATTAACATTTTGATTCTGTATCAGGAACAATTCTACCAATCTAGGATTGACAGAGGCCTGATCAACAAGAATGACCTTGGTCTCCATGTTTTTGCTTCAAAGCCGTCCAGTGGTGCCGCTATTCTTAAATTTTAGTATGTTTTCTAACTTAATTCGTTCTGCTATAAAACATTTCATACTTTACATGTGAAAATACATTTCGACGTATCTCAACAGGGTGGTGTTGATAAAATGTTATAAAAAAAAACCTTTGGAACTACAAATTTCAATAAAATTTGATTGTTTTTGTACATGGTTTTGGACAAATGAATCTGTGTATAGCTCATTACTTGGGCTGATAAATCAAAATATCTTGGTTATAGAAAAAAACTTGTCTTTTGATGGGTCATGGTGGATTTAAATGATCCAAGCCCATGTGCCCTGCACCATTAAAATCATTCCAATCTTTGGCCCCCATTTGATGTGAACTTTAAAAAGGACAACCCATCTAATTTGAATTTTTTGGTAACATCCGACAATGTCTGGCAATCTTTGTTGCTTTTAATGTGAAATGATAATACTTTTGTGTCCTTTTTCTTTCAAAAAGGTTTGATTGTATAATTTAGAGAAAATAACTTGTGAAAAATTCACATTCAATTTGTCACAAGTTTGCATTAAGTTGTAAGATTTTGGTCTCAATTGATATCAATTAAATATTAATGTTATTTTTTTTTATGACATTTATTACATGATTGTACGCGTATTTAAAGTTCGACGTGACATGATCTTTGTTAGATCATTTCAAATCTATCTGAACATGCATTCCAACATTTGATTCATTAAAAATTACATGCTTTTTTTGTCAAAAATTAGGTTTGAAATACTTCGAGTCATATTTTTTTCAAATTACCAAAAAAAAATCTATATGAATGCATGCATGAATGCACCCACCTTGTGCAGGAAACAGATTAGAGGATCTCACATGGTAGGGTAGATATATATATATATATATATATATATATATATACACACACTTGATGAGCAAATTATGTCAAACATATCAATATTTTCATATTTCATTCAATAACTTTCCGAAAATAAGCATCATGAGCTTTAGATTTAAAGAGAATATTTCAAAGTAAAAAAAATTAATAATAATATAATTGATACTTTTCAAAGGGATAAGATTTGATGAATTATTACAGCACCATCAAACATAGGATCTAATAATGTTTAGGCAATGGGTCTCAAAGCTTCCCAACTAGAAAGCAATGAACTCAGCTGCAATGAATCCAACACATTACTTTCATTTCCTCTGTGGATAGCATATAGCATCTTTATCTTTTTGGGATGAAAAAAAAAATGGAAGCATTATTTGTGATAATGAAATTTGAAGGACACCCTTTTTATTAACACAGTGACAGTATGTTCCCATTCTGATCCAGCTGGAATGGAGCTCTAATGTGAACCATATTTGTCTTTCACCATTAGAACCAAGGCTCAAGCTCTCGACTTCTGGTTCTGACCCATGACCAGAGTGGAGTGGGGCTCATTGGGGCCAACAAATCCGCTGGTTCTATCAGATTTTAGCTTTTGTTTTCTCCTGCTGCACAAAGTAGTTACTTTTACTTATTTTGAAGTGTGGAGTTGAATTATAATTGGTTAATTGTATTATTATAATAAAAAAATTATAAAAAATTTTAAATTTAATAATTTATGTATTTATATAAAATAAAATATTAAAATATAAATATTTATATTATATTTTATATAAAAATTATATATTATATTTTATATTGATATGAAAATATAAAATATTTTTTTTATTTTATTAAATCTATATATAATTATTATTAAAATTTTAAGATATTTTATATTCATATTTTATTTTTATATTATTTTTATATTATATCATTATATCTTATTTTAAATTATCAAATTTAATGAATTCGTTAAAAAATTTATAAATGAATTACTCTATTAAAAAGGGACTTAAAATTATGAGATTGACATCACTTGCAGGTGGATGTGTGGCAGTAAGGTCCTTTAATTTCTGAGTTATTACCTTCAAAGTTGACCATAACGTCATTCATAACACATGTAACATGTTTCTTTTTTTTTTTTTTCCTATCCAATCACATAATTTAGGCTCATACACCTTTCGTTGTTCCCCTTCAATTTCACTTTTATCCACATTATCAAATCATTATTTGATTCAATAATTATTATATGTTTTTTTATTCAAAATTTGAATCCAAATTTCTCATCCTAAAAAAAAACATTGTTCAAGTACAATTGTAAAAATAACCAAATTCATTGTGGCTAAAATGTAAAAACAGCTTTATTGGTTCATGAAAAATATTATCTTATGAAGAAATCAAGTTTAATTTTCTCAAAAATAATATTTTATTGCTAATCTCTTTATTTCCATTAATTAAATTATATCAAGTTAGTGGCAACCATTTTCCTGATTCATCTAAAATAGTATTAGTGTTAGTATTTGTCACAGCTAATGTACATAAAAATGATTATCCAAGTTTACTATTCTTCAATGAATCAATGTTCAACTTTTTTTTTTTTCAAACCATGAAAAAGCAACCCTTTTTAAACAAATTTCAGTATTCTTCAATGTTCAATCAGGCTCACCAAACGGACTGCCATGTGTCGGTGCGGTATCAGTAACAGTCCATATTTTATATTTAAACCAAACCATAGCCAAATAAACAGAACAATGGGAAGTAGCTCTTTTCCTTGTTTGGTTATAGAGGAAAAAGTTCGAGTCTGTTACATTTTTAAATTGAAATCTTTGTTTTGTCTATTCAATCTCCACTTCTCTAGTACTTTCCTCCCAAGTTCCCTCCTCACTTTCTCTCTCTGTCTCTGAATCCAAAACTGTGAAACTTCTACGTTGGCTACATTTGTCAATCTGTATTTTATATATATATATATATATTATGAGTTTTTGTTGATGAATTAAGCAAAGCCTATCCCTTGATTCAAACTTGTTTTGTGGGTTTTGTCCTTAGCCTCCGATCTGGGGTCTTCTTGCTTTCTTTCCAAGGTATTTTCTTTTTTTTATATGCTTATGTATCTTTGATAAAGGAAGCATATTTCTTTACTGGGTATTGATGAATGTGCGATTGTGATTGGTACATTTTCTGGGTTTCAATGGTTTTATATTTGTGTTGCTTTTTTATGCATCAAAGCTTCGTCCTTTGGCTCTGTTTACAAGGCTTTTGATTTTTTCATTTTTGAAAATCTCAAGCTTGGATTGGTGTTTTGTGGGCATTTTAGGATTTTGTGATTGAAATTTTTATATTCTGTCGATGGATGCTGGATCTGCTCATTGGGATTATAATTAGGAGGCTGGCTACTAAGCCTAATATAAAGGGAAAAGAGAAATATTGTTGCTTTTTATTGCATCCTGGATTATTATTATTATCGTTGTTGTTGTTGAGAGGAAACACGGGCGTGTATACTAAGTTAAATTGCATTTATTAAAGCTAATTTTTGTGAATTTAAAGCTGGAAGGTTGCCATCTTTGCTTCTTCAAGTTAAAGTTTATATATTATGTATCTTTGTGGGAGGTAATTTTTGTAATGGGCTAATTCTTGAGGTTGAATTTTTGGTTGGCATTCCCAAAGATTGGCGCTTTGATCATTGGGTGAAGCTGATACAAATAAAATAGATTGAGATTGTGGGGGAGTGGGAGTGGGGGGTTGTCATGGATTGGATGCGTCCTAGGGATAAAAATTTAGAACTTGACCTTGAAAATGGAGTAACTGTTAGTGAAGAAGAAGATTATAGCAGAAGCCCTGTTTCAGGTCTTAAAAAGAAGGCACAACTGCTGCTTGCTAAGGTTAAAGGCAGTTTTGCCAAGGGGTTGGACGATAGAGTATCTTTATCTGGTGATGCTTCAAATTCTTGTAGGTTTTATGTGGAGAATGTGCAGGAAGTGACAAGCTTGAATATGGAGGAACAAGACAGTAAAGATGCTAAGGAGAATAAATTAGTGAAGGAGAAACGTAAAAGCTTGGGTAATAAAAAACCTCCTAAACCTCCTAGACCTCCAAGAGCTCCATCATTGGATGCGGCTGACCAGAAGTTAATTAGGGAGATAGCTGAACTTGCTAGATTGAAACGTGCAAGAATTGAGCGGATGAAAGCCTTGAAGAAGATGAAGGCTGATAAGGGAACATTTTCTAACTGCAACATGTTCGCCATGGTGTTTACCATCATTTTTTGTCTTGTCATAATCTTTCAAGGTAATATTTCCTTACTGGAATTTAGTTCTTTATCTTGCATTTGTCCTACTGTAACTGTACAATCTTCTCAGGAACACTGATTATCCTAAAAGTATGCAAATTGTCGACTTGCCTAGTTTAAAGAGTGGAGTATGCATTACTTATGGTGCTTTAGATTTAATAACGTTTCAGCACCATACTTGATTTTTGCCCTTTTGATGGTTTCTGGCTTCATTTCTTTGTTATTGCTGGTAAAAGATGCTCGATCTCTGTGTCTTCATTTCTTTGGAATTTGATTTTGCAGGATACTTTACTATTGCTAATTACTATGGTGCTTTCAAAACTATCAATAATCTTGCATGCGCCAGTTGAATTATATATGCAAATTAGTATTAAGAGCGATTACCAACCTCTGTTTCCAAATATGGACTAAAATTTGTTTGCTTCTTTTATGCAGGAATGCCATCCCGAGGTACACCTACAAGTTTCCAAGGATCTCCTGTGCCAGCAGGAGCAGTGCAGGGAGGTCTAATTTCAGTTCAGTTCTTTGGGAATCCATCTGCAAGCGTTCCAAATCAACCAGATTCTGGATCTCCCTAGTATGTAACAGTTATAGTGGCATAATTCTATATTGCATTTCAATATCTTGTTGGTTCTTGAAGTTTTTAAGAATGAAGGTACCGTAAAAGAAGCATGGTAGTCTTGCGAAACTGATTCTGATCTGCTTTCCCTTCTGCAGTTTAGTGGAGCAGGTTGCTGGTTTAGATGCTCAAGAAAAGATGAGAACATTGTCTGGATAACATAAGATGTTGTTGGATGGCAAAGGTTCTATTTGTGGTTACAGAGACAAATCCTCGCTGTTCCCATCAAAGCCATGCCATTTCTCCAGACAATGTTTTGAACTCGCAGCCTTCAAATATCTGGAGTTCAATATTCCTGGTAATTTATCCCCTGTATGCTATTTGAAGTTAGGGGTGAGTTAACTTAGTAAAATTTTGATGGCTTCTGGCCATGGTTCTCAATAATTAGCCTGCACAACAACTTACCTGGTTGATTATGTTGTTGGATTATGTGTATTCTCTATAAAGATTTCTCATTATGGAACTCAGAATTCAAATATCTCCACATATTACGGCAAAATTTATGCAACCATTTTTTTTCTGATACATCATGTTCATTAAAATATGTTGTACAAGAAATCCCAGAGCTATGAAAGCTCTGTGATTTCAAAATAATGTTCTTGCTGTAGGATCTGACTTGAACTTCTTTGGGATCAACACTCAAGTTTATTCTATTTAGTTTCTGAATTTTTTATTTTTATGAAGAATAAAATGGTGTGTGAAAGCTAGCATGAGACCTGAATCCGCATGTCAAGGAATTGCTTTGCTTCTTCATGTCATGTGGATTCACATGTGCTTGTTTGTTTACTCTAGTGAGCTGGACAGGTTTTAATTGCCACAAGGAAAGAGTCACCTCTCAATATCTTTTGAAAGAATCATCCATAATTGCGATTCAAACCAAAGAAAGCATTAGATTTGTCATTGATTCCAATCATGCTCGGGATTCTTTGGATTGGGAAGACCAAAGAATTTTTAAAGGAAAAAAAAAAAAAAAAAGAACAAAAACACCATACATGATCAGATGCGATTATCCAGGAGATCAAATTTTGAAATTTAGGAACAATTAGAGCAATTGAGTTGAGTCACTGTGGATTTTCTCAGCCTGCCGATCATTAACTTAAACCCTGACAAGGCCCAAAGCAATTTCAGCCCATGCAAGACCAGAAAAAGATGGAAGGAAAAGGAAACGATGAAGGCAAGAAAGATGCTAATTGTAAGGTTCAAAGTTGAAGCTACTTTCTGAACTCCAGAGTACAATAGTTCCAATCCAACAGAATAAATTTTACAGGCAGAAAATAAGTACAGAAGATTTCATGACTACACTGAAGCAGAAAATAAACAGAGTCATAACAAAAGTTTATAATTAACCCTTCTGCAATATCTTGACAATAGCTACGGCCACATCAGAGAGGCTATGAAGAAGTTTGTTCCTATCACTTAACGGTGATTTCAAAGACCCTGAAAAATTCTTTTCACAAGCATCCGCTTCTTTAGCTGCATCTGATATCCCATAACTGGCAAATGTAAACTGACCTTTACTCAAAGCATCAATGGCTTGAGGAAGATTGTACTTGACAACTGGAATGTAAAGTTCTGCACAATAAGCCAGTGCTCTCTCCATTTGGGGGTCTGATGTTTGGTTTATCTGAGCTTGGATGTAGTTCAACGTGTCAGTTGCATTTGCCAGCAGAATGTCAGCCACCACACTCGCTAGGCCTTTAACATCTAAGTCGGTGCTGTTAGTATTTGATCTCAAGGTAGAGATGCACAAGTCATAGAAGGGTGTTTTTTTGCATATTTGATCTACCAAATCATCACATTGGATTGATGGCAGAGAGATTGTAAGAAGAAGAAGAAAGATAGATGGAGATGAGACTGAGGCTTTCATTTTTGTGCTAATGAGATAAGCCTGGGGAAGGAAGGGTTGTTGGATGCATGCTCTTTCATAGGATTTCGGGCTCTTTCCTTTTTGACATGAAATGGGTACTTAATTGGATTTGGTTTTTGTTTTTATTAGCCCAAAATTTTCTGTGTTCCACATGAATCAATGCCACAACAGCCACATATATTGTCTGCTTGAGCCTTGTGGTTTACAGGTTAGTTTCTTTCCCTGGTTTTGGATGGAGCTTGCCTTGACATTAATTAAGGTGAAGGATGGAACTCTTTGAATCACAAAAATGTCAATAATTTGGGTCTCATAATAAAGCATGAATAGGAAGGAAACCCCCCTATACCAACATGTTTGCAAATCCATTAATGGTATTTGAAGGAAAAACCAGGTGCCACTTTCTTTTGGATAGTTCACGAATCACCAGTCAATTAGACAATTTCCTACTCAGCATGTCATCTTGCACTTTACAGAATAAAGTGTCTAAGGCAAAAAGGGAAAGGAATAGAAGTTCCACAGAAAAACAACAGTTATTAAATGACAATGTTCCTACAAGAATCAAGAAAAGTGCGTGTCAACTTGAGAGCAATACCTTGACAATGGCAGCAGCAGCGGCCACCATTATTGAGATTTCATGTGCACAATTTTGTTTATTTGGTATTGGCCTGAGATTTTATTTCACACAAGATAACTTCAACACTGCATCAGAATGTCACCATTTTAAGTATTGTATCGTAATATAACATAGGCTAATTGCTGCAGCATTGATTTTCTCTGAAGCATATGATGTAAGTTACGGGGTTGGATATATCCCATCTTTTCCGCCTTGTCCTTGTTTATGTCGTAAATTATGAGAGATTTGAGCGTATGATCCAAGACAGATCCTAAACAATCATAGAAGGGTGTTTGCATACATGTTTTGTACACTCAGAGACATTGTTCCACATTGAAACAAATGTTTACTTGTCTAATTGACACGAGTTTAGAGATGTTTAAAAAAAAAATTACCCAAATATATCTTGATAGATTTGTTCATGGAACGAATCAAGTTTTGAAGCTTGACGGATTGAGTTGGGCCTCAATTGAGGTACTCAAAAGGCTAATTGAATCCGGCCTCATCGTCGGATAAGTTTATTTAGAGTAAATGAATGCTAGTTACTTTTATTGTCCCTCAAATTTTATTAAAAATATATGTTATATTCTAAATAAATATATATATATATAGATCAAAAAGAATAATAGAAAAATAAAAATACAAGACAGAAAAAATAAATAATTTGATCTTAAAATTTTTTAAACCATTGATTGATCTATAATTTTTTAGAATCGTAAATTATCATGCAAAATCAATTTAATGTGATCTAATATCGATATTAGATCTTAAAATATTTTTAAAAATACATAATAAATAATAATTTTTTAATATCATCAATAAAAATTATAATTACACAACCCAAATTCATAAATCAGTACTATAATTCATATTAAAATTACATATTACAAATTACAAAACAAAATACAAACGACAAATTTATGAGAAAAAAGTCTTCCAATTCAAACATTGTAATAAACATTTCTATTGACCTATTATAAAGCAAAATAAATTAACAAGAAAATTAGTAGGATATAAAGAAATATTAAAACTAAATTACATACTGCAATAAAAACGATTTTTGATCCAAATAGTATTACATTTTTTGTTTATATTTTTTTAATCTAACGCTATGTTTGGATACATATTAATAAAAAAAATAAAAGCAAAAAAATAAAAGAAAAATTTTTTAAATGAAAGAAAATGTTACATGTACCCCTTATTTGAATAGTTAAAATTAAGAAAAGAAAGAAAAAAAATAACAATTATTGTTTGAATAAATAAAAAAAATAATTCATTATAATTTTTGTTTTTCAATTATAACTTTTTTTTTATAAAGTAACATATAATATATAAATATATCTTTATACTACTTAATTTGTACAATTATGTTCAATTTTATTTATACAAATTAGGTAATATAAAGATATATTTATATATTATATGTTACTTTATAAAAAAAAAAGTTATAATTGAAAAACAAAAATTATAATGAATTATGTTCTTTTATTATTATTTATTCAAATAATAGTTATTAAAATTCATTTTATTTTATTTATTTATTTTAATTATCCAAATAAGAAGTATATATTTTATTTTTTTTATTTTTTTATTAATATTTATCTAAATATAACGTCAGTAAATATAATTAATCCTAAAATCTGATTCTTTGATTTAGAACCAACGGACAAATACTCAGGACCACATATCATCTTAATAGTACTAAAAAATTTGGACCCATCAAATTCAAGTTTGGGAATTACCCTAAAATCGATTCAAACCAATTGATCCATGGCAATCTGCAGGTGATCTTACTTTCAATAAGCTTGGACCGTTGCTCATCCCTATTTTCAATAAATAAATCAATTGAAAGAGAGATATTTTACTTCAATTTTTTCGTTGGCGTCCAAGCACACACGATATTATTGCCAGGGGCAAAACCAGATATAAAATAAAGAAAAAATCAAACAGTGAAGTTAATGAAAAAGTAAGGTCGTGATTAATGTTAAATGGACTGAATTATTATATTATAATATTATTAAAAAAATTTTGGAGGGCCATGGCCCATGATTGCCCCATTCGAATTCGTCTTTTATTATTGGCCCAAAAAAAAAGCACACAGGATATTGTAAAACTGTGTGTAATCTGGTTTGATATTTTATGGAATTAGGTAAGTTCAATGACAAGGCTGTCTACACCCTTGACTAGTGAGCCACTTTAATTTATGTCATGCCAGGAATCGCCTAATTTTGGCTTTAATGCCATTGCTGGTGCTTTGGAAAGTAACGCCAGCCAGCTAAGCCATCATCATCAATAAAAGTGTAACGGCTTAACCTTAATCATTCATTTCCATGTTTTTTGTTTTGTAACTCCCAAAAGGAAAAGAATCGTTTCATTTTCATCAATGTCCAAACGGTTTAAGTAAATTTGATGATTTATATTATATTTTATATGAAAATTATATGTTTTAATTTATATCAACATAAAAACATAAAATATATATATTTTTAAATTTTGTTAAATTTATATATAATTATTGTTAAAATTTTAAATCGTATTATTTTTTTATTTTATTTTTATATTGTATTCGTATTATATCATTGTATCATATTTTAAATTATCAATATTTAATTTCTTATTCTTAAAAAGTCAAGTACTCTGAACTTCAAGACCTGCTTGTTCTGTTGGTAGGGAGTTAAGCACCTATTAATCATTCAATAACAGTATCTGTAAAAGGGCGTCAACCAGGCCTTAAAATGGCAATATGCTGATGATAGCCTGAGAACCAAAACAGCAACCTTTTCTAAAGGGACCATAGCTTTCTGTTAGCAAGCTTTGTTTTCCACCCTCGTTTAAGCAAGAGCTAATTACTTGAATTTTGTTTATATTTATATAGTTAAAGTTGTCAGATATTGAATCCTGATACTAAAATTGTTCAACACTATGTATTTTATTGAAGATCATTTAATGGAGAACTAAACAATTGTCACCAGTACATAGTCTTTGCAAAATCGACTAGATCAGCCTTATTAAAATAATTTGGCAATGGATTCAAGCACAACAGAAAGATCATGCACAGCTTTGTTACCATTAGAGATTGGCGACTTGGGTGGGTTGGCAAAGCCATTATCACAACCCTGAGCCTTGTTTGCAGCATCAGTTGCACTGTTAACAGCAAATTTTGAATCCCGTTTGACTATTGCTTGAATGGCTGCTGCAATGTCAACCTGGAGAATATTGTTATATGAATCAAAACAGTGATTCAAAGCCTTTAGCAATTTAGGATCTGTGGCACTTTTAATTAACCCTGTAACCTGATTCAAGGTTGCAAGGGCTTTAGCTTTAACACTATCAGCTGCTATGAGAGCAAGCCCTGCCACATCTGCAGTAGAACTCCGAGGGTCTGATTTTAGAGTTGAGACACAGAGATCAAAAAATGGAGTCTTTTTGCAAGTTGTTTCTATCAGGTTGTTGTCTGAGTAACTTAGAGGGAAAAAAGTGAAGGAAATTACAGCCTGAATTATTACTATAGAAATTATTTTACTCATGTTTGGGTGTTGGAATTTGAAAGGTTAATTGTAAAGCAAATTTCAAGATTGGCTTCTTGGAAACCTCAAAATCACTTGTATGCCAAATGGGCTTAGTGCAAAAGGTATTTATAGGACCTAGCTACATGTAATTCTTTTCACTATAATTTAGCAAGGGTTCACTATTTTAAAAAATTATGTAAAGCTTAACTACTTAAAAAAGTAAATTGGGTTTCATGTAATTTTTTTAGAATATTTGCATTTAATTTTCAATGAATGAAATCAAGACATTATTGCACATTAAACATTTAGTCTATATTTGGGTTGAGGAGAGGTGAGAGAAATAAAAGGAAAGCAAATTAAACAAAAATTTTTTTCCTTATTTGATTTTCATTTTAAATTAAAATAAAAGAAAGGAAAAGGGGTTGAGCACATTCTCTTTCTCTCAAAGTCTTATTTTTAATCACCCCAAATTAAAAAAAATTTTAAGTAAAAAAAAAGGAGTAAAAAATTTTTAAATATAAAATAATATTTATACCCTTTATTATTTTATTTGATTTTCAAAAATATATTGCAAGTTTGATAAGAAGTACTAATATTTACATTTTTATCAAACTCAAACTCAAATTCATATTTTTATTTATTTTGCTTTCTTGTAACTTTCATCAACTTCTTATGTTATTGTCTTCAATTTTTTAAAGCTTTTTTGTATGCATATTTTTTTATTTTTTTATTCATTTTTAGCATATTTTCTTTATTCTATATGAAAATAAACTTTTAAGTTATTATTGATTTAGGTAACTTATCATTATTCATAAAAAATAACTTATCATTATCCATAAAAAAATAATCATATTAAATTTTTTAATTAATGTTGGATCTTATATCATTTTTATATTTTATATTTTATTTTTATTTCATAAATTAAAAAAAAAGAAAAAAATGTACATAAAAAACTACATACAATTAGAGAAATTATGCCTCTATTAATGGAGCTTATTAAACTTATAAGAAAATATTAATACAAGTTTACAATTAATTTTATTTATTAAGACATATTTGGATTTTTTAATTTTCTCATTGAAATTAATTCCGAAAAATATAATTATGTAAAAATATTTTTAAATCTACAATATTGTATAGATTAATAAAAGTTAATCTCTTCTATTAAATTTTTCTTTCTTTTTTACTTAAAACAAATAATTTCTAAATTATTCACAAATAAATGAAACATTATAGGAAGTGATTGAAAAATATATTATAACAAATAATTTTCTTTACTTTCCACTCTTTAACCAAATAATTAATGATTATTAAAATTCCTTTCTTTTATTAATTTTAGTTATACTAACAAAAAAAATGTTCTTTTTTTTTTCTTTATTAATGTTTATCCAAATATAACTTATCACTTACAAATATTTTGTAAAATGAAACTATGTCCAAAGATTGTGATTTTAGGATAAAAGATGACGATGCTTTTGTTTAAAGAAATGTACTTAAAATGAAATACTTGTTTGAGAATTTTAAAATAAAAATTATCATTTATTTTTATTTAATATAGGATTAGCATATAGTTAAGCATACACACAATGAACCACAAAACCATATATTTAATTTGAAAAAAGAGGATTTAAATTCTAATATTTGAATAAAAAAATATAAATTAATTATTGAATTAAATGTTCGAAAGAAACTATATAAACGAATTGTATTTCCCAATTCTTAAGAAACAGCATAAATTTTTATTAAAAAAACATAACTGAATATAGGTTTTAACTTGTTTCCTTTTCTCCGCATAAAGTATTAGGGAAATGCTTTTAAATGCATTAAAAACTTACTTTACATTTAGATTTCCTTCGGCGCCATAACTTTTTTTTAATCATAACTCATTCAAAACATACACATACTTATCATTAAGTCAAATGGTCGAATGCTTTTATTATCAATTTTTAGCAAACAAAAATATATGAGGTAATTTGTTATGTGCTAAAGCCTATAGAGCAGGCATTATCAAAACAAATGAGTTGAGTTATCAAATCTTTATAATCTTAAATTTTAATTTGTCAAGCAAAAAGTAATTTGGACCAAAAAATTATTTAATTTATGTGTTGTAAATCTCACAATTTGTATTTTGTGTTAAATACAATTTCAAATGATTTTGACACATACACAATGCGAATGTTTAAATGATATAAATAGTCAAAATATGAATATGATAAATTTATTATATATATTACATACGACATAATATGATTAGCATGTCTTAATTTATTTTAAAAATAATAACACGATACGACACGATTAATATGATTATACATGATTAATACGATTAACATTAAAATATTTAATCAATAATTTAATATTAAATCAAAATGATAATATAATAAAAATATTAAAATATGATTATATGTATGTTATAAACATATCATTTATACTTGTTAACATAATAATATAATTAAAATATAATTAGTTAATTAATCGTGTCTTAAACATATAACATTTATAAAATATAAAACATGATACATATAATATCATATTTTACATATATCGATAAAATTAAAACACAAACACGATTATTAAAAGTATATTAACAATTTATTTCGCATCGTAATTCGTATAGTCTAAAATTGCCAACTCTGATCTGCTCTCTGCTGATCTGCAGTTGTTTGATTGTTAAATCGTTGGGAACTAAGATTGAGACACATCGTTGTCTTTTATGGTTCTGTTTTGGATTGGCCTGATTGGAGCACAAATAATGATTGAGATACAGTGCCCAAAAGAAAATGATTGAGAATTCTATTGCAATGGCAATCATGAATTTCTCAAAGTAAAATTCTTAAATTCAGATCTTCCTTCTCCAACTAAACTATAAATTCCAAATACAAAATCATTGTTTTATTGCTTTTCATGAGATTTCTATCAGCCTCAGAGTAATAATTGAACAATGGATGCAACCACAGCAGAAAGATCATGCACAACCTTGTTACTATCAGAAATTGGAAACTTGGGTTGGTTTTGGAATTTCCTTTCACAAGCATCAGCTTCATTAGCTGCATCATTTAAACTCTGGACACCAAACTTTGGATTGCCCTTGGCGATTGCTTCAATAGCCACTGGAACATCATACTTAATAATAGCGTTGTAATAATCAACACAGTCACGCAAGGCCATCTTCAACTTGGGATCTTTGGCTCCTGTAAGCAACCCCGTAATCTGTCCCAGCGTTGCAGTGGCTTTCTCCTTCACTTTATCTGCTCCTATTCGGGCTAGCCCTGCCACATCTGCGCTTGAACCTCGAGGGTCTGATTGAAGAGTCGAGACGCAGAGATTGTAAAAGGGTGTCTTTTTGCATGTAGTTTCAATCAGGTTTCCACCATTTCCCTGCAATTCCAGGGCAGAATTCTGGCTTACAGGAAGGAAAGTGAAGGAACATGCAATCTGGAGAAGAGCAAAAGAGATGATATTCTTCATTTTTGGTGTTGGAAAGGTTGTGAGAAGACAGGTTTGGTTTTTCAGTGACACCTTCACAGCCTCTATAAATAGGAAATTTTCGTATAAAAAGTTAATGATAAGCATTATTGATTTTAAGTTGGATGCTTAAAATGGTATCAAAGTTAAAATTTTTTTTTGTTGCCATTTTTAAATTTGTAATGTGAAATGCTTCTTCCATTTTTGTTTGCATACGATGAGGGTTTGTTAAAATTGTATTATCTCACATCTTGTAATCTTATATTTAAGTCAGACCTTTTTATTTATAGTTAATTGATAGTGTATTAGATGCTTAATATAATATCAGAGTCAAAATTTTTTTTCGTTGTTCTTTTTTAATTTATTACATGAAAGATTTCTTCCATCTTCACATACACGTAATAGAATCCTTTAATAAATTTTTAAATTTTTATAATCATATATTCAAGTTAAACATTTTCATTTGTTATCAATTAATTTTAAATTGGATGTTTAACAGGCATGAAAATAAAGTTTTCATATATATGATGGATCATTTAATAAAATTTTAATTTTTTGTAACTGTATATTCAAGTTGAATTTTTTCATTTATTCATTTATTATCAATTAATTTTAAATTGGATGTTTAACAGGCATGAAAATAAAGTTTTCATATATATGATGATCATTTAATAAAATTTAATTTTTTGTAACTGTATATTCAAGTTGAATTTTTTCATTTATTGTCAATTAATTTTAAATTAAATATTTAACAGGTATGAAAATAAAATTTTCTTCAAAATTAAAAATAAAAAATTACAAGCAATATAGTATAAAGTGAAAAAGTATGCAATCATTCTCTTATCGATATCCTCTTTTATGACGTTCAAAAGCCTAAGTATGATTGTTGTTGATAAAACCATTCACAAAATTTTACCTCCAAACAAACAATGACTTAAATGATGAAGGGGGACCTGGCAAACTATTCATCAAACTCGCTATATAGAATTATTGTAGTATGATTGTTCATCATGATTTAAAAGGATCTTTCGTTTTCATCCATTCTACTTTGTCTGTCTTTACTCTTTTTTGCATGGAGAGGATGACAATGAAAGTGGATTCATTTTGTTTCCTGTGTATTTCTCCTTCAATAGTTTTCTTTTCCATCATCCATGTTCATGCATGCTTTATGGACAAGATAAGGTTCAGGCCAGGGAGCGCTTAATCAGAATCCTTATCATCTTGCTCCATATTAAGGCAAAAGGTGATAAAACAAATCGTCCCTGAACTCAAACAGGGAATAAAAGAAAGCAATGGAAGCTGACAAATTGTTAATGATTATTTAAAAAGTTTGATCAACTTCGATTCTGTATCAGCAATTCTAAAAGCTTAAAAGGAGGATGCAACCCCATTACCAGCTTTTGATCCATTTCTTGTCCCTTCCATAGAAAATATGAATAAATTCATTTGTCAGAAAATAATTTACATTTGCCAAAACCAAAAAATGCATTGATTCTGTAATTCTCTTTGTATCTAATGCAAAAGATCCAATACAATACCCCTCTTCTGTTTCTACCTGCGCCAGTTTATTTTCAAGCTTTACAGTCTCATTTACAGTAGAACTCAATCATATATTTCCCTATCTTCTTATACAATTTCCATTTTGATCCTATCATGAACCATGCAACCATGAAAAATTGAAAGCTAAAATTCTAAAACAAGCGTAGCAAAATAAATTGAATTTCACTGCATACACCATAAAATTCTAAACCCCAGCACTTGGGAAATTAGGGTCCCCATTTGTGGACATGTATCCAACAACATAGTGTGGAAGATGCTGTGAGTATATAGGGATCCGTCGTTGGTTGTAGTCAATCATCTTCCAACAAGCTTTTGTTCCTTTCCTGCTCAAGGTATCAAACTGAGTATACTTGGGTAATTGAGAAGCTTGCACAATGGATAATTCCATTCTTCCCAGAGGGCCATGATAGCCATTACTGATATCACTCGAGAAATCATCCTTGACAGAGTCTATGTCTATGGCATTACTTTTGCCTGGTTGTAAGCCCCAGTAGAAAATGACATGCAGCTCTGCTATGTCCTCATCGATATATTCTGCAGGATTAGGGTCACAAAGACCCTGTACCTCCTCAAGCTGCAAAAACCTCATAAATTCACGGAGAAGACCGCGCAATGATGTATATGGATAATATGAAGCTAGAATGTTGAAAATGAAAAAAGAAAAAATTGTTTAGGAGAGAAAGTACTGAAAGCATCTGGCACAAATAACATGAGCCTCGCAAATGCAATGTGTAAAAGCCTGGACCTAAATGGTCACCAGGAAGAAGGATTTTTTTGAACAATAATGACATTAGAGACCTTTTGTTGTTTTACAGTCTACTCACTGATTTGTACACTAGATGCATCAAGAATATGTGATTCACTCTTCAAGTCCTAGCAAGAAGCATGCCCCCTAATCTCTTCCACTCTGTTGTAACCTCTCAATTAAAAGGAGATTACTATAGGATACGATTACCTTAAAGAGAAGACAGCGAAAGTGAGACTTTGTCCAACCCACCCAGTCTCCAAGCTCGTCCTGCTTAGACGATGAAAGAAAAATTTTGACAAATCGGGTATATTTCTTTGTGTATGGAAAAGGCTCCAATATATCATGCCAATTAAAATCTGACTTCAGACAATCCTGCAATACCAAAATAAGTTTTTCTCTATTGTAGATGAGTTAGATGTATAAAAGTAAAACAAAAAAATAAAACTTTAGGATATCCAAACAGCTCTATTATCTGTTCTCACATTATTTTCAAAATTACTATCCTATAAATTAAACAAATAGATAAGAGTTTTCCTACTCCAACCTATTAAATTAAAGAAGTGGTAGGCAAAGGGAAGGAGTGCAAAAGAAATGGGAGAAAGATAGGAATTTATCCACAAAAGACAATCACACGAGGTAAGGGAAGGGTTTAAATAAATTAGTTTTCCTTCTACTTCAACCAAATGTAGGTGAAAAGAAAATGAATGAGAAAGCTGCCAATCAAGTGGGCTTTTCAGATTTATGTGTTATATCCTTCTCAAGTCTACGTTTTCCTTTCATTTTATTCATATCCTATCTTTCTGAGTCAGTTCTTTCTGAACCGTCCCTTTGCTTTCCTCTATCTCAATAAAATAAATAGATGCAACCTTGACACCATCAATCTCAACTGTTTCCTTCCCTTCCCTTTCATTTTTCTATCCTATCATCCAGTTTTTCAGCGCTAAAAAAAAAAAAAGGAATAACAGAGAACAAACTGTACCTTGGTTAAGTTATGGCCTCAAAGAAACTCAGCTCTGATTTTATAGAATGTGCTTTTGGTGGTATTTGAATGGCAATATTCATATGGACTGCATGGCAACCGAATGGGCATAAAAAACTGTGTCTCTGTGGGATTTTCAGTAGCTTGCAACATTCCATCTTGCAGCAATACTGGCGTAGGCCAGGGCCAGAAGGCAAATGTTTTGAAGAAATTTGAAATTAGAGCACTCAAACTGGCATTTGGATCGCACTGACAAACAAAAGCTGCAAGAATTGCCAAATGAACTCCTCCAAGAAACCCATTTAACTGCAACTCAATACAACATTAATTTGCATAATTAGCTACATAATTATCATATGTAGAAAAAAAGATGAAACCAAGCAGAAGCACCCCCATAATAAAAAACACTAGCAAGCACATTACACTTACATTACCATACACTCCTCGTCTCTTCGCCCATAATTTGACACATCGTAACGTTGATTGGAATTTCTATAGCACACCAAACATTAGAATTACAAACACTGAAAATGCACAACATTACAAGCAGAAAAACAGTGTTTCCAGATGCCATCAAAATTAAAAGAAAGAAAAAAAAAAAACACAATTGAAGCATTAGGTACCTCCAAGTTTGGAACAAGCTGAAGAATCTGCACGTTTGCACGCACTCCAGACAAGCTTTTCCAACTAGTTTCATCAACACCCCTCAGAAAGAACGGATTGAAAATGTCCAAATTCTGCAGTTCACAGGCTAGGGCTAATCAATTTTCCAGAACATAACATCCAAAGCAAAGCCATCACACTTACCTCAGGAACAGCTAATACTTTAAGCTGCGCATAGGGAAGATCTATTGAGATTCCATCAAACTTAAAGCGCATTAGTGGGACTTTCGCATCCTTCACACAATGAATCTCAGATACCTCAGGTCTGCTCTTAAGTATGTTATATAGAACAATAAAGAAATCCTCCTGCATTATTACAATTATCAATATTTGAAACACCATAGTAATTCAAATTTTCAAATAAAAATAAAGAAACAAATTAAGAAGCAATCAAATCAACTTACTGCCATAGTGGCAAAGTAAGGACCAACACATAAAGCATCAATGTCCGACTCCGAACCATGAACCTGATCAATAAATTGGAAAGGATTGAAATTAAGTTCCAATATATGTTTATTTATATTCTCTTTTTAGTAATACAATCAGGGTATTCTCAGGTTTTGCCTAGGCCTAATTCCCTCTGCAATGATTTAAGGTAGACCTAACAATTAGTGTAATTATATCATGTAAAATATTAAAATCTGTGTATCCATACCGTGTCACAATTAATGTCGACATGAAAACATTAAATACTTTTTTTTGGTTTTGTTAAATCAATATATAATTATTGCTAAAATTTTAAGCTGTTCGTATAGTTTCATCATGTCTTATTTTAGATTGTCAAGTCTAATTTAAGTACGTATTCTCTCATATCAATCTGACGCATTTAAAATTTTACTCCTAGACTAATCTTGTGGGTGGCAAGTTATGTTTATTTAGAAAGCCACAGCTTAATTTGGACAGGAAATTAAAGAAACTTACTCCAAGGCCATAAGAGCCATATGTTAATACGGTGGCACTGCTTGCTGCAATGTCTTGTTTTGGAAGCATACGTTGCCAAGCAACTCTCTTAACCCACACCATTACTATCTGCAAAACCATGGTTTCAGGCTTGAAAGATAAAGGAAGTGATTGAACTAATCAGATGAAGAGATCAAAGACGGAACTTCTTTTAGTTGTCCAATGACATTTTTCCTCTTCTCTTCTTCTTCTGGATTTGGCACCAGTCCTTCATTTACCATTAACTACAAAATAAATAAATAAATAAATAACACTCCAAAATAGAAAATTACACAAAAGGCAAAAACTAAAGATAATAACAGAAATGTTAAAAATATATAGAAAATAAAAAGGGCGTAATGTTCATTTTACCTGAAGAAGTGAGCGTGATCTTTCGTCTTCCATTTTTCTCCTGCTCTTCAGATTTTTTTTTTTTTTTAAGAAAGAGTTGTGAAAAGGGGCGGGAGGAAGTAGTATGGTGCGGTTGGAGTGTATGTGATCAGACACGTGGCGAGAAATGGAGGGTGCTGAGTGTTTGTTCTTTGTACTTCCAGACTCCACGTGGACTTTATTGGTTGACTGCGGTTATTGTCTTGTTGTTAAGCTTGTAGCTTCCTCTAAAATTGGGTCGTGTCCGTTTATGGACCCAATGGACAGATGGACCCTTAAATTATCTGGCTACCATTGGGCCTCAAGTTTTGTTTGGGTTAATATGATTCAAGCAGGAAGCCTTTGGCAAAATGATAAAAAAATCCATCGAATAAAAAATTAATAATCGTTTAAATTTTTAATATTTTATTACGATTAATCAAATTTTTAATTTTTTATTTGGATTAATTAAATTTTTAATTAAAAAAATTTAATCACGTGATAAAATTAAATCAATTCATTTTTAAATTTCAGTCAATTAAATCTTTAAAAAAATTATTTTATTTAATTTATATATATATTAATTTGCTATACAATAAATTTTTATTTATTTTGTTAATGTGATGTGAAATTTTATTTTAATTGACAAAGAAAATTGAAAGTGCTAAATTTTTCATTCAAATAAAGATTTAATTGAATATAAATAAATATTAAAAATTTTAATTAATTGTAATAAAAAAATAAAATTTTAGATAATTTTTTAATTATAATCGAGTGAACTTTTGCAGCCTTTAGCCAAAGGCTTTAAACTTTAACAAAGTTGATTTTGATGGAAACGAATTGATTGCAATTTTTTTTTATTCTTATCGACTAATTAATTATTAGTAGTATTATGATGATTGATGAATAATGATAATGCCCTTTCCTCAAACCTTTTGTTTATGATAGGAGATGAAAACCTGCATTAATGAGTTATATGTTCAAACACTTCAACCTCAAATTTATTAGTGATTAATAGGATTTTTTTATATATATTATTTCTCTTCCATTGGAAGCGAATGATAGTGGCATTTCCCCAACCAACAAATGAATGACCAATTATTCACAATTTCACTTCAAAAAGAGTTCATTACTTGCACAAGACAAATTACTTATCTAGAAGCACACCCCTGACTCCACAATGTAGCAACAATTTACTTGCTAGGTTCTTTTGGAAGCTATAAATCTGGTTCAATCGGTAAATTGATCTGTTTTAATAAAAATCGTTGATCGAATTGATTGAATTTGATTATTTGATAGATTATTAAATTAATTTTAATTGATTAATGAAAATAAATTTTAAAAAAATTTAATTTTTGATTAATTTAATTTAAAAATCAAATTAACTAAAATTTTAATTAAAATATAATAAAATTAAAATATAAAATGAAAAATTATAAAATGGATCATTTTACTTCATAAATGGTTAAAATTTTTATTATAATATTTTGATATTTGAATATTTTATTGAATAATGTTGTTTAGTTTGTTTAAAATATAAAAAATTAAAAAATTAAAAATAATTTAATTTAATTATATTTGTTATTTGATTAACCGAAAGAATAAATTGAATCGATCAAATTAAATTAGATCAAAATTAATTTTTAAAATCAATAAATTTAATTTGATTAACAAAAATAAAAAATATAATTCAATTTTGAATAATTTAATTTAAAATTGATTGAACCCATCAAACCAACACTTTCATTTGTTCGAGGATTATGAATCAAACAATATAATATTACCCCAATGGCATTAGTCCATACAATACCATAGAAATTTATAGCATTGAAATGTTGCAAAATGACAATGACCCCAGACCCTTTCTTCATCCTATTAGCAATTTTTTCTATATAGATGAAGTGTTTGACAAGACTATCCCATTCAAGGAAAAACCTAGCAAATCTGATTAAACAAGCTATGAAATTACGAAACCCCAGAACCAGAAAATAATCTAAGAAAAACAGGGTTACAAGTTCTAACCATGTAAATTCAGATTAAAATTGGTAATCGCTTACCAGTAAACTTAAGAGCCGAAGGCTTTATATATAAAATTTTGGTGTTTTGATGTTTGAAGAATCAAAGCGTACATCCACAGAAAAGAAAGAAGAAACAGAGCATAGCAACTAAATATAAGGATTCCAAAAACGTGACGAAAATCCACAACACATCGTACAGGATAGAAAAATCAAGCCACCTGAAAATCTGCATACTCCAATCGCTGGTCAAATACGACAAGTTGAAGTCCGGCCAACGGAATAACGACGTCGGAAGAGAAAATTCGAAGTCCGGCCATCGGAATACTGACGGGGACCACATAGGGCACATCTGCCTATGTTTTCCAGCCAGTGGAGGAGGGATTTGTTCTTATAGTCGAAACTAATGTCCAAGCCTCCGACTAGTCTCCTTGGATTTAAGAAAATTATTTTATAAATGATTTTAAATTATAATGAAATATTTAATGTAATATTTAAATTTTAAAAATTTTTAAAAGTAATTTTTAAATTATTAATTAAAATAATATTTAAAAAATTATTTATTTATCATATATTATCATTTAAAATTAATCATATTAATAGTGATTATCATATTAATTAATAAATTTATTAATTAATATATTATATTAAAATTTTAAAAAAATTAAATAATATATTAAATATTTTATTATAATTTAAAAGTAAATTATGACATTAATTTTTTTTATATATTTTTTACTTTTATATAAAATAAAAAGATTAGTATTTAATATATTATCAGTATAAAAAAATAATTTAACAAATGATATTAAAATATTGATATATATTTTATTTTTATTTAATTTATTTTTTAAAATATATTTTTAAAAAATGTGTCACCTTATTTTAAAAGTAAAATATATTTAACAATTTGTACCTTTAATTATCTAATGATGTATCAATTATTAAACCATTTACATAAGTTATTAATCTTCTAAAAAAATAATTAATGTTCAAGATTTTTCAACTTTTATAGTTTTTTTTTCAAACTTTTGTTAAAAAATATATACCCTTAGTTGGGTTGATAATTCCATTGATAGTTATCATTTTCGATCATTCTTTTATCCTCACCTAAAAGTAAAAACAAAAGCATACAAACAAATATTTTGAACCAAATGAAAGTTAATAATAGAGTTGATATTTAAAATAAGATATCATGATATAATATAAATACGATATAAAAATATAATATGAAAGTAATAAAATTTAAAAATATAATATTAATTATATAAAAATTTAATAAAATAAAAATTTTATATTTTATATTTTCGTATTAACATAAAATAAGATACGTAATTTTTATATAAAATACGATATAAATATATAAATTTTAATATTTTATATTATATAAATATATGAATCTATATATTAATCACGATGTTTTCATTTTCTTTTTGGCATTTTCTGTTGTTTAATTAGCTTCTTGGTAAGGCTTTGAAAGCTGCATGGCAAGCAAACAAACCCCATCATTTTTAAACTCTCAAGAGTCCAGATATTTCGTCGAGTGGCAAAAGGCATAAATTCATTTATATTTCCTTGAGCGATTAGAGATTTAGATTAAAATTTTTTAAGAAAATTTCCGGAAATTTTATCTTAAAAATGATTAAATAAAATTTTAAATTAAAAATTAAAATGTTTTATTAAATAGATCAAGTATTTAAAAGTTGAAAAATTTTTGTTAAATTTTGATATATTTTGTATATAATTATTTTTAATAAAAGTTTTGATGAATTTTTCATTGTTGAATATGGATTGATCAAATTTAAATTATAAACAATACTTTTAATTGTTTGTTTATATAATAATGATTTTTACATTAAAATTTATCAATATATCAATTAAAAATTTTTATTAACATTTTTATTAAATCATTTTAAAAAATAAATTTTGTAATCTTCATTTAAAGAATTTAATCTAAGTTCTATTCATATAAATTGAGAAAGATTTAGATAAAAATTTTAAAGTGAAATTTATAAAATTTTATATTAAAAATAATTAAAATTAAAATTAAAATCAATAAGTTAAAAAATCTTATTAAATAGATAAGTACGCACGAATTTACTCATTCAAGAGCCTACTTTTAGGATTAAAAAATATAAATGGTTTGTTAAGTTTAAGCCAAACTCAACTACCGCGTGCCTTCTTGGTTTTGAGAGACGAGAGGATTAGGCTATTCGACAAAATTTGGGGAAATTAAAATTTTTTTGGTCGAACTTATAGAAATGTCAGTTTATTATCTATTAATTTAGATGATAAAACCTTAGGGTTTTTTTTTTTTTTTTTTTTATACTTCATTGGTTAATTACATATCAAATTTTGATTTTTAATAAAAGAAAATCCCATTTAAAAAATTCAACATTGTACACTTCTTATAAAGAACAATATCTAACAAAAAAAAGTCAAAGTTTAATAAGTATTATAAGATTATTGTAAAAAAAAAAGTAATGTAAAAGCATAAGTGTGACAAATGATATAGAATAGTCTATCTCCATGGTGTGATGAAAATTTCCTTTTGCATTCTACACATTAGCCAATAGTAATAATAATTTAAGATAGCTTCAAATTTGCTTTCTCCATCAAATTTAATTCACCAAGTAATTTAAAAGAGTTTAAGTATCATCAACTCGTATTTATTAGTGACTTATTTATTACTATCTTTTTCTATAATATACTAAAAAATTTATCTAATACATCATTTAAAAATTTTAAACTTCATTACCAACTTAAAGGATTGCCATATGTACTTTATTAAAAAATATATAGATTAAAATACTAATTAAAGAATACGCATTAATATTTTAATTATTTTTGTAAAATTTAAAAATTCGGGTTTACTAATAAAAGTAAAATGGAAGGAATCAAATTACGTAAAAAAAATCATTAATTTTAATAAATTGAAAGAATGATATTAATTTATTTATTTTCATATGATTATCTTATTTATTGAATTTATTAAAATTAATGATTAAAAAAATTGATCATTTTTTGAAATAAAATATTTATAATTTCTCTCTTTATAAAAGTGCTTATTTTATCTCATCCTTTTTTCAAAATATAAGTTTTTTTTAATTATTAAAATTTTAATCCCCTAACAAATATATATATATTTTTTGCAAAATACAAAATTGAAGCTTATGACACGAGTCACGACAACGGACAAAGTGAATTTGGCCCCTTAATCATATACTTTGGTGATGGATTTAAATTTAATGGGCCACTTAGGAATATTTTTGAAAAAAAGAAAAATATATACAATTTTAATTCCGTAGACTAGATTCCCCCAACCCGTTCCTCGAACCTTGACAAGCAGCTGATGAAGGAAAGCGATGAAGGAAAGCGCAGCAATGATCCAATTACTACAAAAAAAACATATTCTCTCATTTACACCGTTCGATCTCCTTCCACGTCAGCAATCCGCGTGAAGCCTCGTTTCAACGGCAGAGATCGCAGTTGCAGAAGTTACTGGTAGAGAGAGCAAACAAGCTTCCTCTCTCTCTCTCTCTCTTCCAAATTTCTGATTTTAATTCTGATTTTTTTTTTCCTGAGAAAAAGGAAAAAGAGAGAAATTTCGTTCGATTATTTGTTCTAAAGATGAAGTTGACGGAAGAAGAGAGCGAATTTGAAGAGGAAAAGGAAATCAGGGTTATGAAAGTGGAAGAAGTGGACGGTGAAGATGAAAGTGCAGCAGAAGGCGGCGAAGAGGAAGAAGACGACGACGACGATGACGAAGATGATGATGATGATGATGGGGAAGATGAGGACGACGACGACGAAGACGGAGAAGAGGAGGATGATGATGAAGTTCAGGTTATTCACTCTTCCGGTGGTCCTCCGGTGCAGCCAGTGGATGACGATGAGGATGAAGACGAAGATGGGGATGATGAAGGCGACGATGGCGACAGTGAAGGCGACGGCGATGACGACAACGACGACGACGACGACAGCGATGACGATGAGGAAGGTGAAGAGGAGGTAAATTCTTTCAATCTACTTTAATTCTAGTTACTTATTGTGCTTATTTCAAAATTTTCTTTTGTCAAGCCCTTTTCAGCTAACACTGTTCAGATCCGGTGTTTTTCTTACTTATTTGTTTGTCAACCCTTTGATTCTTTCACCAATCTGAGATTAAGCCTCAAAATTTGGGTCCTTGTTGTGATTATAAAAAAATCAAGCTTAATTTTTCCTTGGTGTTTCTTAAGTTTTCCTCTCAGATCTATTTCTCCTTTCCTATGAATAAAGAAAGAAAAATACAACTGGCGACATTCGCTCTGTTTCTTTAATAATTACAATTATTTAATCACCATAACTTCACAGATTCAGCTTAGTTACTGTAGTTGATGGCTGATTTCACAATCCCAAATCGCTCCGTCCTACTTTGGATAGTTTAGAGTTTTTAAATTCTAAGTTGGAAGCTTTAGATCTAGGCTTAGTTTCAATAATATTTTGTGAATTAATCTGGGTTTTGTTCTTTTAATCTAGGGGTTTTTTTAAAAATTTTTTTTTGGTTGGCTGTAGGAAATCTTATATAGGTTCCTTGATAGAAATATAGGTCCAAGCTTCTGGCAATCAATTGTCGTAGTCATTTGACCTTCGTCTTCCTTTGGGATAAGTCGCTGTAGTAATTTGTGACACCTGTCTTACTGTACTTGTTCCATGTTTGTCAAGTAGGAAAATTGGTTTGTTAAATTTCTTTGGTCAATTGTTTTTACCTGTTTTGTAGGAGGGTGTAGGAACAGAGTTCCTTGTTCGGCCTATAGGTCCTGCTGAAGATGAGGAAGATGCTAGTGATTTTGAACCAGAAGAAAATGGTGAGGAGGACGGTGAGGAAGAGGAGGAAGATGAAGATGATGATGAGGCTGGTGGAAAGATTGAAGCTCCACCTAAGAGGAAAAGGCCGGATAGAGATGATTCTGATGACGATGATGATGGTGGAGAGGATGATGAGAGACCCTCCAAGCGATAGGGCTGCCTCCTGGCCCCTTCTTTGTTCGAGGACTGACCCATTGCCACACAGGTCAATCTCTCTCTTTCTAATTAGAAACAATATAGTAGGATGGGTTATGCATTCTAGTTTTAGTTGTATCATCATGGTTCAGTACTAGTAGGGATTACATGTTCATTCTGGTAATGCATGGTTATTATGTTCTCTGAAAAAAGAAAACTATTGGGAACATCTGGTTTAGAATTTGTGTACCTTTATGATGTTAGATTACAATGTAGAACTTTGAGAATCCCCATCTTTTAGGATTGATAGCATGTTTTTTCTAGTCAGGTTTCCTTTTTAAATTTTCTTATGATGTGTTGAATGGTTGTTGGATGGCAAACTATTTTTGCATGATTAGTTGATGATGATGATCATAATGGGTCTTGCTGCAATTCTCAAATGATTGATGACCTTACTAGCAAATTGGCATTGGTTGAGGAAGGACGAAAGGGACATGTGTTTTTGTGAAAATGGGCTAGACACCTGAGAGTAACCTTTAAGATCGTACCAGTGATCTGATTCTGGTTCAACTGGGCTCTGGGGCCTAAATATTACTGCCAATTGCGAACCCTATCTCCAATCCATTTGTTCGGACCAGACTGGATGATATGGTAAACCTGGAATTATATATATTTGTAGGTGAAGCATGTGAACGAGTAAAAATTAAAATAAAGACTAACTGGCTCATTTGGCACGGATAGTCTTCTTTGACGTAAAAATTTTGGGTTTTTAAGTTTGAGTTTAGCCGATGCTGGCTTATTAAAATTATTTCAAATATACGGCTTCTATTTATTTGTTTTAACTTAATAGATATGAAATATTTTGTCTTGATTTGAAAACTGAACAAATGGTTTACTCTCGAAATTTTTTCTGACAAAAAAAAATTAAAATAAAGAATGCATAAAAAGAAATGGAAGAGGGAGGGTAATTGTTTTATTTGGAGAAATGTGAAGAAGTTGATTAAAAACTATGAAGCCCAATCTCAGTCAATAAAAAATTTTGAAGCCCTAGGGACAAGGAAAAGGCCCACAGTTAAATTAGCATGGTCTGGGCAATTGGGTTATGAACAGTAGAATCGAAGGGGAGAGACAACGCCGGCCATAGATAAAGGTGGTGAATTCCACGTCGGTGCCTTCAAAATTTTGCAGACAGCTGGTTAGAATTAATGACACGTGTATATAATTTCTTTTGTGTCAAAGCATATCCAATTATAAAGTCTTAAATTTAACAAAAAAAATCATGTGTCTGATTAGTAGTAACAAATAAATAAATAAAAAATAAAGTTGACACGTCACTATCCTCCCCATGCTTTCAACATCTAACGGCTAAGAAAACAAATCGTTTTTTAATTTAAAATTTAAGCATAAATAATCTAACACTTTTTATTTATTATTTATAATTTATAAAAACAAAGAAAAACACAGATCTAAACTAACCCGGCTAAATTTGTACTCTTTGTTTCTTCCCATAATCTTTTGTTTCGTACACTCCTTTTATATAAATAAAAAAAACTATTGACACGTATCGCTAGATTCGAATCAAATCCATCTCTCCGTGTTCTACGGCTTCTTATCATTTTTTTTTCTTTTCCTTTCACTCACTGAAAAACCAGATTTCTATCAGATCTGGTTTTTCTTTTCAAACTAAATGCGCATCGTTTTGGCGGCTTAAACTTCACTTTTTTCATTTCCTAAAAAGTTTCCGGAAGATGAAGATCGTCGGTCCTGTCACTCCCGGTCAGGTACGTACTACTCGTTTCAGCATTCTCTGTTGCTATAGGATCTTGCATTTTAAGCTTTTTTTTTTTTAATTTTTTTGATTTTTTTTTCAGGTGTCGTTTTTTCTCGGTATATTTCCAGTGATTTCAGCTTGGATCTATGGAGAATATTTGGAGTACAAGAAAAATTCAATCGCATCCAAAGCGTAACCTCTAAATTACAGTTTTTTTTTTTTGTAATGCGATATAATTAACGTAATTTATTGGTGAAAAATTAGAATTAATCTTTCTTTTTTTGCATTTCTGTTAGTAGGCACTCTGATGTGAGTTTAGTTGAAACCGGAAACGATGTCGTTAAAGAAGATGATAGAGCGGTTTTATTAGAAGGCGGAGGTCTTCAATCAGCTTCTCCTAAAGCTCGGACTTCATCATCTTCTCCCATTCTCAAGTTTGTCGTCTTAGCCGTTGATTATTTTTTTTTCTCGTTTCTTTTGATTTTCATTGATCAGTTACTTCATTTCTATGCTTTGTTCGAATTTCTTCTGTTAAGGTTTCTTATGATGGATGAGAGTTTCTTGGTTGAGAATCGGTTGACACTTCGAGCTATGTATGTGAAATTTATTGTTTTGATTGATATATGATGAATTTCTTGCCGATAATTAATAAGTATTATGTAGCTTGCTCTCCTTTTTGGCAATTTTTTTTTTATTTTTTTATTTTGTGTTTATAGATCCGAATTCGGTGTTCTTTTGGCGTATTATTATATATGTGACCGCACTGATGTGTTTGCCTCCTCCATAAAGGTGAAGATTACTTTATTATGATAATTCATAGTAAATTGTAGGAGGAAATGCTGAACTTGTGAAAAGTTTAAAATGTATTTTAATTGAAGTATCAACTATTGAACACTCTATTCCTCTCATAAAATGTTGAAGCGAGTGTGCATTTCAAAAGTTATTGTAACAAATAATAAAAAATGTTGTTATTGCTTGCTAATTGAGTTATCTCATTCATCATCTGTCTATGCAGAGTTACCATCGAGATCTTTTCTTGTTCCTCTACTTCCTTCTCATCATAGTGTCGGCAATAACTTCTTTCAAGATACACCATGATAAGTCACCGTTTTCAGGGAAATATATACTTTATTTGAACAGACATCAAACTGAGGAGTGGAAAGGTTGGATGCAGGTTTGTGATTCCTTTGCATGGCTGTAGTAAATTTTTAAAATCTTCTTCTTAAAAGATTTTTGTCTAATTTCTATGATAGAATATGTGTATTTCGGCCAATGATAGAGTATTTGTTGGATTGCATAAAAAGTAAAAATAAAAAACCTCTTTTGGCTGATGCTGGTTGTGCTTCAAGTGTTCAATCATCGTTACACCAGGATTGGTAGTCTTACTCATGTTTTTTTCGCCCTTTTATTTTACAGGTTTTATTTTTGATGTACCATTACTTTGCAGCAACAGAGATTTATAATGCTATCCGAATTTTCATTGCTGCTTATGTGTGGATGACTGGATTTGGGAACTTCTCATATTATTATGTGCGCAAAGATTTCAGTCGTGCAAGGTTCGCACAGGTATGAATTCCCTTAACACGAAGGTTATAATCTTATGATAGTTTCTTCCAAGTTCCAACCTTGAGCATTTTTGGCTGAACAGATGATGTGGCGGCTCAATTTCCTGGTATTTTTTTGCTGTGTCGTCCTCAATAATAGTTATATGCTATACTATATATGCCCCATGCATACTCTGTTCACTCTAATGGTTTATGGGGCACTCGGTATTCTCAACAAGTACAATGAGAATGGGTTAGTCATTGCTGTAAAAATCATTGCCTGTTTCTTGGTGGTTATCCTAGTCTGGGAAGTGCCTGGAGTGTTTGAACTTCTCTGGAGCCCATTTACCTTTTTTCTTGGTGAGTAACTTTCAAAAGGCAGTTTCTATTTAAAATATTTTGGTTCATATTGATGAGGGGGAAAAAACATTGCAGGTTATACCGATCCTGCAAAACCAAACTTTCCCCGCTTGCATGAGTGGCATTTCCGATCAGGCCTTGATCGGTACATATGGATTATTGGAATGATATATGCATACTATTATCCAACTGTAAGTTCTGATGCAATTATTGACAACCTTTTCGTTGAATCTTCTTGATATGAATTAATGCAATATATTTTGGTATACTGAGGCTTATAAGCTGGCTTGCTTCTGCTGTACATTTTTCCTTTTGGAGTTGATGACTTGATACTGGGGATTCACTGTTGCAGGTGGAAAGGTGGATGGAAAAACTAGAGGAGACTGAGGTGAAGCGGCGGGTATCAATAAAATTGGCTGTGGCCACAATTGCCCTGATGGTATCATATGTATAACTTTGGACTTATATTCTGTTTCTTTGAATTTCCATCTCTTATTCATGTAGTTTCAATAAAACTTGTAGATGGGATATTTCTGGTTTGAGTACATATACAAGCTTGACAAGATCACTTACAATAAGTACCATCCTTATACCTCATGGATCCCTATCACGTAGGTGTCACTTTGCTTGTGCTGATATTGATATATCTGAAAGTTTTTTGCTTTTACTTAAGTCCTATTCCTTGTTTTTATCAGTGTCTATATATGTTTACGAAATGTCACCCAGTCCTTCCGAAGCTACAGTTTGACCCTTTTTGCGTAAGTAGCCTAGTTTTTATACTTCATTTTATACTTCATGGAGAGCTAGTTTTGTCTGATATTTATCTTTTGTTTACTAGATGGCTTGGAAAGATAACATTGGAGACCTACATCTCCCAGATCCACATCTGGCTCAGGTAAGTTGAAGTTGACAACATTGGAATACTTGGTGCTTCAGCTGTTTGCAAAGAGAAGATGTGGAACTTTTAAATGAGAGCTTAGGATAGCACACACCTGCATTTGTTTATTTTTCTTAACACAATACCCAATCGATGTGCAGATCGGGAGTTCCAGACGGTCAGCCTAAACTGCTGCTTTCTCTGATCCCAGATTACCCAATGTTGAATTTCATGCTCACCACTTCCATTTATGTTGCAGTAAGTAAATGGTATTATCTTGAAACCTCAAATATCACTCGTTACCATATAATAACTTTTTCTTGTTTACAGATATCTTACAGGCTCTTTGACTTAACAAATATACTGAAATCAGCATTTATGCCTACAAAAGATGACAAGCGACTTATCAACAACTTGATTACTGGTGTTGTAATCTCAAGCATTTTATACTCGTTATCTTTGGTGTTCCTCAGAATCCCACAGATGTTGGTAAGAGTTTTTTCTTTAGATCCATCATCATCATCTTTGTCATCATCTAATAGTAGTATATAGCAAGAATAATCTCTTAACTTTGAATATCTGATCCTACGATGCTTCATTATATTGAAATTTGCAGGTGTGAGAATTATAAATGTAGAAATACTCAAAGACGGCCACCACAACCTTGTGCACTGCAGACTTTTACCTTGGCAATTGAAACGTAAGATTGCAGAATTCGTCACATGAGATATATTCAGAACATGGAACATCGGTTGTATAGGGAAAGGATCAAAAGACGAAATAAAACCTCCAATTGAGGTGTTATTTTTGTTGTCTATTATTTTCCTCGAGTAGAATATAGTGACTACATGATTCAATACCATGTCCAAAGCAGCCCTCATTTGCTGCCATTGCAGTCATTGATCTTATTATATTTTAATATACAAGGCTGACAAGAATATGTCATGATCAAAAGCAACATCTGAAGATGAAAAACTTACTCTTATTATTATCTTAAAAAACTCATTTGGTAGTTTTGAGCCTGAAATATTCGTCCACCCAGTTCTCCATTATCCTGTCATGTCGTAATTTTTCACCAATAAGAAGTCCACTGGCCTAAAACTGGCTCTGATTCATGGAAACCTTGTGAGAACTTGATTTATGTTTTTCTTAGCAGACGATGGCATTGACTATGTCCCTTGTAAAGATATTTACAACGCTGCAGCAGCGGCAATCCCTTGGATGAAACTGATTAGTGCAGAACCAAAATGTCTATTTCAGAATAAAAATGCACCTGCTGAATTGTGATTTTTATATTGCATTGCCTTGTTATCCTCTATACAGTAACTGAGATTTGGCCTTCGAATTTTGATAGATAACGAGGAGAAAACTAAATCTCTAATTCAAATCATTTATGATTAAAAGTAGATGGTACAAATTATTTGCACTAGTTCTCTAGTTCTTAAGCAAAGGGAAACGTGGTGGACTAAAACAACCAGACGCTACTACTCAAGTAAAGCTAGTGATGCAAATGAGACCTGGCAATATGGCCATTAGCTCCCTTGGGGTAGAACCCTCCAGGGATGCTTTCATTGCCACTTCCATATACAATCCTTAAAATCTCTTCTGGGCTCCTGTCAAATGCAACAGAAAATTGATCTCCAGCAAGCACATTGCCTATGACTTTTCCTTCAGCACCCCAAGTTCTAGGAACAATAAGGCCTTCATCTTTCCTCCCAGCATGTCCCAGCCTGTTCCTTAGTTCCGAAATGCGACCTGTGAATTCAGCAACACTTGTCTGATATGGACTAACCTTCACTAGTGCCTTCTCATATAGCAATCCTCTGATAACAGCATCTTGGCCAGATTCCACCCCCAGGAGGCCAGCAACCAGCTGAAAAAACCAGGGACATGCAATGGCGAGCACATATAAGAATCAAACTAAAATATTCAATTGTTTTCTTGGGGATTAAATGGGCCTCACCCTCTTTGAAACAGCTCCCTGGAGTTTTGGGTTTGCACCAACATATCCGGTAAGTCCGACATAAGGAATTAAGTAAGAAGCAATCAGGTAATTGATGCTATTGGCATAAGGGTCAAAAGGGGGAACCAATGGCTTCCCAAATGCATGATCGATTACTTTTGCGAATGATGATGCACTCAAATCAAGTTGTGGCCTTGGAAATCCTTTCACAGTCTTCTTAATTGCCCTGCATCAAGGATGTAGTTCCATCAGAAACTGTCAGGCAAGGAAAGAACTATATATACAAAATTTTGAAAGAGAGTATTCAGAGAAGATACAAACTTCAAGTGTCCAACTTCTTGGTAAGCAAATTGTAGGACTACATCTTTGGTCAAAGCATCAAGATTGGCCTTTTTGGCACCAATGGGAGATGGACCTCCTTGGGCTAAATATGGAGCAACTTTATCCAAGCCATGACCCAAAGCACCATACAAGAAAAACTCAGCCTCTAAATACTCTAGATTTAGAGGAAACTCCAACAAATTCACATCAAATTTCGGGACTGAGGACCTTTTATAATCTGACAAAAAGTCTGAAGAATATGCAGAAGGGAGGAGGAAGAAGACTAGGAAAGAAATGACAACAATGGCAGGAGAGGAAAGGGTAGGTGACATGGTGTTGATTGTATGAGTACTTTTTCTGTTGAAACTGATGCATGTCTACTTGAAGATATAGCTCTTATATATATACAAGTGTGTGAAGGTTGAAGGGGTTAAGGTCTAACGTGGCAAATGGGGTTGCCTGGTCAATTGATATTTTATTAGTTACTGATCCAGGAGGAGGATTAGGAGGAGTTTGGTTTAATGGCGTTACTAAATGGCCATTGTCTCTGTTCTAAGGGTTTTGATTAAAAAAAGACTAAAATTCAGTCTTTTTTTTCTTTCTCTAGATATAACAAAAAATTAGGCCAGATTGGATTTTGTTCTTAGAGTAGCATTTATGATCCATCTGTATTAACAAAGATGAACTGGAAAAATGGTGCTCTAAGAATGTACTAGGACATATAATTTATGTATAATATACATTATCCTCTCATTTTGGCAATTAAATTCTCATGGATAAGAACTAAACTTTGATTGAAAAGATGTTGAAATCAAGATTAGAATTTCAGGAAGGATTAATCATCACGATTTTTGTAGTTTGGATTTTGGACCATCATATTACTGTAAATTTTCTTAATTTGGGATTTTAGGTACTCCAAATTACTTTGGTTCATTCTTTAGTTAAAAAATATTTTAATATTTTGATTTTCCTTTGTAACAAAAAAAAAAAAAAACACATCTTCAAGGTTTTAATTCCCTCTTATTAAGTTCACATTACTGCTTGTTCAAATTGTTAAAATTCTTTAAATATCATCTTGTAACAGATAATGCCACATATTTAAGTTCACATTAAGCTCAAATGTTCTATTAATGGTTGTGCAAGGATATGACATTGAATGCTATTGACTTGGGGGTTTCAGGTGTTATTGCTGGAGCACCATTAATGCTGCAGCATCCTATCATAAAATATACATGTCCCATAAAATATGTAGCATCCACCAACACTAGTGGTTTTCATGTGTAAATTTCATTTTCATCAATAAAACGTGTATTAACCCATTATTGATGTGTGTTTAAAGGGTAAGAGCTAAGGCTCTGATCAGAACCCACTGATTTCCATTGTGAGATTCTCCAGACAGGCAAGGCTTTAAAAACAAAACAGCTCCTAAGGCTATATGATATTGTCTTCTGTCTTTTCCAGACAGTTTTAACTTCATTAGACCTCAAAGGATATAAAGAAGTTAGACAAAGAAAGAAAATGAAACTATGCCACTGTAAATTTTTGGTAATGCTATCACCAGGATGATTAACCTCCAGGCTTTGCCAAATCTATTTCATATTCGTATGACGCTCCATATCTAATTATTTGAGGAAACTGAGGGAAAAAGAAAAGATAGGAAGAAGATAAAATGCTATACAAAATCTGCATGACATATGCTCAAGTTTTATGGCGCTGGATTTAAGTTTTACAGAGGCAATCACTTTTGCACGGCCAAAAATTGGTTATCCCTCGAGAGAATCAGGGTGTTACAAATCATGATGACTGCTCACCATTGTTTCTTTCCTTTTCTCTTTTTTTTGTTTCCACTGCCACCACTCATATTGCTGCCACTAGTCTTGGAGCCACTTCCTGCTTTGGCAAATGGGCTCTCAGCAGAGGTACTACCAGTAAAATTGTCAAACATGCCTGCTTGTACTGCATTCTGTAACCACTCCAAGAATTCTTCCTCTGTCATGGTTTCTTCCAGATTAGGTGTTGGTATCCTTCCACCTCTCTGCCCTGAACTAGATCCCTTGCTGGTATTATGCTTGGATGTCACACTAGTGTTTACATGAAAACTTGGCTTATGCGTGTTCGGTGGACATCTCATTCCCTGCAACAAAATCCAGCAGCATTGAGTGTTTTATACTCAACTATAGACATTGTAAGAGTGAGCCTAGACATGGATGCGGATTGCAAGGTTGTCCGCATGGGTGTCACATGAAAGTTACATTTTTTGCCTAAATGCATGAATTGGATCATATCAAAAGCCAACTTCAATGTTTGAAGAGATAAATAATACAGTTTCATAGAAGAGAGATATAAAAGAGAGGCATTTGAATGTTGAAGTGGAATATCGAAGTTCCATGCAAAACCCATATTAGCATTGTTTTATTCAACTCCAGATGTCTTCATGTTAACCAGTTTACATAAGTATTTTAGGTCAAACCACCAGTATATACTTTGAGAAGTTCATTTGCAACAACCAAAGATCACTTAAAACTTTCATACATATAACTAGAAAGAGAGCACTAGATCATGTTAAACTTTTGACTAAGAGATGTCTAAAATCTCCTTCTTAGATATTCATTCATAATGGTAGGCAGATTAACTTGATAAATACCAAGTAAACATCACTTTACCTGACAAATATACCATTCAGTAGCATCATATATCTTGCTATCAGCACATACATAGGCAGAGGGAGCATCCACCTACACCAATAACAAAATAACTTTATGTAAAAAAGCAGTACCAAATATTAAGAATATAAACTCAAACAAGACTTGACCCTAAACTAACTATTTTTTTTTTTTTCTTTTTGGTCATAACAAACTAGGGTAAATATTTTAAAACCCATCCCCTACACCTATTCTTTTTTTTCAACAGCATTTCTACAGATCCTATCATCAATTATATGTCAAATCAAAGAAACAGCAAAATAGAAAAGTATCAGCTTTTAATGAGAGGTGGACAGTGCATACCTTCTGCAATAACCCAAAAAAGAAGGGTTGCGAATATTGCTCAACCCATCCATCTCCATCTTTTGCTTGATGAAAATCTTTGCATTCCTTAGACAAGATAAGTTCCAAAAACAAAATTAATTTCTTGTTAGGGAACACCATGTTATAGAAATTGGGTTCAAAGTCATAAACAAAAGGACAAGTTAAAGTGATGCATGTTTTAGGAGGAAAGGAAATACCTGGCACCATCTTGCTCGAGATTTTGATTTCTTGGTGTGTACCCAGAGATGAAAGTTACTGCATTTTTTGCAGGCAATTGGCCTAGATTCTCCAAATGGTTCCTCCCCATCAGCCTCTGACCGTGAAAATCCAGAGGAAAAGAAACCATGTCTGCCATTCTGTGCAACAAATTGCAATAAAAGGTCAAGTAAGATGCAAATACTGATATACCTACTCAGAAAAAATGATTTTATGGAACTTCAAGTAAGAAACTTCCATCCACTTTAGAAAAATATTTGCCATTAAAACATGATCAAAATTCTTTAAGTAAATGGATGTAAATGAAATGCTTAAGATAGCAATTTCATGGCAATAATCAGCAGAAACACTTTACTACAACATTAGTACCTTTAAAAGCTCTAATTTAAATGACCAATGGGAGTAAATAAAAAAACTTAAAATAAATAAAGCAGCATCAACTAATGCAAATGGGCAGAGTTCAATGAGACAACAAAAAAGTTATAAACAGGAATATAGATGCACCAAATGAATGACTTGGAAATGTGTGCAATTAGATAACCATGAGCTCAATGATCTATAAAATCAAAAAACTATTGGGGACATTTTTCTGCTGTGTATGCATAACTGGAATAATCACAAATGAGTATGCTGGCAGACAATCAAAGCTGATTATACAAACCAAACTCTACAAGCAACTTGAACATGATGGTAGATATTCTTCCTTTATACTCAAGTGAAAAACTAGCAGGATGTTTCTTCAAACCTTTTGAGAAGCATTTTGAAAACTACGGAAATAGTTTAGCAGCTCCTCCCTCCTAAGCTCATCATCATATGCTTTACGCTTCAAGGAATCAGGTAAGACCTATAAAGGAAATTATATTATTATCAGAAAGGAATTGTCAAACCACGAAGGGAGAAAAACATAATAAACCAAGATATTACCTCATATGCATTCTGAAGTTTTTTAAAAGCTTCTGCAGCATTTTCATTACCCATGTTTTTATCAGGATGGACCAGCATTGCCTAGCAAACAGTTCGCAAATTTCAATACCATAGACATCTTGTTCCTATTTTTTGATGGAAAAAGCTAACAGTGGATATCAAGTGTAAGATGATCCAAAAGAACTTTTATAGAAGCTCACTCAGACTGTACCCCATTGACTGGACCACATTTGGCCAATAAAGTACTAGAAAATTTAAATAAATATTCAGAATGGGTGACCATCACCAGTGGAATATGATCATACAAGTAGCGTGAAATAAATATAGGATGTACCTTTTTTCTATATTCTCGCTTCAGTACATTAACATCAACATTCTCATATCGTGACAAACCCAATGCAGAATAGTGATCATTGCAGTTCAACAATCGAGCAACTTCATCTTCAGAAGTTATCTCAGTATCAATCCCACTAGTTGAAGCTACCCCAGGACCATGATCTGCCGAAAACCCTGGGACATTTTCAGAGAATGAAGCATGCACTGATTCATCATTGAAGAAGCCTGGTTGACTATGCATTCCATTGGTTTGTTCAGGGTTTCCCTCAGGTCTTGCTTGCTGATTTATATTGTTCTTTAGGTAGTAGATAAAAGCATCACTTGAGATAAAAGATAGATTTAGAGCCAAAAGCAAACCAAGCCATCCGGCATACATCCAAGCACAATATACAGAATATATAGTGGTAATCAATAATGCAAGACGCTCATGGCTAAATGAAAATGCCAATCCTGAATAATAGCAAACAATAGAATTCCATAAGTTTGACAGAATTCATTTGCAGATAGAACTAATCCAATCGGAAAACAAACAAATAATCACCTCCAAGGAAGATCACAAGAAGTGTAGTCCAGAAACTTCCATAAAACCAAAGGAAAATTGTTCCAAAAACAGTTACTACCAACATTGCGAGAGTAAACCCAACAAAAACTGCTGTCAGAGCAGCTATGGCCTGTGTAATCAACATTTACAGAAGTAATAAGAATGCATAATTTGTCAATAGCTCAAAAAATTCCTCAAATGATTCAATAAATTGTTGTGAAAAAATTAAACTTAGGCAATCAATAGCTCAAGAAATTCCTAAATAAATCAAATAAATCTTTGTGAAAACATTTTTATGCCAATTGATAGTTCAAGAAATCCTCAACATGCAAATTGAGGCATCACAATCTCATGGTGAAAGAACCCCAGGAAAAACAAAGATGAGATGGAACCAATGCTTACCAAGACCATAAGAAACTTCAACATCCCAACCATGGCAATCACTGAGAAAATACTCAACCATATAACTGAAAAAAGAGATGTTGTGCCCATGTGCAGGAAGGAATCAATGCCCCTAAGAGTACAGTCCAACCAGACTATTGATAACAGAAGCATTATATTTCCAAAATGCATGAGCCACTTCAACACAATGGGGTACAATCTCTCAATCTTTACTTTGACATGATCTTGAGTATTATAGATGTTAGTTGTTAGGGAAATGAAAATTGGCCTCTGGCTCTCCAGCCACTGGCTTATCACTTTCAAGGTGGATGCAGCCGATGCTCTCACATTTCTTACCAACACATTATCTGAAAACTCTACATTCTCAATTGCACCTTTAAGGTGAAAACCATTCAGCAAGCAGCCCCAAAATCCTTTTTTGTGTTTCAGATGAAGGTTCCCATCAGGTGATATTTCATTTTGTTCCCTTCCACTTGAAGCTTCCTTTGAAGGTGCATTCTCAATGCAATCCCCCGAATTACTCCCAGAAGATATTGATTGGCCAAGAGCCTCAGCTGCATCTCCATGCTTCTCTGTTGTCACAGATTTCTCAGAATTCTGCCTATATCTATTCTCAGTCCCTACCTGATGATCTTTGCTAACACTCTCTTGTAAAGGATTGTCTAGAGGATCACCATTTGGTAGTTCCTCTCCAGGGAAAACCTTTATCTCACTTCCTTTTCCTCTTCCTTTTGCATCGGGGGCATGATAACCTGCCTCTGAACCCCTTTTTGTCCCATTCTTCTGCTGATTACCTTTCCGAGCCATAAAATTATATGTATTCTTTGTAGCTTTTTAAGAAAGGAAACTATTTTAAGCCATCCCTAGTCCATTAAGAGAACCATGGAAGATAGTTTTGACATGAAAAAAAAAAAACTCCCCTATACAAAACATTTCACCTGCCACCAAAGAATGAACACAGTTAGCCAGCATACTTTGAAGGCATGCTTGACAAAATAAAAAATAACCTAAGAATTATACTTCTAAAACTCATGTTACCGTACGCCAAAACATAAAAAATATAAGTGCAAGCACAAAGTATTCATGACGTTTGATGTTTCCAACCTACAACAGGAAGTCACTTGATACCAAACAGAAAAAGAAAAACAGATGTCTGATGTTAACAATTGACAAACTACAAAAGAAAATCCTCTATTAAGAGGATCATAGTCTATTATCATCCACAAGTACGTACCGCACAAAAATTTGATGAAGACAACTACCTGACAATTTTCAAAACAGCACCAACCAGGCTTCCACAAAAATTCATCAATTTATTAGAAGGCAATTGTTTCCTAGGAAGAAAAAAAAAAAACCTTGCTGTGATGAATCAAAAAACTTACACAAGAAATGAGTAAAATGAGTTCTCTTTTACTTTATTCCCAGTAAAAACACTCAACTTTTCATCAACTTGTTACACTAAACACAGCTAATTCGATAACATAAACAAAACAATTAACATGCCTGTGTCAAACTGGCAGCTATGACGAGGAAGGAGACCAAAGGAAACCCATTTGAGAACCAAAACCCATAAATTTCATAACAGCAGAGAGAGAAACATGTAAAACAAACAAAAAAAAAAGGTGGGTATAATCCGCAAGAAGATAATATAAGTTGAAAAATAAAGAAACAAAGAATACCCAGAGAGTCAAATCCTGCAAAAACAAAGACTTGACATTTAATAGAAGAAAAGGCAACAAGAAACAATTACCTTGAACCAGGGGAACTGCAGTTACTATGGAGAATAAAAGTGAGACATACCCAACAAAAAGAAGATAATAAAAGCCCTAAACTTGAGAAGTAAATGAGAATCAAAGAAAAGTAGGTCAATAGGCTAAAATTTGGTTTGGCTAATCCTTTTTACACTAATTGAAAAAAAGGGGGTTAAATTGAAGGGAAGGTTTTTGAAAAAAAAAAAAAAAAAGGTGTGTTATTGGAGATGACAAAAATACAAAAAACAGATTTTTGGGGGACTGCAGAAAAGACAGCGTTAAACACATGAAGGTTGTGTTCTTTTCATCCTAAAACCAAGAATGGATGTTGTTGTTGGGGTCTGTTTGGTTGTTGACTTTTGGTTCAGTTCTGTCCTCTAATTCCTTTTTCCCGGTTAAGGTTTATTATTTTAGGCTTTTATCAGGTTTTGGGACAGAGGCGTTTGAGTTTTTCCTTTCCTTTTTTAGAAAACAATTGTTAACAAATTTGGCAGGCTAGCTCATGTGTAAGAGCAGTGGTTTTTTCTTTTTATTATCATTTTTTTTCTTTTTATTAATATAATTTTAAAAAATAAGGATTCAAATCCAAAATTTTTAATAAAAAATACAATAAACAAGTTCGAGCAAAGCTATTTAATGGTAGCCTAATCGTAACGCCATTGAGATTTGAGAATGATTGAAAAGCGTATAATTAATGAACAATAAACCATAGTTTACTGGTTGATAGTGAATAAAATTCAAGCTGCCAAACGTGACCTAAGAGTTGTAGTTACGGTTAAGGATTATCGAAAATAATTATTTGTCAATGGCCAAGTTTGACAGATAAGTTGCTGATGTAGATTGTAGCTGTTGCCAATGCATCACTTGGCAATGTTTTTTATTATTATCTGCCATAGAAGGAAAGAAACACCATTTCAAGTGCAAGAGCTCTAGTGTTGGAGCCAGAGATGAACTGTGACTAACTGGTAATCCTTTTTGAGATGCTCAACTTTATAAGAAACATTTTGACTAGGTTCAAGTTATTCCTTCTGAACATGAACATGGTAAAAAGCTCAAACACATGCTGGCATAAAAGCTAAGCATCTTTCAGGAAATAAGGTGTTGCCTCCTCGAATTTGTTTTATAATAGATTCCATCTAAAACCAAACCATTCCTGCAATAAATTCTACAGACTAAATTCCATCCGATTATCCAAACGTATAAAGCATGTTCTCAGCTTTAAGTGTTACATGCAGAAAGCTAAAGACATCTATCTATTCATAACAAACCCACTTCATTTTCAAGCTTCAAGATAGAGGAGAAAAGGGGAAAAGTAACACGCACAGCATTTGACCTCAGATCGATCTAAAAGTATAGTAAAAAATGACTAAAATGATAAGAATCACTGGTGATGTATGATCTGCTTTTGCTCTCTAGAGAAGAAACAGTTCTAGCATTCAACAAGTTAACAATTCTGGAACAGGTTATCAGGGCAGGGAAACCTGGATGGGAAACGAAGGTGAAAATGATAAGAACTTTTCTAGGATAGAATGCAGGCATTAGTCTTTGTTGTGTTGAACCAAGATGATATGATTTCAGCGAAAACTACACTTAACCAAGCTTTGATTAACCCTAGTGGTGGTCAACCAAAATGCACTTAACATGCCTCAAATAGTCTGAACCATGTCATGAATCTGTCCCACTACCATCACCAATTAGTTGAATACTGCGTTAAAGGTTATAATTAATAACTTATAACCAAAACTTTTGCCAACAAAAAAAAATACAAAATTCAGAACCACAAGCATGCTCAGCTTAATAAATAATAGGTCATTCTATAAATAACTCCGAACAATAAATTTTAAATGATAAAGAAAGAGTTCAAAAATCACAAATGTAAATGTCATAATGTTTGAAATGAGTTATTTATGTACAGTTTCAATACACGTTGACCACACCTTAACCACAAGGGAAGATTGTGCTCCGAAATGCATGTGCTGAGAACCATAATGGGAGGGTAGCACTGTTCTTCACAGAGTACATCTCCTTCCACACTCTACTCCTCCGATGGTATACTAAAACCTGCTTGTGAGTTGCCAAAAAGACATATTCACCGGTTTGAGTGATAGGGAAAATGCCTGGTACTAGTCCCCTAATGCATCTAAGACTCATCCTATCCACCATATGCCAGAGTTCCCTCTCATAGTCTTTCATCACCCAAATCTTCATCCACGCATCAGAAATCTGAATCAAAGATAAACACCCACTGGATTCCAACAAATAAACTCTATTCCCAGTCCCATAACTCACTTCATCAGGCAATGAAATCTTCCTCCAAATCTCATAATCTAAATCAAGTGCAAGTATATAGGAATAACTACCAGTCAACCAATGAAGGGCACCGTTAACAAACACAACTTGATTCTTGTTCATATGGGTGAAATTATCTTCTTGAAATGAAACAAACTTCCTCCACTTATTAGAATCCGAATCAAATATCAAACATATGAAAGTCCCATCAGGTCTATGACCAAAGGTACGATGATAACCTGCTAAGACAACATTAAACTTATTCCTTGATAAATCGCATGCTAAACCAACAAGCGTGGCTTCACCATCCGGATAAAACCGCGTGACAGGCCTCTCTCTACTCTTAGGGAGCAACTTAAACTCTCCAGTCATAGGGTTACAAACGTAGTAAACACCCTTCTCAGGAATGCTAGAGCAACACAACAAGCCATTACAAGAAGCTCTAACCTTGACTCTATCTCTCAAGAAATCCAATGAAAATTCAGAGACACCCCTCAAATTATCAACACAAATCAAGCTTGATTTTGATTCTATTGAATCAGAAATCTCAACAAGGACCATTGACTTCTTAGCAGACACCTCATTATAAAGTCTTATAAAATACTTGTCTGATGCTAATCTATACCAAAGCTTGCAAACAGTTTTTGTCTTAAAGAGGGACTTTACAGGCAATCTTGCAAGAATTTGTAGAATAACTTCATCAGGGAAAAAACCCATCTTTCAAATTCGTAATTCAATTGAGAAAGCTAAAAAATTAAAAATTAAAAAAAAAAAGAATTAAACCTTGCTTACCAGACTGCCATGTCTCAGACAAAGAAGAAGTCTTTTCTTTTTCTTTTTCTTCTTTCGGGGTTCTAAAGAATCGTATGACAAAGCTAATCTGAGGAATTTTATGATGGATTGATAAAGGATATGTTAAAAGTAAAATTGGTTATATGAACGAGTTTTTTCAGCCTTTTCCAATGGCTGCAATGAAATAGCAGTGAATTTGGACTAATGGGCCCTTCACAAACTTGTTAAGGGGTCCATTAGCTACTAGCAAAGGCATCCAAGAAGAATAACAAGTGATCATTTTGATAAGCCCATTTGTTGTTAGATCTTAAATAAAACAATTGGGCCATTTCTTTTGACCTTAAGTTTTTGGGACAATTGTATGGTATCAAAGACTAGATTCATTATTATTCTTTTCATCTTATGTTTTTCTTTTTTTTTTTTTGGTTTGTCACGTAATCATCTCACCTACACGTAATAGCCTCTTATTATTTAACTTGCTTAATATGAAATTCCAAAATGCATTTTTTAAAATGAAATTCCAATAAAGGAGTTTAATTTGAAATGAAATTCTATATTAATACTCCAGCTCCACCTCACAAAAACCCCAATCCTTGTTCTAGAAAACCAAAAACAGAAGTTGAAGGCGGCAAAACATGTCTCAGGTAACACAGGAAATGAAGGCCAAAGCTGAAGTTTACTACGGGGATGAAACATGCAGAGAAAAGTTCACATTGTTATTAGAAGAAAAAGGGTTGCCAAATGGCTTGTTAGCTTTGCAAGACATACAGGAATGTGGGTATGTTAAGGATACAGGCTTTGTCTGGCTCCGACATAAGAAGAAGAGGGACTCCTACAAGTTCCAGGATGTTGTCATCAGATATGACGCTGAAATCACAGCTTATTTCGAACCAAATAAAATCAAGAATCTGACTGGTGTCAAAGCCAAGGAGTTCATGAATATTTGGGTCACCTTAACAGAAATCTACGTCCAAGAATCATCTCCTTCTGCACCATCAATCACGTTCAAGACTCCAGTTGGCTTGTCCAGATCGTTTCCCGTATCGGTGTTCAAAGTTCAGACAGACATGTTTAACAAGGAGGTAAAGGAATTATTAGCTGATAAAGCGAAGGATCTGGGAAACTAAAGTAGTGCAAGAAAGAAAACTTAACTTGCATGTTTAAAATTTCTTAATCTGTACATTAATTTCTTTTCCTTGTCGTGTTTATAACAGTTTCCATTTGTTTATGTGGAATTTTTTGTGACCAAATTAAGGATTTAATGATGATAAAATCACTCGGTCATAGGTAAGGTGGAGAAAAGGGAAGAATATGCTGAAAAATGCTTGTTGGTTGCTTGAAAGTGCCATATTCCTTGATTCCATCTTCTCTACCACCAATTCACTCACGCAACCGCATGGATAAAAAAGTTGTGTAAAACGGAGCTGCTAGTTAATTTGAACTTGCCAGAGAAAGAATTGTGCTAGATCTGCTTGCTAAGATCCAATTAAATCATTGAAATCTTGTCCAAGTCCAATTTCCAAAGGATATTTTTGGGCTGGACCTCCGCAAGAGCAATTAGTCCCATGGGGTTGACCTTGACAAAAGGCTTGACATTCGGTCCAAAAGTCAGAAAAATTAGCTTCTACTTTCGGGTATGGCTATGATTTTGCTGTTATTCAACAATTGCTTTTATCTTCACAAAAGAAAAGAAAAGAGCAGGCTGCTATCCAGAGTTTAGCAATTCAAGAGATAAAACATAAACCTTAAGTCATTAGCATCTTTTGGCTAGAAAAAGAAGCTATAAGCATCTTTACACGATAGTATCAGATAAGTCAAGATTCTCATTTCTATACAGAAAAGATGTCATCATCGCACTAGGTTGATGCTATATATGACAAACAAACAACTCAAAAAGGGAAAAACAGAATGCAGAATTAACACAACTTCGTGTCATACACCAGGGTGCAAGCACTGAAGTTCAGATGCAGTCTATGACTTATTCGAAATAGTTGCAAGCTCTCTGTTCTTCAGCTCGCGTCCTGAAAAGAAGACAGTAAACAAGCATTAATTATAGTGACCGTAAAGAGACTGACATAGCATGAGATATGAGATTGTTTCTGATGATTATGGGCAGAGTCAGAATACTAGGAATGCAACAGGGATATGCTTTTCATCTAAAATACATGGTATACTTAAAAGATACTTTCTAAGTGGGTGTCACTGGTTATCTTTAGTAGTTTGTTTGAAGAGGAGAAACTGTAGTCTGCAATAAAGCAGGATAACTCTAATAAGGTTGACAAAACCTGTTCTCCTTGGCAATGTCTGCTAGTCTTACCCCCGGAAATAGTAACCCATTTTCCATTAATCCAATCTTGATGAAGCCTCAGATCATTGTGTTCAAATTCCAGTACCTCATTTGTGGTCCTGAAGTAGACTGCATACCTCCAGTCAGTGAGAACTTTAATGATTTGACCAATCCACCACCCATCATTATACCAAGCATCAACATATTCAAGCAATTCATAATGATAAGCACATCGAGCATGAGGAGGCCGGGGTCTTATACATGAAGCATATACCTCTTCCCTAAGAAATGCATCCATATCTTCTGTTTTCAAAGTCAGATATTCCACCAAATATTTATCATTGCCTAATGAGTCAATGATGACGGCAGAGAACCAAGAGCCTTCATAACCATATTCATCACTTTTGACCTCTACCTTCATTCCTTTTGGAAATTTTCCTGGAGCCTTTTCTCCTCAACACTCATCTTATGTAGCAACTTGTTAGAGTTAGTTACCAACTGTCCAGACTTTTCCTGCATGTCAAGGATAAGATATCGGTGTCTATTGAGATTTTTTATGTATAGACGCACAGCTAAAACATAGCAGGATAAATTCTTAAAACCATATAACTTACAAGAAAATCTTTCTCCAAAGAAACAGGAATCAAAATTCATTGATCAATAATAGAAACTGGCATTAGTACTCTCAGCTATCTTATGGACGATTAATTTTCTGCAAAATTCCTTCTTTTCCAATTTCTCAAATTAGTTACAAATTTTCATGGAACAAGGTACTTGAGGTTGTCAAACATATCAATTGCCACTAGAATAAACTATAATTAGAATCAGTAAGTCATACCCCAGAAGCAATGATCCATTTCCCATTGTGCCAGTCCTGATGATGCCTCAAGTTAGAGTGATCAAATTCTAATTCCTCATTTGTTAGGCTGAAATAGACAGCATACTTTGATCCAGTGAGTACTCTGGAAATCACACCAACCCACCACCCGTCATTATACCAAGCATCAACAACTTCATGCAGGCGAAAACTAGCAGCACATGAAAGTTCAGGTGGACATGGTCTGATATGGTGTGCCTTTGCTTCCTCCCTGAGAGGCATTCCATCTTCTGTCTTTAAGGTCGGGTATTCCACCAAATACTTGTCATTCCCAATGTATTCAACAACAACTGCACTAAACCATGAACCATTAAAACCTTCTCCATCACTAGTAACTTCCACCTCATCATCCTTTTGAAATTTGGCGTTTGCCTGTCTTTTCCCAAACACAATCTTCACTTTAACCTTTCTGGATTTATCATCCTTCTCCTTAGATGACTCGGTCTACCATTCAAGATTTTATCAACTGATCAGCACATATTTTGAACCAAGTTGCAAAAACCAACGATTATATATAGCATTTAAGAAGAATATAATTTCAAAACCCAGGAATTGAACCCTTGTAACTTTACATGGTAACCCCCAAGGTGAATTTTTTTTTTTTTTGGATGTATAAAGGTGAAAACTTTATCAGATTAAACATAAAAAAATATAAACCATCAAAATCAATTCAACATCAAACAAACACAAAAACCCATTAAAAAACAAAAGAAACCCATCATTGGTCATTACAAAAAAACCAACAAAAAACAATAAAAATTACTCTAGCTGATTAAAAGTAAAATTTAATTAAAAAATGAAGTACATTGGAATTTTTAATAATTTATATTGTATACCAGTTTGATGAGAGGTGGGACCCAGCAGCCATCGTCCCATTCTCTATGGAGCCTCAAATTACACTGCTCAATTTCAGTTTCTTCTTCTTTTGCTCCATTCCCATGAAAGCCCACAACATATTTGGAATTCTCAAGTATGTCCCTAACAACCCCTTTACGCCAGCCGTTTTCCCAGTAAGCGTCGACGGAGTCTCCGGCTTTGAAGCAACGACTCAGCTCAGGTGATGGCGACGGTCGCACGTGACTCAAGTCCACGTATCCTTTGACGCGTTTGGGACCCTCGTAGACAGCCTGGTACTCGACGAACACCATGTTCTTCTGCATTAGGCACGGCGGTCGAAGCACGCTAGCCGCGTAATATGCGCCGTTTGTTCGTTTTACTTCCACTTGGTCGCCTTTACTAAGCTGGCCTTGTGATTGTCGTCGTATTTTAATTTTTATTTTCCCGAGGAAATTTGAGGTGAAAAGATAAACATTAAACCGGAACGTCTGACAGATGAGTCAAAGTGATCAGTGATCAGTGATCGGTGATCGGCTGCTCAGCGCATAAGAGTAACGGCAGGATGGTGTGAATGAGTTTGTGTAACGAATGCCCTTCAAAGGGATTTTAATTACGGAAGTTGCCATTTCCCTTTTGTCTAATGAAACGACGTCGATTTAATTGAAATATAAAAAGGGCTACAATTTTGTGCTAGTAACCTAACCAGACTGATCCAACTGTGCCATAGAAGTATATCCCCATGCTAATAATGACTCCCTTAGCAAGGGCCTTCTGGGCCTGGACAAGTATCCTAGAGGGGAGGGAGCTTCTGAAGAGCCAGTTATGTTGGCAAGTAATGGGGGGTGAAACCATTATTGTATGGAAGGATAGGTGGATTCCAGGAATTGGCCCCTTGTTCCGAATGAGAGTTTTAAGCAAATGACACTGCCTCAGAAGGCATCAGATTTAATTGATAAAGAACAAAAATGCTGGAAGCTGGATGAGTTAAAAAATGTGGTGCTGGATGACATTATTGAAAGGATTAATGCAATTCCCATTTGTCAAGAAGGAGGGGAGGACAGAATGATATGGTTGAGAGCGTGTAATGGGAAATATTCGGTTAGAAGTGGCTATCATACACTAAAGGAGAAAGAAAGGAGAACAGGTAAAATGGGAGCATCATCCTCACACCAAACTGACAAAGTGGTATGGAAGCTAAACTGGAGTATAAAAGTTCCCAATAAGATAAAGAACTTTTTATGGAGAGCTTGTAATGATGCTGTAGCAATAAGGAGAAACTTATGGAAAAGAAGAATATGTGAGGAGCCTTTATGTGGTTTTTGCAAGGAGGGGGAAGAAACTATAGAGCATGTTCTGTTGCAGTGTGATTGGGTGAGAGGAGTTTGGTTTGCAGCTGGTGTGGGATACCAGGTGGATAGGGAAAAGATCACTACCTTTGATGAATGGTTAAAGAAGGTAATGATGATGGAAAATGTGGATGAATTGGGGAAGAAATATCTGGCAGTGTATGTATCATTTTTATGCTGCAAATTTGGAAATGTAGATGTAAGGCCAGTAAAAATGGAAAATGGCCAGGGGTAGTAGCAAATGTTAAAAGAGCTCAAGATGCTGCCATGGAGTATATGGCAGTAATATATGATGAAGAATTAGCAAAGGCTACCAAGAATAAACAATATAGGAGGAGCAAGTGGGAACCCCCTGAACCTGGATGGATAAAGATAAATTGTGACAGGGCTTACAAGGAAGGAAACCTGGCAGCTGGAATTGGGATGGTAATCAGGAATGAAAATGGAAACATAATAGGTGGTCGTGGGGAAAAGGTGGCTGCATCTTCTGGACTGGAAGCTGAGGCATTTGCAGCCAGAGAAGGAATAAGGCTAGCCCAGAGAATGCAGGGTTCCAGGGTAGTACTGGAGACAGATTCTGTGATTCTAGCGCAACATTTGAATGGAAAGGGCACGGAAGAAGACTGCAGAATAAGACCAGTAGTGAGAGATATTTTGAGTGCAATGAAAAGGCATGGAGCAGTTAAGATAAGTTGTGTGGCTGGGGAAGCAAATAAAGCTGCAGACAGGGTTGCAGGTCAGTATAGAAGGGGGATGAGCTTGTGTAATTGGGTCATGAGAACTCTATCCTCTTCGGTTTATATACGGGATAAAGATGGGTTACCTGCATCCCCTAATTCATTGTAAGAGGAAAGGGTACCTAGAGCATGAAGGGTGTATACATACCCTAGTTGTATGCTCTTGGAACAGAAGGAAAGATATAGTTTGTGATGTATTGTTTTAGAATCTGATGAATAAAAGTCTTACCAGTTTTGGCAAAAAAAAAAAAATTACTCCCTTCATCTTAAATTATTTGGACGTTAGGCATGTATAAGACTTGTTGATTGTTGTGGTTTATAATGTTTAAGCAAAGCCTTGATCTCAAGCAAACTTTTTTGGGTTTTGTTTGGTAATAAGGATAAAAAAAAGACTGGAATAGTTGTTAATAATGGTTAAGTTTTACAGTAAAAAATGATTATAAATGTTAATTATTAAATTAACAAGTTTTTCAACTTTATTCATTTTAATCTTCTTATCAAACAAAACTTTAATATCTATGGATGGGCAGCGGTTCACCGGACAAGAAAGAATGGATGATGGTGAGAGCTTCACTGGGTTTGTCGAGTGGCACCAAGTGACCAGCCCCTCTCACTGTCACAAATGTCAGCCCTTGGTATTCCAGTATCCTCCCTCCAACCTGTATTGTTTTCAACATCATCAGCTGAAGCTTTACAATGTTGCAGTTCATTCTCTAATCAAACAAAAACATACATGATTTTTATAACACCTTTATGAATGTCAAATTTCACCAAAGGATAAGTGGATTTGACAGGAAAATGGATGAAAAAAAATAATGATGCTGCCTGTAGTAGTAAATATAATGAAGAACCTGATGGTTGTGGAACCAAGAATGCCAGGGTGATTTGAGATGAAGTCCAAGAGACTCAACACAGGATCGAGAACTAATGACAGGTACTCTTCCATCCATGTCCCCACTGTTAAACCAACCAATCAAACATCAAGATAAGACTCAATCATTTCTTCCCCACCCAAACCTGGCATTTACTCTATTTCTGAATGGTCCACTTTAGGAGACTTGGAACAGTATAAATCTTGAATTAATCTCATTTAATGATTCCATTCCATTATAGTCCAATATTCCCATTTGGCAACTCTTTGATAAGACAGCATTAAAGTATTAACACTGGCAATTGACAAACTTAAAACTTTTGATACTGTTGATCTTAAATTTTTGATAAAAGAAAATTCCCAATTTTCATATGATCCGAGGTATATAACTTAGTTTATGATAATGGGGTATGAAAATTAATTGTACCTATACATCCAAATCTTCAGGTTTCCTTTGATGAGCTTCTTGTAGATAGGTAGTACGGAAAAAACAGAAAAATTATATGCAATCAAGATAGAATTACTGGAAAAAAAAAAGGAAAAATCAGGTTAGGAATCAAATATAAAACTTACATGCCAATGATCAATGCAGGCAAATCAAATCGAAATGCTTACCTGCAGCTCTCCCATTTTCCTCCCCTGGTGTTTGCATGAAGGGATTTTTGAACATCCGCCCTATTGAAATAATCTTCTGCATAGACAGAATAACATGGATCTCCAGCAGGGATCCTCTTTCTCCTTAAGCCATAGTCTTTTACCTGCAAAAATGACATGGTTAAACACTTTTAACGTAATCTTTCCATTCATGATTATATCAGAAAATGTTTCTTTCTATATAGCTAGATATGTACTCACCTTACTAGCAGTTAATGAAATTGTGCTGTTAATAGGACATTTGGGGGCATAGATATTGTAAATATCAATTTCTGAGTATTTGTCAAAGACTTGGTTAACAAGATCATTGCATTCAATGGACCAGTCAACGACCTTGAAATCACATACTTGTTTGATTTTATGGTAGAGCTCATCTGATATTACAGAGTGGCTCCAGGCATAGTCCACTATGCCAGTGTAGTCATAGTAATCATTGGTTATTGGGTTTCCTACCTGCAAAATGTATTGCCTTAGGAATGTTTTGCTCCTATATTCATGAAATGGATAAAATTTCATTATTTTCTCCAGATGGATTTGCATTTTGCAGCATAGCATGAAAGCTTTCTTACCATAAAGCCTTTGAGATTCATGAATGGGTATTTGCTATCCTTGTTTCTATCATACACAAGCTCTGCTAACTGAGGCACGTAATGGCCTGCAAGACAAGAAGACTGATTATTTATAGAGAGAAAGTGGGGGAGAGCGCGAGAGAGAGAGAGTATCAAAACATATTTTACCTGCATAACTCTCTCCTGAGATGAAGAAATCATGAGTTTTGAACTGAGGAAATCTTTGAAACCAGTTCACCAAGAAAGTGTAGGCATCCTCAGCTAAGTCAAAGAGAAATGTTTAAGTTACTTTCCTGTTCAATTAATATCAAATATCATTAACTAGTGAATTACCAACAAAGGCATCATCCAAATTTGTGAGATCGGAAGATGTATTGGTGTAAGAGAAGCCAACTCCAACCGGAGATTCCACAAACAGCAAATTGGCCACTACGGACAAAAATCAGAAACAACCAAAATCATTGGCATATCCTAATTTATAGAATGTTTTAATAGTACAATCGAATTGTCTGAATGAAAATCAAAGCAGATGAGGAGAAAGTGGTGTGAAACCTTTATTCCAAGCATATGTGTTGAAATGAAGTCCATCACCATTTTTACCAACTCTTAGTGGACCCAACTCCGAAGCTGCACCATAGGCTATTGAGGAACAACCAGGTCCTTTAACAGCGAAAAGATCAAGAGTCATACAGTTAGATCATAGTATGATAAGGTATCATACACCAACTACCAATAAGAATGAATTGCTTGCTGCATATTTACTGTAGACTTAAAATTATTGTAAACCTCCATTAAGCCAGAGCAGGAGAGGTTTCTTGGATGGTTGAGACAAAGCTTCAAAGAACCAGTAGAAAAGGGCCCTACCATGCTCTTGATTTACAGTGATATACCCTGAAAAGTGTGAAATAGATGGGCTCGGCGGCTGGTCTGGTAGATTGATTACTCTATCAGATTCCTGAGCTGTCAGGTACGGTCCTAATGCATTAATGGAAGGAATTAAGAAACCAAGAAAGAAACATGTGAATGAGAGAGAATTGGAAACTGTTTTAGCAGGAGCTGTGGAACCCATCTCTGTTTCAAGTTCTGCAACTCATCTACAAGTAAACTTTAGATTGATTGCTATATTTCAACGTCTTTGACTAGAAGTAAAGGAAAATAACGGGTACTGTCACGATTTCATTTGCTTGCATCGTGATATTTAACTAACCAATTGCCTAAAAGATTCAGTCTAAGAAATTGAATGGCTGAGATCAACTGGAGAAACATCTTTTAGATGAGAATGATTAGGATAAACATCACTTTCATGCTTTGTTTTTAAGCTGGGTTTTTTGTGTATTGATTTGGTTGTTATCAAGTTAATTCCACGTACAGTGGAGACGGCTGGCATTGACTAGTTGACAAAATTATGTTGTAGTCCAACTAGATCTTTTGTCAAAGACATAAAAAATTTTTATCAACAAATTTTTATTAAATTTGGTTTATCAACTCTAAGCAATTATCTTTAGCACAGACAGCCAATCATGTACTCCATTTCCAAGGAATAGAAAAGAATTACAAGGTTGTCTTTTCTAAAGAAAGCTGAAAAAAGGATCTTGCTTTGTACCTCTGCCATGCGGATGGTTAAAGACCCTGCCAATTTCCAGCAAAAGAGGAGACAGATTAAGCCAGAATCTTCCATTCTAGAAAAGAAACCCCATCATGAAGATTCTCCAAGAGGTCGAAGAACAGAGGAGCACCAAATCCTCGTTTCTGTGCATTTTCACCATCTAAATCCTTATAAAAACTTGAGTATGTTAAAATCATCAAAATTTACAATTTTGTTTCTTGAGCAGATAAATGGTAAACCTCCATGTAGCTGATCTATTTGTTACAGAAAGACATGTTTCAGAGAGTTGAGCCAAGTATATGAACTGAGATACAGCTAAAGGAAAAGAAGCGTTAAATGTTTGAATCACTGTATTACAAGAACATGAATCTTAGGGAAAAACAACTGTATAGACTAACAAAGCCAAAACAGACAAAAAGTATGCATGTTATGAATTCCAATAGAAAGGAACTAAAACGAGGGAAAGAAAACGCTCAGCTACTACCAGAGTTGATATGCCTTGTTTTAAAAATGTAATAGTCCTAACTTTAGTAGAAATGTTGAAGGAAACAAAAGAACAGTATGGACAGGCAATCAGACACTCAGCTCAAGAGGCTGAAGATCCAATTCAGAATCAACTTTTTTAGATTTTCTTTTCTTTTTGAAGGAGAATGGTCGGAGAAGGCATCCATATAAGCGGCTTAATGGGTCCTGCAGACCGTCCATCTTGTAGTGTCCAAATCGCCAATCTCGATCAACAAAAGGTCGTTGTGTAGGTTTGTCAAGGCCTCCTATCAAAACGAAATGAAAAAAAGTTCATGTAAACATTTCAATGTGCTGCCACAAGGTCATTTTAAAGTGATTAGTTGAGACATTCATTAAGCATGCAATTTATAAACATACAACAAGAAGAACATGCTACATTATATATGTCGAGAAAGAATGTCAAAAAGGAGAGAGTAATATAAACTTACAATAAGAAGAACCTGCTACATTACCTGCATACATCAAACCATGTTTATTAACAGCTCGATAGAAGGGTCTTGTTTGCTTCTCTTTAGCAGCTTTTTGAAGTTCATTCCATGCTGTTTCCCTGTCTTCACGTGTAATTTTGCTTGTCGTTACCACCTGAAATCAACATGGCCTATGATGCCTCAGTACGAACACATGAGAGCAGCATTAGGAAGACCAATGAAGGAACATCCGTCTGAAAAAGAGTGAAACCTTGGAAAATAGGTGATATGAAGGACGTGGGATCCGAGCTAGGCAATTGGCACGATCAACTGCTACAAGTCCAAACTTGGGACCATAACCATCAGCCCACTCCCAGTTGTCAGAAATAGTCCAAAAAAGGTAACCGAAAAAGGGGACACCCTGTAATCAACCATAAGTAGATTAGTACTTGACTCTGTAAGTAACTAATTTCAGAAAACCAAATTCTAGATTTTTTTAGGTTTACAGCCAAACCTTGATCATTGCTGCCTAAACAGCAAGCAAATGCTCTAAAAGATATGGCCAACGGATCACATCTGTCTCATCCGCAACCCCATTCTCTGTTATGATGAAGGGAATGTTAAGGTGTTTGTATCTTTCATGGAACTGTATTAGCAAACGAAACAAGCCATCTGGATAAACCCCTCGCCCTGATTCACTGTACTCATCGGTCTCTAGTAGCCTCAGTCCAGCACCAGATATCACTTCCTGACCAGCAGAAGAATAAGGTCAATAATAAATTGTTTTAATAACAGGAAAAACTAAAAAAAAAAAACAGTCAAATGGGAAAAAATAAGAAGAACCTCTGAACCTGTCCATAATAGTTTATGCCTATAAAATCTAGCTTGTCACATATACTATCCACATATGAGAAAAGGGTGAGAGAATTGGCCAATGTAACAGCAGCAACATCAAAGAGACCATATGGCCGTGTAAATGATACATTATGTGCTACTCCAACCATTTTGTTTGATGATGTGCTGCTGAAATGAAATAGTAATTGGAATGTTATAAATTTGGTACAGCAACTATACAAATATAGAAAAACTGAACAATGGGAGAGGACATGTATGTCTATGTTTGCTCATCTTCAAATACTCAACAAGCCAACTTGCTAGAAATATGTGAATTATTTGGCAAAACTCCTTTTGTCTAGAGTTTTCATATGGAAAAGAAACCTTTGTTCATGGATATAGTCATAGGCCTTTGAATGTGCAATAGCCATCCAATGCAATGTCTGTTTAAAAACACCAGTTGGTAGAGCAGAAGTGGCTGCCTCCAGCATATTGGGATGACCACCTGGCCAAGCACCCGCACAATACGTAAGCATACAGAAGACATGAGGCTCATTAAATGTTACCCAATAGTCAACCATATCTGATACGCTGTGGACAACAAGCCTGCATGATATGCATAAAAAAGAGGAGTTATGAAACTGGTAGGACGTACAAAAACCAAGCATACTTAAGGTAAAACTAGCATAAACTGGCTCTCGTGGAATATGAAGTAAAATAAGCAGCCTTATCTTTCTAACTCATAATTTGAGTTAAAGTTCAGTTATGACCAGAAAATGAATAACTGTAAGTTTTTTACTCCAGAAGTTTACCTGGTAAAACTAGCGTAAAGTGGCTCTCGTGGAATATGAAGTAAAATAAGCAGCCTTATCTTTCTGTCTCATAATTTGAATTAAAGTTCAGTTAAGACCAGAAAATGAATATTGAACTCTTACCACTCTCATAGCAAGTAACTGTAATTTTTTACTCCAGAAGTTTACCTTTCTTTTAATACCTAAAGCAAAAGACAGAAAAAGCTGTATATAAAGCTCTCTTTGGCTTATACAAGAGACAGATGAAAATAGAGTAACCTAGATTGCATCAAGAAAAGCATGATTACTGAAATTAGAGCAGAAAAAAGTACAGAACAGAAACTACTACTTAATGGACGACTAACTTGGTAAAATCTATGAAGTAATCAACAGTTTTCTCCAGTTTCCATCCACCATAATCACCAGCCCATGGGGGCAATGAGTGATGAAACAGTGTGAGCATCACCTTCATTCCATAAGAGCGAACCCTGCTGATGATACATTTATATCGTTCCAATGCTGCATAATTGACCTAAAAAGCGACACCGTATGACCCAAGTAAATGCAGACTCATTTTAGTTGAATATAGGAAAAACAAGGAAACTTGAATGTCATATGGGTGTCTTAAATTTGACCAAACAATACATTATCCAAAAAAAAAGAAGACAAAACAATTACTTTCATAGGCAAGAGGATTGTTTCCACCTTTCATCACCAATATGATAGCCTTATAAATACCCTCCTATTTGTTTATCTTTTACTCATCGAAATCCAAGGATCCCTTAACAGTTATTGTAGATTAAAAAGAACGCCACCATGTGTGGTATGAACATGCATATGTGAGTGTGAGTGTGAGTGTGAGTGTGTGTGTGTGTGTGTGTGTGTGTGTGAGAGAGAGAGAGAGAGAGAGAGAGAGAGGGAGAGAGAGAGATTGGGGTATATTTGAGGTATGGCCAAGCATTTGAGCTGTCACCATAACTTTCAGAGTTGTAGTGAAATATTCTGTTGCCATGCCCATGGACATAGAACCATATTTCAATTTGCACACCAAACCAAAACTAGATCCAGAGTTAGTCAGAATGGCATCAAATTGACTTAGTAAGTTAAACTCTCGTACCATTTGTAATTCTGTTGTCTATGTTACGTAAAATGGAAACATAACAAATGAAAAGCATGAAAGCATAGTAGTGGCATCAAACTTACAGCATCCTTAAGCCCATTAAGTGGCTCCTGTGGCATGATTCTGCTCCAGTCTATTCCCATCCGAAGGACACTGACGCCAGTATCTTTAGCCAGCTTCAGTTCTGTGTCAGGATCAGACCAAAATCTTAATCTCTCCTCCCTGAAACCGATAGAGCAATCCATTTCTCAAGTTATAAAAAGAAACAGAGAGGAGTAATATACATCTTTTATGCACCCAGGACCCTTGTTACAAATAAAGGCATCACATTACATAATAAGGCTTACGGGTGAGGAGCATTGTGTCATGCAGCTACGTTATGATGGCATTCCTCATTAGAAGCAGGCAGTTTTCCTTCTTCTTCTACCTCATCATCTACAAACTTCTGCAACCCCCTTATCATGGCTTCCATGGCAACCTTAAGAGGCTTCTTCTTCTTCTTGTTAAACTCTTTGGCAGTTGATGGAGCTTGATGAGAGCCACCATCAGCAGCAGCAACACCTATCAGCGCATCAGCTTGCACAGGATCATCTCTTGTTTCTGACTTGTGACAAGGATTTTCCTCTGCAAACTGTAGCCAAGCATCATGGAGCCTGTCTTCTACATGTGCTGGCGCTGTTGCTAATCCAAAGAAAAATCCATGTTCCTCCTCACCTGAACACACAAAAATATCACCACATATCACCCATTTTTCCCAACAGTTAGATGAAAATTAAAATGCCTCACTGTCACATAACATAACTAACACTGTGTTCGTTAGGAGAAAAAGATGATGAAGAAAGAGCCGTTTTATATTGCTCAAAAGCTATCAATGAAACATTTCTTCAACCAGTGAATGAACGTAGAGTCAAAACAAAACGAAACTTTTGGTTTGATTGAGTGTTACCATTGACATTGAAATCAGCAAGGGTATCAGAGGATTCGTCGATGGGAGACTTGAACTGCTGGAGATTCTTTTTCCGGTAACGCCAGAAAGAGAAGGCGTTGGCTGCGATTGACACTGTCATAATAATTCCGACGAGCTTTGTCGCCGACAAAAACAGCGCAGTTAACGCCATTTTGTTTATGTTTGAAAATTTGAGGGTGAAAGATCAGAGACTGGTTACGGGTAAGCGTGAGAGTTTGAGATCGAGTGGGTTAGTGATCGTAAATACGGGATGGTGACTTGGCAAAAGGGCTTCGTCCACGTTGCGAGTTCGGACATCATGTAACGGATTGAAATTATGTTATGATTGGGCTTGACGGGTGAAATTCAAATTAAAAGAAGGAAATGGTGCAGTGAAATATGGATTATTCGGTCGGGCCCAAATTAACACTACAAACCTACCTTTGCTGGTGTTGAACAAGGCCTTTTGACCCAACTGGACCAGCCTGATCCAACCTACCCATCTGTATTCAAGGTGGCCCACATAGAACAGTGAAATTGAAGTTTCAATTTTACCCATAATCAATGGAAATCCGATATTTTACCCAAAATAAAATCAAAATAGATATTTTATTATAAGGATAAAGATGAAAATAGATATGATTTAAATTTTTTTATCAAATACAATAATATAATATAAATTATTATTTTAGATTAATTAGAATTAATATATATTTTTATTTAAAAATATATTAATACACGTTTATAAAAAAATTATATAAATATGCAAGATAAAAATTAAAAATTAAAAAAATAAATTTTATTTTTTATTATTTTTTTAAGTTACAAGTACAAGAATTACTAATAACCATTAAATATCTACATGGATAGGAATGAATGTAGATTTAAAATATTTGTAGAGTATGAGTAAGGGATGAATATACTATAAAATTTGAAAATAGGGACAGAGCATGCTCTATTCGTCTCGTACCCTACTAATTGACATTATAATAGTGAAGTTCAAGTGAAAAACTTATCCAAACCCAAAATTATAGTCTATATTTCTCGATAATACCGAACCCTTAGTTTTAATATAAAGGTTGGATCCCTAACAACTTTAAATATAAAAAAAAATTATTTCTCCTTAATAAAATTTTTAAAATTCACAAATGAAATTAATAAAATGCCAATTTATAATAATTATATATAAATATGAGATGCATGACAATTTAAAAAAAAAATTATCCTATTGCTTTATTTGACATTTGATTCATGAGGATTTGGCATGTGTCTTTAAAATAATAAATTATTTGTCAAAAAATAGAGAAAAAAATGAAATAAGAACAATAAAATAAAATGTTTTAGTGATTGATAATTTATGTGAAAGGATTTTGACCATTTTAGGGGTTAATAAAAAAATGATTTGTAAATGAATCAAACAGAATCATATTAGCAATAAAGTAATGAATAAATTAACAACCTAAACAGAATTATAGTCAACCTAAACAGGTGATTATTTCAGTGCCAAGTGTTTTTGTCAGCTTGTAAAGTGGATAATAGTCAATTAATGGGTTGTAGCCCTAATTACAATGAAAAGCCATGGCACATCTGCAAAATGAAATGAGTGATTTTTTGTGGCCCTTTTTTCTCAGTTTCAGATGATTTCTCATTTTCTACTCTTTTACTGATAAGGGTTTTTTGCATGGATGATATTGGTAGGTTCCTTTTTTTTTTTGTTCTTTGTAGATTACAGTGAAATTGGATTAGGAAAGTGACTTAGAGGAGTGTAATTTTCAGGCTCAACAAAATTAAAGAAAAGAAATGGGCTGTCACCATTTTACCTGGAAAACTGTAGGTGACCAGTGACCAACAAAAAAGCACCAAGGTTTTTCAAAAAAATTATTCACTATTTTGTCTGCAAGAATCTTTGCAGGGTTTTGTTCCCTTTCTTCTCCCAGATGGGCCTCTCCAAAATACCAGAACAGCTCAAGTTTTGTACTGATCACATGAAGACCGAAAATTTTTTTCCTTTGAGGAACGTTCGGATGGAATTCAAATCCCAAACATCCTTTCTCCCTATCTTCAACATTATTGGTTTCCTGATATGGTTATGAATGCCAAAGTCACCCTGGCGTCAAAGGAATACTGCCTTGAAGCTTTGATCATGCAGCAGCAGTAGTATAGCTGTATGATTTGCATCTTGTAATGATTTATCCCGAGTGGTGGATGTCTCCTAGTATTTCAGTGATTCCTTGTCCAAACATGGTTTTTCTTATTCAGGGTCTCATCTGTCACATCAACTTCCCTAATCTGCTATAGGCAAAACAATTTGCTGCTAGCTACTGCCCACTGGTGCTGCAAACGCTTCATGTCCAATGGTGATTCAATGATTCTATATCTAGTTTTTTTGGCCACAGGTTTCTAACTAGTTTTACATGACATTTCAATTTCCATTTGTAAAATGGTATAATCCATGCCTGCCTCATCCTCGTGCATAGCTGCTTAAATATTTCATCAGCCGTAATGTATGGCACCCAGCTTTGTTTTTGTGAACACAAAATCTGAGGCAATGCCATCAATTATTCAAACACTAATGGTTATACCTTATTTTGCCCATCCAATAGAAGGTTGACATGTGGCAGGTAGATATCAAAGAGCAGCTCATGGAGTGTGTCTGAAAATTTGCCTGTCAATAACACACTAACACATGGCAGAATGATATTTATCAGCCAACAAGAATCCTGGCAGAAATGGGTACTAACATGCGTGTAAACTACCTCAATCCAAGGCGTAGATGCTAGACTTCGAAGTTCTTGCCTACATGGCAAAAAAAGAAAACGAGGAAATATAAATTAATTGAAGTATCAATGCCCCATGGCTTTAGATTCTTTTTTTTTTTTGTAATAAAATCTCTTTTAAACTAAGATAAAATATGATATATCTGATAATTTTAAACAATAATTATAAATTATATATTCAAAATGATATCAATAAAAAATCATCAATTAAATTCGAATTTAAAATTTTTACGTCGAAAAAATATATTTTTTGTCAATTGAACTAGTCTGTTATTATCTCATGACTTAGATTTGGTAAAACAATAAGATTATATATTGATAGTAGTATAATAATAAGTATTTTTAATTTTTGGACCGTTAAATTTTTTAATGGTAAGTTTGTTTGTGTGTGATTTAGGAGATGCTAGAAAGTGAAGAAATAGGGAAGATCATGCCAAAAATACAGTGTTAATTAATGACGAACGCAGGCCAAGGAATCGGCCGGGCAAGGTGATTAATTTCACATTGTTTTGACCATATCCTAGGAGACTGTGATGCCGATGCCTCTTTTGGCCTTTGCTCCCACGCCCAGGTTCGATATACAAAGCCCTTCAACAACTCTTTATTTTATTGTGCTTTGAGCTTTAGAAATTATAACATTTTAAAAAGCTACCTGGAAAAAATCAAATGGTCCTAGCCAGGTTGTCAATTATAAGGTTCATTGCAATTTCCTATACATATAATTTATGTGGGATTTAAGTATTAGATTCAATAATAAATGCATGTATTTTCCATTCAAGAAAAATAAAAAATTAAAAAAATTTTACGCCGGCTACAATATTATGTTACTATATATATAACTTTCAAACTATATTTACAAATAAAAAATTAAAAAGCACACAATCACCTGAAGATTTGACTGTTTAAGCTCTAAATTACTATTTAATTAGTTTGACCCGCTCAAAAACGTACAGCTCATTTACTAATTATTTATTTTTTGATTCATATGTATATATATGAAAAAACATTAGCCATTTATTGATATAGTCTGACTGTTAAATTAACCTAGCTACTAGAAATAACAAAAGAGATGGTTTGAGATATATAATAATTAATTAAAATGCAAATGTGTCAAAGCCGCCCAACAGAAAAAAGGAAGACGATTTAATTTACACATACATTGAATGTATTTTGTAGCCAAAAAACCATACACAGTTAAAAAAAATATTATCGAACAAAAATTTAATAATTATTTATGTTTTTATCATTTTATTATAATTAATTCAAAGTTTAAATATCAATTTTTATTAGATAAAAATCGATTAATCATCAATATCAATTTCCATCTAATTAATTGCTTAAGTGAGGTGAAAATAAATATTTAAGGATTCAATTGATCCTTTGATTGATTATAATAAAATGTTAAAATTTTAAATAATTATTAAATTTTTATTCAATAAAATTTTTAACCCTTTTGTCAATAAATTATTATAAGATTTTAACTTGTAGTTGGCATTATGTTTGCATTAGTGCCGTACGATAATGGTAAACTTAAAATACATAGAGATTTGTATAGCAATGGCTGTGAAAATTTTTACTCTTGTCAACAACAAGTCCTAAATGCATATGACCGACGTACCTCAAGCTACCACTTGGACTATGGAAACTATGGTGGTACGGACGTGACCCAAAATAATTTGCTCATTAGGCATCAACCACAGAATTTAGTTTGGCCTATGGATTAACCCTTATTTACTTGGTTTTTGTTCTTAACTCTTAATACCAATTCAAGCAAGAGTTTTAAATCTAATATACATATTAGCACTTATTGAAAAGTTTTAATTTTTCAAAAATATATATTTTTTTGTTATGCTTACAACTATTTAATTTTATATGTACTTTCGTTAGTCTAACACATGTATCAGACTTTATTTTTTAAATTATACTCATAATCAAATGTTATATCTATATAACAGATAGAATAATCAATTATTACATCATAATTAAATTATATTATTAAATAATCAATTAATAAATTATAATTTAACTAAATAATCAAACCTTAACACAATAAAACTTAAATATAAGATCTTAAGATTTAGGACCTCTTTCTTACCATTAAGTTAATGTCCTATGCCAATCAAACCTTAATTTAATATAAAAGAAAAAATTCTAATAAAATATTGAAATTTTAAATTTAAGTTTTGTTGCATGTAAGTACGATATCTAACTTTATTAGTGATTTGAGTTGGATCGATTCAACTTTATGTTTCATTTTTCTAACTATATATATATATATATGCAAGTTCTAATTGATTTTTTTATTTGATATATTTCATTGATTTTTTCTACATGATATTTAAATATTTTCTATTCAGCCATTTATTTCATACAATACAAAATGGCAGTGACCCACCTTTTCAAAAAAAAATTTTGGGTCTGGACATGTTGCTTTCAGATCCATGGGCTGCCCGTGAAAACCTCTTTCTTTTCCCCACTCTCTCAGAGTCACCTCTCTGCCTTTATAAGCCTACCCCATCTCTCACTTTTCTCTTACAAAAAAAAGACTTCACCTTTCCCTGTGCCTATAATTCTCCTGTGCTGTCTTTCTCTAGAAAAAAACATGGAGGAAAAAGAAAAGCTTTCAGAGGAGAAAGCAAAGCACAACAAGCTTCCACAGGGTATGAAAAACTTAAAAAAAAAAACCCTTTTA